GTCCAGATCCTTTTGGATCTGGACAGACTATGGAAGTGGGCAGGAGACAACAGGATGGCGTTCAATGTGGATAAGTGCAAAGTCTTGCACTTGGGGCATAGGAATATGTGTCATAAGTATAGCTTAGGGGACAAGTGGCTGGAGAGCAGCACTTGTGAAAGGGATCTTGGGTTGCTGGTTGACTGCAGGCTAAACATGAGTCAGCAGTGTGATGCGGTGGTCAAGAGGGTGAACGCCACCCTTGGTTGCATAGCCAGAAGCGTGGCTTCTAGATCGAGAGAGGTATTACTACCACTCTACACGATTCTAGTGCACCCGCAACTGGAGTATTGTGCTCAGTTCTAGGCTCCACATTACAGGAAGGATATAGCCAGATTAGAGTCAGTGCAGCGTAGGGCCACAACGATGGTGGCCAGATTGCAGGGGATGCCGTATGAGGCGAGGCTGAGGGAGCTGGTTCTTTTCATCCTGCGGAATAGGAAACTCTGAGGGGATCTGTTGGTGACATACAGGTACGTGACAGGGTGTCACACGGAGGTGGGTAGAGACCTGTTCTCCCCTGCAGAGGAAGGCAGGACGTGCTCCAACGGAGCAAAGCTCAGGGAACCCAGGTTCAATGTGGATGCCAGGAAGCACTTCCTGACAGTTAGGACCCCAAGGGTGTGGAATGGGCTTCAACAGGAGGTGGTTGAGGCCCCATTGGTGAGGGTGTTCATAGAAAGGCTAGACATGCACATGGTAGGCATGCCATGAGCGGAGCCAGCTGGAGTCAGGGGTCAGACTAGATGATCCAGGAGTCCCTTCTGACTCGCTCTGTTTCTATGTTGTATTTCATTGTGGAATTAAAATCACATCTCTACACAGCTTTTCCTTTCCTTCCTTTCTTCTACATAACCTCTAGGTGGCGCTGTGGTATAATGGAATAACTCAGTCACAATACTAGGGATTTGTGTTTTTTCTTGGGGAAAGAAATTACTGCATTTCCTTCACCTTCTTCCCTCCAAAAGTGAAAATGCTATTAAACTGAAGCCAAATTTAGCAAAAATGTGAATGAGTGCAAATCCCTCCAAAAGTGAAAAAACCAGTCTGTGGGTAAATTCGTATGAAAGCTCACAAAGGAATCCACCGGTTCGATTCATAGAAAACCAAACTCATTTGAATATGTTACTGATTTCTCTGACATCTGAAGGCTAACCTACTGAAGAGCTCTCAGTATTGTTCTCTTATTACCTTTTAAACATCCTTTTTCTCCCACAGGGGAAAAATATAAATATGACCCCTCTTTCCGTGGCCCAATCCAGAAGAGGTAAGAAACACATATTCCATGAACAGTTGCTGGTTGGGCTGAAGTACAGCCAGGAAGTCTGGTTGTCTAGGAGGGGAGTGGGTAGGCCTAGAAGCAATGGCGTGCCAGAAAAAAATTACCAGGGTGCTCAAGTGCATTGTGGGGCAGGGGAGTTTTGTCCCACATATTCAATTTCTGAAAGAGAACTAAAGGCCCCATCCCAATCCTACTTTCACTAAAGTGAGGTTGCAATTTCATGGATGTTTAGTTATGTTGGCCTCCAGAATGCCACAGAATGGGCTTTTTTCTGTCCAAACAGGCACAGGAGTGTTCCGTAAGTCTGTTTGATTTAGATAGAATTAACTTCCATGTTCACCTGAATCTGAAATGATAACAGCATCAGTGCCAATCAGATTTCAGTAGGAAAGGAATTCTTGTGATGGGTGCCACCACAAAGGAGACCCTACACAGCAAGCTTCCTCAGAAAAGGAACTCAGAAAAGAGCCTTCTCTGAAGATCTTGACACAGGGCAGGGATGGGCTCTCCAAATGAGCTTGGGTGGCAACTCCCAGCATCCCTCATCATCAGTTACGCAGACTAGGTAAGACTGATGGGAATTGCAGTACAAGAACATCTGGAGGGCCACATGTTCCCTCCACTGTTACAGCTGTGTGACAGTACACACCTGAGTGTGTTTTTGTCTTTGGCCTCATTGTGTTTCTTTTCCAGGAGCTGTACTGATGTCATTTGCTGTGTTATTTTCATGGTCTTCATTGCTGGCTACATTGTGGTGGGAATTCTGGGTAAGCTTCATAACTCAGAGATAAAGGCCAAGAAAGAGCAATCAGATTAGGAACGCTGTTTTCACAGACACACACCACGTCACTGGAAACGAGAACAAAACAAACCACGAGGGAACCACTGCTGGGAAGCACCCTCCTGCCAACCGCACGCGACACATGACTTTGTGTGATTGTGGGGCGAACTCAGCTCAGCACTGGCAGGTGTGAAGAGCATGAAATGCTGTCCTTTGTCCAGGGTATTATCTGGAAATCTGATGCAGGGCAATAGGTTTGCTTCCTGGAGGAATGCTAAGCTGTTGCCTCCACCTGGGGTCACTCTGTGTCCTCTTTTACAGTCTTCTCTGTAAGGTGACCGTAGGTGTCCTCTTTCTTAAGAAGGTGTCCTCTTTCTTAAGGCCTGTCTAGTTCAAAGTCTGTTCCAGGATCTCTCCCTCCCTCTCTCTCTCTCTCTCTCACACACACACACACAGAACCATAAAGAACCAGAGGGAGTACAAGGACCTTGAACAGTTATCACCTGGACAACACATACACAAGCTCACACACAGGTCCCCAGCCCCTCCCCACTGCGGTCAGATGTGTTGTATGTTGTTATTATCCCAGAGGGAAGGACACAGAATAATGAGTTCAAGTTAGGGGAAGTCAGATGCCAGCTAGATATCCAGAAACATTTGGAGCAGTACGACAATGCAACCAATGACCCCAGGAGGTTGTGGGCTCTCCCACACTGGAGGCACCCAAGAGGCAGCTGGGCAAACATCTGAGCGGGATAGTCCAACTGGGAGTCCTGCACTGAGCAGGGGGTTGGACCTAGTGGCCTTCTTGGCCCTTCCAACTCTCCTGTTGTGTGTCTTTATGAAAATCAGATTTAATTTGTATGCAGCTTTCCCACACAATCTGCTTTAAGTGGGCTCCCAACCACAGAACAGCTGTATAACAATAAGAACGCATGTCAAAACGTTGAGTGCCATTATACACCACTGCAATGGCGCCCCAAGGAATCCATTTCTCCTCCAGGTGCCTCCTCCAAGGGAGCTTTGGAGACGTCAGCAAGGAGGAGGGCCTTTTCACTGGTGGCTCCCCAATGATGGACCGATCTCCCAGGGGTATTGGCCTGGTGCCAACACTGCCATGCTTCGGGTGCCAAGTTGAGACCTTCCTCCAGTCTTAGGCATGTGCCATGATAAAGTCTGGACTGGGCCTAGCATTCCTCTTATTGTTCTAAATTGTTTTTGTGTGCACACTGTTTTTACGTTTCATTTTGTATCTTTAAAATTTTAATCTTGCAAACTGCCCAGAGAGTTTTGGCTGTTGGGTGATTTCAAGAATGTTAACATAACACTTTAATTGCAAGCATAGGTACTATCAACCATTAAAGCATAGTCTTAATTTATATTAATCAGTAATGCGTAAAGGAAAGGCAAATATACCAAGCACACACCCACTAACAGCTTGCTCTCAAAATGCCAAACACAGGAAATGGTGACTAGGTTTCAGCTGGTATCTCCCGTGCGTAGGCTCCCAGCAGGGACAATGGGAATATTCAGTCTTTTTTCCTGTGTGCTGGGTCTTCCTGCTGCTTATGTCTCTCCAAATTGTAGTAATTATTTCAGAACCTGCATCGGTATGTGCTCTCTTTGGTCCTCACTTTTGGTAATGCACGTCCACATTTCTGATGATGCCTACTTAGCCAGTCTATTCTACTTAGACTCGAATTTGGTGTAGGTGCTCCCTCAGGCCAATCGCTGACTTGGTTCACATGCAGCAACAACCCAGAATACGCTGACATGTTGTTCTGTGAGAACCCTCCACTATGGTTTTCACTGTGGGTTGTGAACCACGAACAACCCAGATTTCACAAATAACAAACTATGGATTCTTCTCCACAGAAGTGGAAGGTTTAACTACGACTTGTTAACAACCCATAGTTTAATCACAGAGCAAGGTTTGCATGTGACAAGAACGCACAATTCAAAAATATCCCATGATTCAACATCAACCCATACTTAACCTTTCTCTGGATTGTCCTCAACCAGGCCACAGTCTCTTGGCATTACCTACTTAGCAGGATTGTGGTGAGAACAGATGCGCTGTGCGGAGGACGGTGTACACTATCCAGAGCCTCTTGAAATAAAAACGGAATCTAGGATTGAGAGAATAAATTAGGACAACAAAGGGCATTATAAACTGGAGCAAGAGGGAAGGGCATGATTTAGGCATCTAGAGGTCTCCAGGTCAGGGAAGGCGGCTGTAAGGCTCCCTGTACAACACTGACTTTCCTTTGTAAAATAGTAAGATATATTCACTTCCATCTCTCTCTGCTTCTCCTATGTAAGCCTGGCTGTATGGTGATCCTCGACAAGTTCTTTATCCAAGGAATTCAACTGGATTCTACTGTGGAATCGGTGCCAACCGGTGGGTTTGGAGATGCAGGAGAAGAAAGGGGATCCCATGGAAGTGGGCAGTGTTGTCACAAGGACAGAATTTAATCAGCACACCAGACTGGAATCCATGACAGGAAAATGTGACTTGGAGGCCAGGCGGATAGTCCAGAATTTCATTTTCTCCCTCTTGTTTTTTTTCAGTGTCTTTCTTTTACTTTTTTTAAAAAGTTTGTTAAGCTTATTTTTTGTCTACACCTTGAATTATTACCATGTTGCAGGTTTCATCCACCTTCAGATTTCAACAGCCCTTCAGATGTGTTAAAGTACAAACCCCACTGGCCATATGGGGAGGGGAGGATGGAGGTTGCACTCCAAAACAATTGAGAGTGGGGGAGGTTGGGAAGAGCTAGTTGACAGAAAAGATAATTTACATTCAAAAGCCTACCTAAAAGAGGTCAGTTGTATGTCTTAAGATCAGCAGGGGAAGTTCTTGTCATGAGATAAATAGGAAAAGAGCCTTCTCTGTTGAGGATCCTCATTCGATGGCCACAGAGCTACCGACTTTTTCACAGAGACCCTCCATGCCATGCTATTCATTTTGGTGGTCCTTTCTGTCTGGGCTCTGAATATGCCTGGATGAAAGCAAGGGAAGTCACGGTCCTGATGTTTTCTTAGGAGGACGGGGAGGTAACACCAGAGCTGAGGCACAGCTAAAGCAGTTTATATAATCCTCCTCTTCCTACTCCCCATTTAATTCCCACAACAACCCTGCGAGGTAGACTAGACTGGGAGTCAGTGTCTGGCCAGAAATCACCCAGGGAGTTTTGTGGCACCAGAGTCCGAGGCCCACACTCTAACCACTAGGTCATGCTGGCTTTCCTGAAGCCCTGAAGCGAACCTTCATCAGCTCAAGCGTCTGAATTCTTGGACTGATTCTGCACCACTTAGTATAGAAAACCCTGGCCTGCTCCTCTTAGCTACCCCAAATTTAGCTACCCCAGATTATTTAATCTGATTTATCTCCCTCTCCTCTCTCCCTGCAGTGACAAACCTTTTCTGCTCTATTTCAACATCATTAAATGTGCCACAGGGCTGAACTTGGTGGCAGCCGCAATGAATGGTCTGCAGTGCCCTACCACACAGGTAAGGTATAGATCTAGGCAGTGCTTTTTTGAAAGAAAAACGGTGCTGGAACTCATGAAATTATTTACCTTTTGCATGTAGTCAATCACTGTACACACACCCACGCACGTCAGTTGTGTAACGAAACATAACGGTCGCCGCCCGCAGTAAGCACTCAGCACGTGACCACACAACCAATCACAAGCCGAGCAGCGCCACAAGCCGAGCAGCACCATCACAACCAGCGCGGATGAAGTACGCATGCATCGGATTCGACACACAAGCAGCCCGCATGCACCATTTTAATTATTTTGCCGCCAACCTGCTACGCTCAACAGGCGATTCGAATCCATGTGGACCAAACATCAAATTTTCAAAAGTTACTTTTAAAACTTGGAAAATCTGTCGAAAAACGGTGCCAGAACTCCATTCTGGTGCGTTCTATGACAAAAAAAGCACTGGATCTGGGAGTCGGGACCCCACCTCGGTGTACTTACCTGGCCTGCAGAGCCCCTTGGGTGCTTCAAGGCCCCACCCTCTGGAGGGATCCCTTTTGTTACCTCCAATCGGGGACTTGAGATAACCACAGGGCGTTCCCTGCTTGCTGCTTCCCCTCCCAACTGGGGAAGGCAAATGGCTTGCTGAGCAGAATTCCTGCTCTTGTTTTCAATCCCAGATTAGAGAGATCCATGGTGAGACCCCATGGGCAGCCGGTGGGCCACTATGAATCGAATCCTGGACTAGAGACACCCGGCTTTCCTTGGTCATGGCTCTTCCTGTGTTCTTAGGAGGCGTCCCACTGAGCCAGTGCCTGGAAGATCTGCTCGCCGGGCCCGTTTCTCCATGCAGAGGGAAGCACAGAGCTGTGTGCGTCTCCTCCGCCTGCAGAAGGGCAAATGGGCAGAGAGGAGTGCTGGGTATCAGGGAAGGTGGAATAAATTCGTGCCACAGCACTGCCCTTGAATGTTAACCGGCCCACCTCTGGACCCTGGGGTAGAATTGGCTCCTTACTGCCAATGTGGGTAGTTAAATTCAGAGAAGTCTGAAGACTGAGGGTGGTGCAGGGGTCCAGGGCATGTGGGGTTGCCCCCCTTTCCTTGTCAAGGCGCATGTGCCTAAAACAACTGCACAAGAAGCAGGCAGTTCCGTTCATTTCTTTACTACCCGATAGCTGAACGATAGCTGGGCAGATTCCAGAGATTTAAACCCTAAAGATAATGCGATATCGATGTGCAAGGTATATCTGCTGTAGAGCAAATCCTAAGATGAATTAAAAATAGGGTCAGTCACCTGGGAGCAGAGGAAAGTCTTAACCTAGTGCCCGAAAGAAGAGAAACGATTAGGGGGCTGCCACCAAGGCCCCCTCTCTTAGACAGACGGATAAACTTTATTGCTGTCCAAGACCAGCTCCATTCAATAAACACATGGATTTAAAAAAGTACATACGTAAGACATTATCTCTATTAAAGCCCCACTAGGATTAATAAATACTGTAACTAAGAAGGCACTCAGAGAAGGGCTTCAGAGGAGGAGCACATAATGCAGGTAGATTCATATCGGAAGAAGCTCTCTGTCAGGTATGTATGGCAGACAGGTGTAAGCATGTCGGTCTGTAGCAGTGGCTGGGGAACTTGAGCGAGAGGGAGCTGTCATGCTCATACCCTGTTTATGTGACCCTGCAGACCAGCGGTTCCCAAACTGTGTCCCACGGAACCCTAGGGTTCTGCAAAAATTCTCGTAGGGGTTCCACAAGAAACCTCAGATTTAAAACGGTTTTTAAAACGGAACCAGCTATTCGATTGTCACTTGGCACCCAAGCAGCAGACAGAGAAATGCATCATGTCCTTTGGTTGCCAGGACTCTATTGCGTAGTGTTGGGAATAATCAAAAGAATTCATTTGGGATATTACCATATAATTGCTTTATTCATGCGTTATGTTTAAAATGTTTTCTCTTTATTTCCAAACCTCCTTTTATGCAAAGCACTCAGGCAATAGGAACAGATGAAAGAAGGAAGAACATTGCAAGTTCATAATACTTTGTAAAAATCTGGGATAGAGTTAGAGCTCCATGATAAAAAAAATGTCTTCAGAAAGGTTCCATGACCCTAAAAGTTTGGGAACCGCTGCTGCAGACAGCCGGCCGGCCATCGAGTGAGCAGAATGCTGCACTGGATGGGCCCCAGAGGGTCCAAGGGCCTCTTCTTATGTTCTTCACTAGTGGCTTAACCTGCGTGGCAGAGAAAGCTTCATATACTAAATGTCTAGGAACTTCAGACGCTACCTTATATTACACATCAGACTGCTGAATACAGTTCAAAAGTGTCTGTTCATGGATGGGGAACCTGCAGCCTTTCCCAGTGTTGGATGTCCAGTCCCACCATTCCTGGGCCTTTGTCCATGCTGGCTGGGGCTGATGGGAATTCTAGCCCATCAGCATCCGGAGGGCTGCACATTTTTCATCTCTCACCTGTGCTGGTTGGTAATGGTTCTTCCAAGGTTTCAGGAAGTCTTTCCCAGCACTGCTTGGAGACACAGACCAAGGTGTGGCCTCTGGTGCAGCTCTGGTGCGCCTGCAACTGGAGTATTGTGCTCAGGTCTGGGCCCCTCATTACAGAAAGGCTATAGCCAGGTTGGAGTCAGTGCAGCGTAGGGCCACAAGGTTGGTGGCCGGTTTGCAGGGGACGGGGTATGAGGCGAGACTGAGGGAACTGGGTCTCTTCAGCCTGGAGAAAAGGAGACTCAGAGGGGTTATGTTGGCGACATACAGGTATGTGAGGGGATGACACACAGAGTTGGGTAGAGACCTATTCTCCCCTGCAGAGGAAGACTGGATGCGCTCCAACGGAGTGAAGCTCAGGGAACCCAGGTTCAATTCACATGCCAGGAAGCATTTCCTGACAGTCAGGACCCCGAGGGTGTGGAATGGGCTTCCACGAGAGGTCGTTGAGGCCCCGTTGGTGCGGGTGTTCAAGGATAGGCTGGACATGCAGATCGTGGGCATGTCGTGAGCGGAGCCGGCTGGAGCCGGGGGTCACCTTGGCCCGGGAGACCCCTTCTGACTCGCTCTGTTTCTGTGTCCCTGTGGCATACAGAGCATGTCCTCAGCCTCTGAGTTACAGCCCTTCTTTCATGCATGTCAGTCCAGCATGGGAAGTCAGGTTGCTACCTTCTGCCAGAAGGACCCCCATGGGGGTGCCAGGCACACCTCTGTGCACAAGACACGGTGACTAGATTTCTGCAGCATCCTAGCAGACATCCAGAACTTTGCAGACTCCACCTGAGCTGACCCCAAACGCTTCCTCCTTTCCTTTCCTTTTTAGATCTGTGTGGCGTCCTGCACTGACAGTTTCTGGGTGGTGCCTCCAACAGACTTCGTTCCTTCAACTGCCTCGGCACCTTCCAAAATATGGAACTCAGCTTTGTGCCAGCCGGGTTTTGACCTGAATACTACCAAGCTGGTAAGTTAGGAACCATTGATGCAGAAGTTCCTCTGCCCACGTGTAGAAATCATTTTCCTTATCGCGAGCATGTCCTTCTCTTCAGCTCCGAACACACTGTGATATTAATTAATACAATATTAATATTTAAGGTCCTCCCAGGCAGCCTTCAGAATCTGTCCCAAGGCAAGGCAGGTTTCAGATACATCAGCAGTCCTTTGCCTGAGCCTCTATCCAGGGGTTTTGTGACTTGGCACAAACCAGAACTTGAAGAAAGTTAATAATGACAATTTGCATTGTGCAATATAGGACAAATTTTCTTTGTTGGTTACTGCACTGGTATCTGATTATTTTCCCTCTTACTAGGAGCCCAAAGCAATTATCTTCTCCATTTTATCCTTACAAGATTCCTGCAAAGTAGTTCATTTCCTATATTTTTATACTGTCCAATTGCTGAAGCTCCCCAAGCAGTTCACAATAATTTGAAATATAAAATTCAGCATAAAATAAAAGAAAAAAGAGTAAAACTGATGTGCAGTACAAACGTTTAACTATATTCAGAATTTAAATCAGACGGAAACTAAAATTCCTGGGAGAATTCCTAGAGAATTCACCTTAGGCTGGGAGCCTGTAACTTAGTTCACATGACTATGGAGGGGAAGTAAGGCACAGTGGTTTATGTTCAGTGGTAGACAAATGTATTAAATAAATACATACATTTCTCCGCCTCCTACATACAAATCAGTCATGTGCCAGAGAGTGGTGGCTCGTTGGTCTTGCTACAAGGACTGCAGCTGACCTTGGTTTGCAGGTCATGGCAAGCACATGGCTAAGAGTAAATGTGCGCCCCACCCCACCGCTCCACCCGCATGCATGTGACGGGCATGCATGGGGAGCGGAAGTTATTTATTAAATAGATTTATATCCTGCTGGATGAACTTGGAATATCTTCAAGTGGTTCACAAAGTTCTTTACAGTGTATATTAAAGTACAATTAAAATACAGAAAAATTGCTGAAGCATTTATATAGCATATTAATATAGCATTAAAGTCAATTGGGACTGCAGGTGGCGCAGTGGTTGAAACCGCTGTGCTGCTGGGCTGGTAGATCGAAAGGTCGCCAGTTCAAATCTGCACAATGGGGTGAGTTCCTGTTGCTCCGTCCCAGCTCCTGCCAACCTTGCAGTTCGGAAGCATGCAAATGCAGGTAGATAAAAAGGTTATTTAATAAATAACTTCCATTCCCCATGCATGCCCATCACAAGCTGGAGCGGGACAATACTTTCATTACAGACAAACAGGGAAGCACAGCCCTTCAGGGAAGGCCAAGATAAAGAAATAGATCTTTAACTGGCACCTACGGCATGAGGCGAGGTGGTTGAGGCCCCATCGGTGAGGGTGTTCAAAGATAGGCTAGACATGCACAGGGTGGGCATGGTGTGAGCAGGAGCCAGGGGTCAGACTAGATGGCCCAGGAGACCCCTTCTGACTCACTCTGTTTCTCTGTTTCTATGAGGCAGTGAGCATCTCCCAAAGGGAGATAGAATTCCACATACCACTATGTTTTATTTCTCTATGCTCATGCAAACCTGGCCAGTGGCTGATCCAAAGTCACCCAGTGAGCTCCATGGCCAAGTGGGGACTGAAACCTGGATTGCACTTCAACACTCTGACCACTATACTGCGCTGCCTTTCATATAATTGAGGCAACAGTCTTTAATGAGATGGGGTATGATAAGAGTGGGACTTACAACAAAATATTTCAGTGTATTCTCACCTTCTAAAAGGGGTGCACCTATTTAGGATGCCACCCATCCATCCAACCGACCATGGCCTCCCGTTTATTTCCCCTGTTTGCCTTTCCTCCCCCGGCACAGCTGTCACTCAATCATCCATGACTGCGGAGTATTTTCCATGGTCATTAGGTTGTTTCTGTGTTTTTTAATAGAGGGAGTTGGTAGTTCTGCAAACCTCAGGGTCTGGCTGAGCACGGAAACACCTTTCTCTCATTTCTGTATCACCTCTGACGCTGGCATTTGCTACTTGTGTTTGCCATTAGAAGGCATGATTATAGCATAGCAATGCAGTGAAAATACAGGCACAGCTTCTCCCAGACAATGCTAAGAGCCGTTGTGGTGCTTTACTTAGTTGAGGAATAGAACACAGAAACAGTATAAAAACGGTATTTTATACGAGTGACTTAATCTGCACTGGAAAACAAATAACAGTCTTGATTTTTTCCTAGAGTGTTGCAGACATTCTCAATCAGCAACTTTGTCCTGAATTCACCCTCCCCACCACGCCAAGTAAGTGCTAAATGCAGGCTCAGTCTCAGTGGAGTCACCATCTACCGATACTTCATATAAGCACTTCTCTTGTACGGAAAGAAACAATCATCTGAGGTGCTGCTTCTCCCATCACATTGGAACAGCAAAAGGAAAAGCAACACCTCTGGCAAAATTAATCCTTCACAACTGAAGGTGCTGGTGAAGACCTGTAAAGCCCTAAACAGCTTAGGGCCAGGTTACCTGAAGTGCGTCTCCTTCCATATGTGCCCTCCTGCCCATTAAGATCTGGGGCAGACGCCCTTCTCCAGCTGCCGTTCCTGAAGATTAGGAGGGTGGCTACCCGGAGAAGGGCCTTCTCTGTGGTGGCACCCCACAGAGGAATTCGCTCCCCAGAGAGGTTTGCCTGGCGCTGTCACTTTATTCTTTTTGGCACAAGGCCAAAACCTTTTTATTTTTTCAATGTTTTAAGACCTGACTGTTTTAATTGGGGTTTTATTATTAGTTGAATTTTAGGATGCTGTGTTTTAGATTTTTTACATTCTGTATTGTTAAACCATCCCAAGAGTTTGGTAATGGGATGGTCTAGGGAAAAAATTAAATAAATAAATTGTGCGGATAAACTTGGATTGGGAGAGCCCATATGTACTTCTTTGGCATGTTGGAGGAAAGGTGGAATATAAATTCAATAAGGAATAATATTTATTGCAAGGAAAAATATGGAAAATATGGGGAAATGGATAGTTTCAGTTTTCCAAATGTTGAGCTCTTATGAATTTCATGTCAGAGGTGAGGATTAAAAATGTGTTGGCAGTAGGGATAAAGGAGTAATGTCTTCATTATTTTGCTCTGTCATATTTCATCCTTTGAAATGTTCATGTCTCCAAATTTTTCAATGGAGTTCTCTAATTTAAAAAAGTATAAAATGCACATATTAAGGGAAAGTACACACAAAAATGCATATTACTGAAAACAGTGTTGAAAAGTGCTTACAAACTATGCCTATTGAGCAGAACTACATACAATAACATGTATTAAGAGAAGTGCATAATGAATTTCTCTGCGCAACTTTTTAAAAATATTGTCAGTCTGGGAGGCTCTGAAATTCAGACTGGAGAAATTCTCAGAGTATGGGATGAATCAGATTGAAAAATAAGATTGGAAGGAAAAAAAAGAGGGGATCTGGGAGAAAACAGCCTTTATAGATTTGCCCATCATAAGTTGGCTGTGTCGGATGAACCTTCAGTGGGTTGTTGGGGAAACTCCGTAGGACCTTGGTGCAACTCATCACAAGCACATGAAATACCCTTCCCGGTTTGGGCCCGTAATCGCCCCTGAAGCCCGGGGACTGCAGGTGTGTAGTTTAATGCTAACCCCCAGTTCTTTGGAACTCTTCTAATCCGCGTCTCTTTCTTTACACAGTCCTTAATCGTTGCTTCCCTAGTCTCAACATGTCTCAGCCTGGTAACTTTCATGTGAATGGTCTGTCGACCAATGAAACCCTGGAGCACATCAAGTCTGGTACAGAGTAAGTCCTTTCCTCTAGACCTTCAGTCAAAATGACCATAAACCATGGGACTCTTTAGGAATATGACTGAAGCGGCACCTTCCCGATTAACGTGGTACCTTCCCTTTTGCACCCGTATGTAGGAGTTCTCAGGACATAGCAAGATGAGACAATAGGAATCCATGACTGGATCTCCCATCTCTTTCTTGTTGTTAAGTGCCATCAACTCACCTTGGACTTATGGGGACACTATGAATGAATGCCCTCCAAAACATTCTGGTCTAGGACCCACTAGACCAGAACATTGCTCTTTCTGTTCATCGAAGGGTCTCCTCTCGACCAGGTTTCGATTGCATCCAGTTTCTTTGTGTCAGCTTTCTTCACAGTGCAGCTTTCACTCCATTCACAGCATCCAAAGGGGTGGGAGCCTAGTGATGGGAGCATGAGGTGTTCCCCTAGTGGGAAAACAACAGCTTTGGTGGGATGCGGGGGTTTGGTGAACTCTCCAGAGGGCAAGGAGAAAAGGTGTCCTCTCCTTCCCCCCTTGCCACGGTTCTGATCCAAGTCACCCTGATGCATATGGCTCTGTTTGGCCCATATTTAAAACAGGAGATCTAACCTAGATCTCAACCATCTTATGTAATAGTCCCAGTAGAGGTGGAAAGGAGAACAATGCACACCAGAGTTTAAAAGCAATCAATCAGTAATCTCACGTTATTTAGAACCACAAAGCACTTCCTCTTGTCTAGCACACACACACACACACGCACGCCCTCATGTCCATCTCTCTCTCTCTCTCTCTCTCTGTTGATAAGGAAGGAGTTGGAGGGAGGGATTTCCGCAGGCCTGCTGCTGTGGAAGATGCTGTCCTGGGCAAGCACCTCCACGCTTCAGGCAGCGGAAGAAACCGGCCTGCTGAGGAAGGCCTGGACTTGGGGGAGATTCAGCAGGAAGACACTGTCCTTCAGTTATCATAAGCCCAGGCTGTTACTCTGCCTGAGTCTTGATAGCTACAGAAAACCTGCATGGGTCGCTAGAGTCACCTGCACAGTTGAACCAATGTCCAACAGCTGGGGAAGAGACAGCACTCCGTGGCGGGACACGTTCTTGGCGTGCAGAAGGGGCCGCGGTTCAGTCCCTGGCCCCTTGAGGTGGGCTTAGGAAAGAGCCCAGCCTGCAGCGCTGGGGAGCTTCTGCCTGTCAGTGCAGACCAAGGTGGGGGTGGGGGGGGGAGATAACTGGTGGCCAAATTGACCCGTCAGGCTGATGCATCCAGCCATGGTGCCACAGAGCCTCCCTCTTCTCGTAGCCTCTATCCCTTGAGGCTGGGCAAGGGGAAAGCTGTTATTGCACTGTCATGGATTTGGCCTTTGGAGAGTGCTTTGTGTAGTTATTTGTATTACATTTCTCTACTGTCCAGTAACCAAAACTCGGCTGTCTTCAGGTGATAGTATCGGTATTTATTAAGCCTTTGGCTGCTATTTAATTACCATTATCTGATCCACACACTTCAAGCGAAGCATACACTAAAATGGTTGATAGATACTACCAAGAATTAGTGAAGAAAATATATATTTTGATCCAACTTTCATGGTTATTAGAAATGTAATATCACAACAAAAATATAACACACAAAATATCAGGGAATGTTTCTTAAGGACATAAGAAAAGCCTGTTAGATCAGAGCAAGGGTCCATTTAGTCCAGCAGTCTGGACTGCGAGCAAGCAGCCCGCAGGACCCCTCAAGCGGGGGGGGGGGTGCAAGAACTCCCCCTGCCCAAGCTCCCCAGCAACGGGTGTGCGCAGGGAGGCTACCTCTGGTAAAGGCAGGAGCACATGGCCAGCAAGGCCAGTAGCCACCCTCAGAAATCTGTCCGTTCCCCTTGTATAGCCATCCCACTGGTGGCCATCACTACCTCCCATGGCAGCAAATCCCATGTTGCTAAGACTTCTAGTCCTACTAGCTTAAGCACAGAAAGAGAAAAAGATCTCATTTGAAGTAAGATGGCACTGAACAAGGTACTCAGCTGATTGGGACACATGCCTGGTGAGCATCTCATAAGAAACTCTGGCATCCAAAAATCCACACACGCATATATACTTCTTCTTGTAGAAATTACCTCAGAACTGGTATTGTTAGCTATCCCATGAATTCAGGTTCACAGTCTAATTTTATTGTTACTAGACATTGATAACATTCAAATCTATTAAAAAGGGGCTTTACCCGTGCACCCTTCAGGCTAAGTAAGATATTCTTATCTGTCTTATTCGAATAACTTATTCAAAATAACTCCTTATTCAAGATTTGCCAGTTAAACTCAAGTCTTCACATGTTTCTAGACATCTATCCTGTTTTCTGATGTATATACCTTACATGATATTTTGGATCATTAATTGTTAAGTGGAAACTTTAAGTACTTTTGACCGGGGATAACATGGTCTGTTCATTACTCAAATACCTTTCTGATCCAAGTGATCGGACTTTGACCCAGCCTTTTCTCTTGGGACACCATCCAGGTCAACTGGTGAACCGTAATTCCTTGTAAACCTGCTTACAGCTTCATTCTTACAAATATGGTTTAGTAACATTCTCAGTCATGCAAGCTTTCTTTTGGGGAAGTTGTAGCACTTCGGTTGTTCTTCAGGGCTTATTTTTTCTGTTTGGATAAATTTGTATTTAATAATCCATTGAAAGGAGAAGTTGCCAGCCCCAGTGTAGCCCAAGTTAGAACCAGCACTGCCCTAGACAGACACCTCCTGTCCTGTAATAGAAACAGAGCGAGTCAGAAGGGGCCTCCTGGGCCATCTAGTCTGACCCCTGGTTCCAGCCAGCTCCGCTCACGATGTGTACCATGGGGCACGTCTAGCCTATCCGGTGTGGTCCAAGCAGCCTCAGCTTGTTTGCTAGCTTTCCCTCCTTCCTCAAGCCCAACTTCGGCAGCGGTTCTCATTTTCTAATTGCAAATTCCCCTCTAATGGTCCTTTTGCGGTTCCCTCTCTTGGCAGAGAGCTTCTGAACTCTATTGGTGCAAAGAATATTGGACTGAAGATATTTGAGGATTTTTCACGGTCCTGGTACTGGATCCTGATGTGAGTGGTCTGGAGATTCGCACTGTATATTTCCCAAAAGAATGAACACAACTCTTGAAGGCACAACTGGTGTACGGTTGTGGCCAGAGCTGTGTATAACTCGTTTGCATGTGATTTCACTGTGTGAGCATGGGATGTGGATTCTGGCTTGGAATTCAAGGCCTTGGTTCTCTTTGCTTTTGTTTTGAAATAAATCAAGTTTCTAGCCCTTATGGATGCATGGAAAGTACATGAACAGCAATGAAATATTGAGTAGATTTTCCATTGGTCACAGAGGAGGAACTTTGGTGTTTTTCCACCATGGAGGCTGCTTTGGGTCCTGCATTCCTCCTGCTGGTACCACTTGTAGGGCTCTTTGGGGGGTATTCTGAACTTGATACAATTTACATGTTAGCTGCCAGAAGAGTTGCACTAAAAGGAGAATGGATCCTTTGGGATGGCAGAAGCTTGCCGCACTCTGAACAGTACTAGCCTAAGAATGATCATTACCTCTATTTCTGATGTTCAGTTATGAGTGTGATGCTTGCTTGCTTAGTCATTCATTAATTAATTCATGATGCTTTTATGCCACCCTACAGCCCACGGGCTATCTGGGCAGCTCACAAAAGCAATAATCAATGACAGAGAGAATAAAATCAATGAATTTAAATACTAGTAAATCTAGACATTGTAAAAACTTACAATAACAGTGGGAACAGGAGACAAATGCACGTGACAATAAAAGCAAGCAGTGAAAAACTTCATAAAACCATAAATTATACAAAAATGTCTTTTCCTGGCAATGGAAACTGAGTTGTGAGGGTGCCAACTGCGGCTCCGTAGGGAGGACATTCCAGAGAAGAGGCAAGATAACTGAAAAAGTCCCTTTCCCTGCCATTCCCCCCCTTACTTCATTGGTGGGGGCTCACATGGAAGGGCATTCATAGAATATGAATAAAAGACCTTTTTATTTAAACATCATTTTAATTGTTAAAACATATGATCTGGCCAGGGCAACTTCTTCTTCCTTCTCTTTTCTCCTCCTATATTATTTATTTACTTATTTTATACTGATAATTTTAATTTTATATTATTATGTTTGTAACTCAGTGTATTTTTTGTATTTTTGTATTTAATGGTAATTTATTATGTTCTATTGTATTTCAATGTATTTTATTGTGTTGTAAGCCGCCCCGAGGTTTCGGCAAGGGGCGGCATAGAAATGTAATAATAATAATAATAATAATAATAATAATAATAATAATAATAATATGCTAAGGATGTTAGGGATGTGTGGAGACAGGCGTTCCTTCTGATATCCTGCCCCCAAGCTGTTTAGGGAGATACGCAACCAAAACAGCAGCATCACCCAAGCACAAATTAGCAGAAAGCTGCACTTCCAAGCAGTGTGGAAGTCCCTTTAGGAAAAAAATTTGAAGGGGGCCCCCACAAGCAGCCTACTGCGGAACAAACTTGCTCGATGGCCATGGAATGCTGGCTGGCCTTTCCGCAGAGGGAATGTAATGGAGTCCTGCAGAGCAGGGCATGGCCGGCTAACTCAGGATAGCAAAGGTCAAGAACGCTCCATCTTCTTCTAGAGGTGAAGCTGAAAGAGGCTAACTCTCCTGAGGTAACTGGGTGGGAATTTGACCCTGCGTGACCCTCGTCTGTTCAACCCCAGTGTATCCGCCAAACACCTCCGGACCTTTAAAAGGCGTTGGCCAAACTCTGTCATCCTCTGGGCTTTGTTCCTTTGCACAGCAGGGACAGGAGTCGGGAGCTCAGGGGGATTTTGAGTTCAGACAGGGGCACAGGGGCAAACGCCACGCTGCACACGGGCTGCTCAAAGCGCGTCATTCTCTTCCGACCTCCAGAGGGCTCCTGATCGCCATGGTGCTCAGCCTCCTCTTCCTCCTGCTGCTGAGGTTCACGGCCGGGATTCTGGTGTGGATCCTCATCCTGGGCGTGCTGGCAGTCACTGCCTACGGTGAGTGAAGCGGCAGCCAAGGGTGCTGCAGCCCGGGCCCCAGCTGCTTGCCGTGGGGCAGCGGTGCCCCTTCACGTCATAAGCATCTCTTCCTCTCCTTGCCCCCCCGGACTGCTTGCAGTTTTCCCTGCTGGCTGCCTCTGTGCACATCCAGGAGGGTCAGCAGCTGGAGATAACAGCCGGGATTTCTTTCACCGTGGAGAAGGGCAGGATTTGGGAAAGAACCCTCCGTGTGCCGCTTCGGTCTGCGGGACCAGGGTCCATTTCCCCAGTAGAATGGAAAATCCTCATTTCCCATCAGCTCAGTGCTGGCCGACTGTCTGCAGTGGGAACATGAATGTGAAACAGACCTTTAGTTCCCTTTCAGGGATCGTAACCCACGAGGCAAAGTTTGCTCCGTCGGATGGCCATTGACATAGAAACTGAGAGAGTCAGAAGGGGCCTCCCAGGCCATCCAGTCTGACTCCCGGCTCCGCTCATGCCATGCGTTGCCAAATCGCTGATTTGACACATTGCCAAAAAGGAGGACATGCACCACAAAAAGAGGGCGGTTTGCATGTGCTGATGGATTTCTATACATGCAAATTTTGAAATATTTTAAATTAGATTTATGAGTTTAAGTAACTAATTTAAATAGAAGTAAATAGCATAGTGATTAAGACTGACCGGCTGACTGGTATGAATGTCAGAGGAGGCATGCTGCGTCAGACGAAAGATCACTCTTGTCTGGCATTATTTTTTCCACACAACTTCAGTGGCCCAGCACTCCCTTCTTATGGTTCTTCAAGGGTTGTTGTTGTTGTAACTAGTTGTGAAGTCGCATCTGACCCATGGACAACACTCCTCCAGGGCTTCCTGTCCTCCACCATCCCCAGGAGTGCACCCAAGTTCACACCAACTGCCCCAGTGACTCCATCCAGCCACCTCATCCTCTGCCGTCCCCTTCTTCTCTTGCCGTCAATTGTTCCCAGCATTAGGCTCTTCTCCAGGGAGTCCTTCCTTCTCATTAGGTGGCCAAAGTATTTGAGTTTCATCTTCAGCATCTGGCCTTCTAAAGAGCAGTCAGAGTAACAAGGTTTGAATAGGGCGTCCCATATAGGGCAGCTTTAAACAGGGACCTCCTCTGGCAGCTCTTCAGAGGACTGTCCTCCGTAAAGTAGGACACCTGGCCATGCTGTTCCTCAGTCCCCAGAAATGCCCTTTGGCTGTGGCATTTCTTCCTTTCTCGTGCCACCATGGAGTAGTTCCATCAGATACTGGCTGGACAGGTCTGGGTTCCAGCTCGGGGTTCTGTCCTGAAGCTGTTTGGGTTGGCTGTTACATACGGAAGCGGAGGTTGCCATTTGTGGACAGGCAGCATCTTCTAGCCCAGCATGCAGGGACCCATTGCCATGATGGGGACTGGAAACCATTCCTGTGAGGGGGAATTCTCTCAATTCCTGCATTGTGCTTCCCAGGAATCTATCACTCCTATATGGAATACAGTGAGCTCAAGAAGAAGGGTGCCACCATCCAGACCATTGGATTTACCACCAACCTGTCAGTCTATGGCAACGTCAAGGAAACGTGGCTTGCGGCCTGTAAGTCTGGGGTGGGGGGTGGGCTTCCTTTGGCTTGGGGAGGGGGTGGGTTAGGGAGGGGGTGTGGGGAGGGAGGAGCAATGTGCGAAAGGCAACAGGAGTGTCACATTCGACCCGAGACAGGAATCTTGTGGCCAGGAGCCAGGGAAGCATTTCAGAGCAGCCTGTGGTTAAATTCAAGTAATATAGCAAGTTTAAAATTAAAAGATAATGGAATAAAATTTACTTTTATACTATTTGAAAAAAAAGCCCAGTCTTTGTCAGTTATGCTAGTGTCTTTGGGCTCATTTGCTTTGGAAGGCAGGACCAGCATTCATTCTTTAAATAATTAGAATCCTCCCCTTCTGCCTTTCTTATAATCTCCGCAAGTTTAAAAAGTCTGAAGGTAAATTAAACCACAGTGGGCTGCCCTGTCCATCTGAACCAGGCTCACAGACTTCCCAGTGACTAAAACTCCCCTTCCAGTTGTGACTTGTTGTGAACCTGGTAAGAGACCTCCACACCTGAAGGAATGGAAGAGTTTGGTTCATGGAGACAAAGGCTCCAACTTTATCCATGGTTTGCATTAACCGTGGTTTAGAATCTCAAGCATGATTTGAGCTTCAAAATGTGGTGTAGAGAGCCAGTGTGGTGTAGTGGTTAAGAGCACGGGACTGGGACTCAGGTGATCTGGGTTCTAGTCCCCGCTCAGCCATGGAGCCAACTGGGTGACTCCGGGCCATTCACAGACTCTCAGCCCAACCCACCTCACAGAGTTGTTGTTGTGGGGATAAGATGGAGGAGGAGAATGATGTAAGCTGCCTTGAGCCCTTTGTAGGAAAAAGGCAGGATATAAATCAAAAGATAGATAGATAGATAGATAGATAGATAGATAGATAGATAGATAGATAGATAGATAGGATGTGTCCCTGGCAAACCATGGTGCAGAACTGCCAGTCTACTTTCTATGTCCTCTTTATACCGCTCTCTTTCTCCCCTTCAGTGATAATCCTTTCGGTGTTGGAAGCCATTATGCTGCTCACCCTGCTGTTCCTCCGTAACCGGATCTTTATTGCCATTGCGCTCATCAAGGAAGCCAGCCGGTGAGTGGATCTCTCTGCCTCTTGTCTTTGCTCCGAGTGGAAGCCAGTTCAAGGGGAAGGCCCCACGCCCTGTGTATTTATTGGTGCCTGTCGCCTTCTTCCGCAGAGCCATTGGGTACATGATGTCATCCCTCCTTTATCCCATTCTGACCTTCATCTTGCTGGTGATATGCGTGGCCTACTGGGGAATGACCGCCCTGTATCCTTTCGAACTGGAGACTTGTATCTTGTTCTATGATCCTGTCCCATTGCTGGGAAATGAGCTAATACAGCAATAAGACTATACAGACTACATGTTTGGAATAGCATTTTTATCCCACCCCCCCCCGCCCGCCCCGCAAACAACAACAAACTGCCTGGAAGAAATATATTAGCATGCCAGACCTCTCCCTGTTGTGGTAATTTTCTGCTTGCAGAGAGTTTGCTTGCTTGCTTGCTTATTTTAAAGAAAAAGATTGTAGGTAGCATTGTAGATTGTAGTGCAGAAAAGATTGGAAAGGGAGACATTTTTCTCCCTTTCTCATGATATAACAACCCAAAGAGGTCATCCCATTAAGCTGATTGGTGGGAGATACAGGACAGATAAAAAGAAGGACCGCTTCACACAGTGCATAATTAAACTGTGGTAGGGGAAGGCCCCACGCCCTGTGTATTTATTGGTGCCTGTCGCCTTCTTCCGCAGAGCCATTGGGTACATGATGTCATCCCTCCTTTATCCCATTCTGACCTTCATCTTGCTGGTGATATGCGTGGCCTACTGGGGAATGACCGCCCTGTATCCTTTCGAACTGGAGACTTGTATCTTGTTCTATGATCCTGTCCCATTGCTGGGAAATGAGCTAATACAGCAATAAGACTATACAGACTACATGTTTGGAATAGCATTTTTATCCCACCCCCCCCCGCCCGCCCCGCAAACAACAACAAACTGCCTGGAAGAAATATATTAGCATGCCAGACCTCTCCCTGTTGTGGTAATTTTCTGCTTGCAGAGAGTTTGCTTGCTTGCTTGCTTATTTTAAAGAAAAAGATTGTAGGTAGCATTGTAGATTGTAGTGCAGAAAAGATTGGAAAGGGAGACATTTTTCTCCCTTTCTCATGATATAACAACCCAAAGAGGTCATCCCATTAAGCTGATTGGTGGGAGATACAGGACAGATAAAAAGAAGGACCGCTTCACACAGTGCATAATTAAACTGTGGAATTCACTTACAGGAGATGGAACAATCTGGACAGCTTTAAAGGAGATTAGACGAGCTGTTGGAGGAGAAAGATGGCCAGTCCTATGACCAGACAGGGATAAGCGGCCTCCTCATGCCATACTGGCTTTCAATTTGGTGACTTTGTGGGGGATTAATTTGAAGGATGGGGGGTCCTTCCCTTATCAAGGTAACCACAGGTTTGCTTTAACTGAAAGGCAAGACAAGCCTGAATGCTTTTCTCCTCCCAAGAGGCTTTACTGGAGGCAGTCTGGAAATGTGGCTGCCGGACATTGCACAGGAGAGCCTAAAGTAGCAGGAAGGAGTTTTTGTTGCTTATAAAAAGAAAAGCAACCCCTCACAAAAGTGAGACCATCACCAGGCCTGGAAGATTAGCCCCCTCTTTGGAAGATGGGGCGGCTTTCATCGTAGCCTGCTGAAACTCTTGAAAAGCACTGGGCCAAATACTTCAGCACAATCTACTGAATTCTGGTTTTTTGAAGGGGAAAGAAAAACATTTTCTCTCCCAACAGCCTCTACAGCTTTCATAAATGTATATATCTCTGTCATCTTCCTTCTGTAAATTTTTCTCTAAGCTAAATGGTTCAGATGTTTTCTCTGCTTCAGGGAAGGTGCTGCAGCATTGATACTGACTTGATCATTTTGGTTGCTCATTTCTGAGTACTTTTCCAACTTCACGATATCCTTTTTGAACTTGGGCAACCAGAAACCATACTTTGCTATTCCATACATTCATAAGAAAGCACCTCGATCCTTGGCTGTGTTATTTATAGCTGGGTTCCTACTCATTTCTCACTCAGAATTTGCCTAAGTCACCATTGGTGCTGCACACAGAAGTGATCAGTTTCCCAGTACTCACAACCAGTTCAGTCCATCAGTACATAAGTGAAGTGAGGAATATTTATCCCAATGTGTATCCTTTTTCATTTACTTAAACCTGAATCTCTTCTATTATGCTGGCATTTATTGAATTTAAAGACTCTCTCTTGGAGCTTTTCAACAGGTCAGTTAGAAAGAACTAAGAGCACACTTATAAATAAAAATAAAATTGGCCACAATGCCCTGTCAAGAGCCACAGTTTGTTGTGTGTAAATGGTGAAAAGCGATAGGAGGCAAAATCTCGCTTTTTGTGTTTTACACCTCTATTATCTCCTTCCTTGACTAGTATTCACCTTTAAGATATCTCGCCACCTCTGGATCGCCCCTTTATCGCATCGCCCCCATGAATTCCAGCGCCCCTGAGTGCAAAGGCGTCTCTGGCAATGAAAGCTGCAATCCGCTGGTGAGTGGCCACACCCAGAGCGAAGGCGACTCGGGGTGCTTCCACGCAGAGGCCTTCCCATGCTTCCCAGAAGGCACGGTGCAGGCATCAAGGCCGACGCAGTGTGCGAAGCCGAGCAAGGAGCAGGGTGGGTGGCTAGGCGGGGATTTTAACTTGGGTCTTCCTTATCCAGATCCACCAGACCAGCCTGGCTCTTTGACTTCCACAAGGAACCAGACTGCCTGCCTCTTCTTTGTTTTAAATAACATTTTTATCTCCGTTGTTTCATCCACAACCCCTATGCCATCTATTAAATTGCAAAATGTTTAACTTAAACATCTTCTTTTGACAACTGTGTGATGTAGTGGTTAAGAGCCAGTGTGGTGTGGTGGTTAAGAGCATGGGACTGGGACTGGGACTCAGGCGATCTGGGTTCTGGTCCCTGGTCGGCCATGGCGCCAACTGGGTGACTTTCGGCCAGTCACAGACTCTCAGCCCAACCTACCTCAGAGAGTTGTTGTTGTGGGGATAAGGTGGAGGAGGAGATGTAAGCTGCCTTGAGCCCTTTGTAGGAAAAAGGCAGGATATAAATCCAAAAATAAATAAAGAGATAAATAAAATAACTGCCCTCTTCAATGTGCACAAGCCATTGTGCTTCCACTTTGCCTTAGAATCCAGCAGTGTGCCCTGTACTGCAGTCTACACAACAGATCAGTTGTTTAAAGACCATAAATCTTACCATCGCCCCACTGTGCCTGGACACCCGGCACTGCAAAGGGGGATCACCTCCAAATGGTTAGCCGGCGGCTACCCAGTGATTCAGGAGTGGCAGGGCAACATTGGTAACCTCTGCAGGCCTTTAGCATTTAACTTTTATGCAAATACCAATGGACTCTTTTTCCGACTATGGAATTTTATGCAAATACCAATGAATTGTTTTTCTGAAAGCACTCAAGGCATGTGCTTTCCATGCTGTGGCCCCGATGCCACTCCGGCCGTCCACACTGTGAAGCCCTGGAGCTTCTTTGGCTGCTGGGGACAGACCTGGATTTTTGGCATTTTTGAGAACTTGCCAGGCAGCTCTTCTCCTCCTCGATTCGAGCAGAATTGCAGCTCTTCCTTGGGTCCAGATTCATGCCTGACAGAAGCTTTCTGGCCTCTTCGTAATCAGTAAGGAGGGTGGCTGGATCGTTTGGCTAAATCGGCACTATTTATTCATTCATTCAAGGTTTTGATAGGCCGTTCTCTTCAGCGCACGCTCTCAGGACGGTTTACAAATAAAGGGGCAGTCCAGCTTGCCTTAAGCCACGATTTCTCCCTCGGCTTTTTCAAGACTGTTTCCACACATGGCTATCAATCCCCTTCCGCCCTCATTTCCCCTTGTTATGATCACTCTTTCCTTTCCGTCGGAAGAGAAAAATATTCCAGGCATGCAGAGAGTTCTTTTTAAAACTTTATTGCAATGAAGGTAACAGAAAGGAATGGTTTCCTTCCCATTGTTCTGTTCACCTGAGCACATGTTCACACACTCCTTTTGAACCCTGCTCGGGCAGCTTGTTCCCTCCTCCTTTCCCCCAATTAGCTAATAGGGTACTGAGAGGTTACCCTCTTTCCTCCCACCTCCTCCGTGCTGCCCCAACACCTGCCCTTCTTCCCAATCCAGCCCGGCCCCTGGTGGGCTACAGTAGGCTCATTTTGCTCTGCCAAGTTTGTCAATAAACAATCAGGAAGTATTTGGCCCTCCTGCCTACGTGCCTGTTTCCCCACACCTTGTGCTATCTGATTTCGGCCCCTCCCCTCCTTTGGGCTAAGTAATTTTCTTTGTTACCTTTTTAAATCTCTTTTCCTCCCTTATTTCAAATCATCCTTTCACACCTCTCACCCTCGCAGAACTTCAATGGCAGCTCCCACCTCCCCTGCATGACGGAGTGCATTTTCTACAAGTACAACGAGGAAGGCTTGTTCCAGCAGAACATCTTCAACCTCCAGATCTACAACGTGCTGGGCTTCCTCTGGTGCCTCAACTTCGTCATCGCGCTTGGGCAGTGTGTGCTGGCGGGCGCCTTCGCCTCTTACTACTGGGCCTTCAACAAGCCCCGGGATATTCCGGCCTGCGCTGTGATTAGTGCCTTCCTTCGGACCTTGCGGTAGGCAGCTTGTGGTTTGGAGGTGTCCTCCGCGGCATCCCCTTTGGGGATTATGGTGGCGGTGGTGGGAGTAATTCCAGGGAGCCAGAAGCTTGGGACCAGGAGCCAGAAGGAACGTCTTTTTCCCTATATGCCCTCCCGCCCAGGGCCGCCTCAACGCATACACCTGATGGGCACTTGCCCGTGGGCACCATACTAAACTGTGTATGTTAACCCTTGGAAAATTGGAACACTTCCAAAATTAACAGTAGTTGTAGTTGTCGTAGGGGCCCCAGTCCACTGCTTTGCCCGGGGCCCATCATGCTGTTAAGACGGCCCTGCTCCCGCCCCTTAAGATCCGCAGCAGAGGCCCTGCTCCGAGAATCCTCCTTGAAGGGAGGTGAGGAGAGAGACCCCTCGGAGGAGGGCCTTCTCCGTGGTGGCGCCCCGGCTGTGGAATTCGCTCCCCAGAGAGGGTCGCCTGACACCGACTTTATATGCTTTTTGGAGCCAGGTCAAGACCTTTTAATTTACCCAATATTTTAAAGTTTAAATATTTTAATTATGTTTTTATTGATAGATCCTCAGTCGCATTTTACCTTGTCATGGTTTGATGTATTTATTAGGTATTTATTATATTGTAAGCCGTCCAGAGACAACTCGTATTGGATGGGGTAAAAATATCCTAATAAATAAGCAAGCTCAGGGCCAAGGGCCAAATCTCCCCTTCTGGGGTTTCTCAGAAGGACAGGCCTTCTTTTCCTGGCTCCATACCCTTTCCTATAACCACAGATCATGTGAGGTTTTGCCCCCCACCCTAAAAGGTTGAAATGCTTTTTGTAACCTCAAGCGACTGATAGTAAGAGCTTTAAACTAAAAAACACTGGAATTTTGGCCCCAGTCCTTTTGCCTTCAGCCCTACCAACTCTTGGATTTTTTTTTCCAGAGTTATTCCGACATCAAATTTGGCCCTTGTGCTGACAAGAGGTTCTGGTCTCCTTGCTGTGTAGGGTTACCAGCCTCTTCTGGTAGGGAAAAACATGTCCCTAACCATTCCTATTTATAAAGGATGGTGGTCCGAAACTATTGGTGTGGGGCTGAATCCAGGGACCATCGTCAGTTGATGTTCCTATGCACAGCAGAAATGGAAAACCAGTTTTGCTCTGGGAGCTGCACTGGTTCCAGGCCTGTGGTGGACAGGACTATGGGTCAAAGTGAGCACAGCCATCCTCGCTGCTAACACATAGCCCTGGGCATGAGGCTGCGCTCGTGTTCCCTTCATCCCCCCTCCCCAGACACATTTACACACACCATTCGCCTCCATGGAAAGTTCGCTGTTGTGTTGCGTTGCTGATCTCCAATCAGCGGAGGGAGCGGGTGGAGCTCGTGGAGAAGACTGGCACTTATGCGGGGAAACCTATGGACCATATATGGTTGGTGGGCCTGAGGTTCCTCATGTCTGCTCTAAAAGGAGTCCACAGTAGTAACTAAAGCTGTTTGCTTTTGGTTTAGAAAACACACGGAAACTTAACCTCTGTAAAAGCAGAACATGCCAAGTCTGAATTTGGGATAGCATGGAAACCTGGGATTTCTGGAACAGAATGCTTATCTAATCCATTTTGAATTGGCCTTGATTAGTCCACTGGTTCTTTTCTGACATCCCCTGCCCCATTCTCTACACTGCAGCTGTCTCTGAGTTCCAGGATGGCCCTCGGGGATGACATTTTCCATGACTCAGAGAGCTCTGGCCATTCATCAAGGGTTGGAAAAGTGGTGGCACTGCAGATGTTAAGCAGATTTATGGAGGATAAGGCCACGAATAGCTGCAGGTTATGAGGGCCCCGTATTTCCTCCAGTATTAGTGCCTCCGAACACCCGTTGCCGGGGAGCTTGGGTGGAAGCCCTCGTGTCCTGCTTGTGGGTTTCTCACTGAGGATCTGGTTGGCCAGCACTTGAGCAGGATGCTCTTACGTCATCCCATCATCCTCAATATTGGCCATGCTACCAGAGCTGATGAGAGATGGAGTCCATCTGCAGGGCAGCCACCTTGCACCTTAATGACATCGTTAGTGCCCGAGGACTCGTCTGTAGAGTCCTCTCCAGTTCCATGTTGGTCTTTCAACTAGCCAACCGTTTCCATCTTGACACAAGCTATTTTAAGAGGTGTGTCCATGCAATGGGGCGTCTGCATGTTCTCTCTCTCCACAGGTACCACATCGGGTCTCTCGCGTTTGGTGCCCTCATCCTCACCATCGTCCAAGTTATCCGCATCATACTGGAATATTTGGACCACAAGTTGAAAGGCAAGTGCAAGCCAGGAAGGAAGGCGGGCCAGCAATAAGTGCCCCAAATCTTCCCTGTCAAATTAATCAACACTGGAGGTAAATTTAGGATAGAGCTCTTTCAAATTCCAGGAGGGTTTTGAGGCTGGCCTTGAACTGGAAGGGTCAGGATGAAGGCATTGTGGGTGCTGAGCAGGATCCCAATTTACACCTCAGCAATTGCTCTGATGAAAGTGGATGTCCCCCTCCCCTTCTTCCCATGGCAGAGCCTCCAGCCCCCCCAAAACTGCTGTGCAGAGGTCCATTTCGCGCAACACGCTGAGCCCACCATGGGTTATTCCATGCTGCAGTGTGCCAAGTGCCATTTTGAATGTGCTGTCCCCAGCTGGGTTGCAGAGTGTCATCCAAACTTGCCTATCATGGGTTATTCAAAGGCTTATCAACACTTGTGTAAATTTGCAATAATATTATCATTAGGGCAGTAACCCCTGATGAGTTAGGCTAGCATGACATGCTGTAAGCCTTTTGGGGGTCGCATATTCAAGAATGGCAAGCTGGCATGTTGCATGGCTCATCGGGGGCTAAATAACCCACTGTTTCATGCGAACTGGGTTAGAAAGTCACCACAGCTCTCCCTACTGAATGGCGTGGGCTGTGATGTAGAGGAAGGGTCCGCCATGAGTAGGACCCTTTCCTCCAGAGAAGGCGGAATCCAACCTGTGAGTCTGAGCTCGTGTGTTCACAAAGAGGAGGGGACAGAAGCTCCCAACACAACCTTGAAGAAGGCTCCATGTGAGCATAACCGAGGGAATGTGGGCCTCTCTATGCCCTGCATCTAATTCTGCCTTGGTGTTTGCAGATGCCCACAATCCAGCTGCCCGTTGCATTCTTTGCTGTCTGAAATGTTGCTTCTGGTGCCTGGAGAAATTCATCAAGTTTCTCAACAGAAACGCTTATATTATGGTAAGCCTTGCTCTTGGGTGAAAGGGGAGATCCAAGCCCCTTGGATCTAGTCTGGGGAAAGTGACCTTTACTTATATTGTATATTTGTAATTTATTTTAATGTATATATTTTAAAATGTTATTTAACTTATTTGTGGTAAGCCGCCCCGAGGCTTCGGCGAATGGGGCGGTATAAAAATGTTTTAATAAATAAATAATAATAATAAATAAAATAATAATTAATTGGGTGTGGGCTTGGGTGGATTCCGGGGGCTGGTGGAGGACAGGAGAGCTTGGAGGAATGTTGTCCATGGGGTCGCGATGGGTCGGGCAGGACTTGTGACTAAACAACAACAAACGACAAGTTCGGCCTGTGTGTAGTGATGGTTGGGTTGTGTGGGGTGGCGGAAGGGTCGCCTGAGCATCAGTTCTGAGGAAGTGAGAACTAAGGGGAAATGCGGTGTTGCTGGGTGCTTTGGAGGGGAAAGGACTCGTCAGACATTCCTTCAAAAATGTAATTGATCTCTTTTTTGTCTTGGCTCTTAGATTGCCATTTATGGAAAGAATTTCTGTGTATCGGCCAAAAATGCCTTCAAGCTACTGATGCGTAATATTGCCAGGTAACCAGGGCGAGAGGCCGAGGGTGGCAGGGAAGAAGGATGCCAGGAAAAGCAGGCCGATAGGCCCGAGAGGGGAGGAGCTTCCCTTTGTTCTACCCTGCACCTTCTCTCCACACAGGGTTGTAGTGTTGGATAAAGTAACAGACCTGCTGCTGCTTTTTGGTAAACTCTTGGTGGTTGGAGGAGTGGGTGTTCTGGCGTTCTTCTTCTTCACGGATCGAATCCACATCAGCAACTCCCAGTTCCGGTCCCCAGTCCTCAATTACTACTGGCTGCCCATTCTGGTATGTAGCTGGGACCATTTCTCTGAGTCTCTTTCTCATGCAAGGAGTTGGACAAGATGGAGTCCTTATAGTCTTCTTCCAAGTCTACTATTCTATCATTTTGAAGGGAGTTGGGAATTGGAGAAGAGGGGATGGAAGCGGACAAACCAAGATCACTCAATTCTTGCTTCAGTTGGACTGTCTTTTATGCCTTGTAGGGGAGATCCTTAGAAGTTATTTTTAATAATGTTTTGTTTCAATTAATGTGGCGTTTTTACTTGTAAGCAGCCTTGGTAGGATTTCCTCCTGAAAACTAGACCAGAAATCATGCCAACCAGTCCGTATTCCATTATTCAATGCTCACAAATTGAATTATCAAAAAAAAAGTGCCAGAACCTCAGAAAAACCAAGTCACTTGCATAAAACTGCGAGGAATTGATGTGAAAAAAATGTTGACTGTCACGTAGGGCTCTGCAGTAGAATATTATTCCAAATTTTGTGTGGCTCAGTTGGCCTAACATAGCATAAAGTAATCTGATTAACTTCCGGCTTGCTTTGGAAATAATAGCGTGCTTGACAAAAGCCTTTGCAGAAGCCTTTGCAGCAGAAATAACGCTTGAGCTGCCAAGATCAGTAGCCTCCAGAAAATGACAGACAGGAACACAGCAAACCAGAGGTGGGGGCGTTTTGGGGAGGGTGGGGTTCATGGGCTTGATTCCAAGTTGGAGAAGCACCTGGGGCCTTAATTCCAATGTAGGTGGGGGAATAGGATGTGGCTGAGAAAGTCCTCTCCATTTCATTTTTACCAAATTACAGTAAGAGTGATGTCTGCACCCCCCCCCCGCATTGCGTACTCAGAAGTACACAGGGAAAATAACTCAGCAGCAAATAGTGCTCCAAACACCAAGCAAGCATGGGAATCCTGCCTTCTCCCAAGTAAACAGGGCAATCCTTTGCATGGCTCAACACGAAGCACCCTTCCCTGTTCCTTCTCCGCAAGGAAAAGCTCTTATCTCCGATCAGCAAATAAGAGCTTTTGGCCCCATAGCAGAAGAGATGGGGATAGAGAAGAAACTGCCAGCCTTCCCTAACCTAGTGCCCTTCAGGACTATAGCTTTCATCAGTGCTTGGCATTGAGCATGCCGACTGGGACTGATGGGACTTGTATTCCAAAATATTTGACGGCACCATGCTTGGGAAGGGTGTTTGAAAGTATAGATCAGCCTGGGATGCTTTATAGTTGAAAGGTCTGCCTTCTCCCTCTTCACTCCATGTTTCCCCCATCTCTCCTTTAGACGGTGGTGGTAGGTGCCTACTTCATAGCCCAAGGATTCTTCAGTGTCTATAACATGTGTGTGGACACTCTCTTCCTCTGTTTCCGTGAGTATTATTGGCATCCATTTTGACCACATTTCGGTATGTGATAAATGAATGGGCCTGATGGAAAGCTGTCATCCCTCCTTGCAGTGGAAGACCTGGAGCGGAATGATGGTTCTCAGGAGAAACCCTATTACATGTCCAAGTCCCTCATGAAGATCCTCAATAAGAAGAATAAGAAGCCCAAGGACTAGTAGAAATAATGCTGGGAAGAGGCAGGGGCCGCCTCCTCCTCCCACGGCTCGCCAAGTTGCAGTGCTACCGGTCCACATCATTTCCTGCTGTGTCCCTTCCTGAAGGCTGTTCCCGGATTTTGGGCCCTGCGCCCCCCTCAGGTACACTCAACACCTCCCTCCTGCTGCATCCCAGTCCCCCGTGGACTGCACACCTTGCGGCTTTGGGGCCTTGCCCGAGAAGACAGACAAGCCTCGTTTGCCACACATCCTTGCCATTTTCAGGAGCCCCACTGCTTAATGACCATGTTGGTTTTTTTAGAGGATGGCAGCCATTTTAACATGAGACCCAACGTCTAGCCTGACCCTTTCTTGTTCAAGCTTCCATGACCAGGTGTTGAGCGTGCCGCTCCCACATGGACGGGTGGCTGCAGTTCCCCGTCCGTGTCTTTGTTCACGCCTCCCTGAAGCCCCATTCCGACTGCTGCTTTACTCTTTTGTCTTCCAACCCCCTTACTACCGCTTTAGAGAAGGTTCCCCTGCCACCCATGAAAGCAAACCCCTGCCCGGTTCCACGATTTTCTCCCACCTGTCTTTCGGCATGAAGCTGATCAAGTTGTCGCCTGTGGGGTTGCAGCCAGTGTTACGTTAACTCTCAATTCAGTGGATCTATGCGAAGTAGGATTTACATCGGCGGTGGTGCCATAGCAGTGCTCTTCTCACAGTTGGCCACTTTCCCCCAACTCTATATAAGTTTGCAACAAATAGTGGATTTCCTTCTGGTCTGTGCCCTTCTCCACATCAAGTCAGGCTACAGAGAACCGTGTGCGAGTCCCGCTAGGACTTCCCAGCTGCTGTAATTACTGCATAGTCAGCTTCGTCAGGGGCTCTCATAAGTGTCCATTCCCACCCTGACAGCCACATCTGGATTATTTTACTTGTGACCATGTTCCGATTACTCACACCCACCTACTTTCCACCATTCCAATACCTTTCACCTGCCAGCAGGTTTTTCAGGCCGACTGTGCCAGTTCCTACCCAGATAGTTCCTTTTCAGATTATCTATTTTATGTGCTGTGGCATCGGCCAGATTTCTAACAAAGTGTGTGCTTAAATCCAGTTAAACAAATGGGTTTAAACATACGTAACTACGCCCCAAATGGGAACCAACTTGTGCCTTCACGGACAAATTACACATCCTTCCCTTTGTCTCCCAGTTTTGCTAGGTTAGTTCATTGGCTGGACTTTGGTTTGCAAAAGACTTTGGCTCAAAACAACTTCCCAACACTCCCCAGTCCCGCACTTTTAGCCTCACCTTCTCCCAATCGGCTTCCAGCTGTATATTTCTCTGGGCCCGTCTGCCCTCACATAATTCAAAAATACAAAATTTCCTCTTTCTGATACAAAACACAATCAACATTCTTCAGATTCCTTTTTATATTGCCCATGTGAGCTGCTAAAATGTACTGTATATAAGTTTTTTTTTCTTTCTGTACAAAAATTGAAAGCTTTTTTATTGGAAGGTTAGAAATTTATTAAAGCTGATTTTAAATAAATGGCACTGTGGTTTCTCTCATTCAAGCACTCTATTTTGAAATCAACAAACCGTTTCACACACATCCCTACTGACAAATGCCAGAACACACCTTATTCCTGCACTCACTGGTACTGCATTCAAATTTTTCACCAAACATCCCTAATGAAACAAATGAGTTCACACAATCCCGCACACTTGGTGTGATGCATGCTGGTTCTTGCACTCAGGTGTGCTGCTACAGAGCTGCCTCTACAGTCCTTCAGAAACTTCAGCTGGATAAAATGTGGCATCCAGACCTTGATCAAATGACCAGCAATCCCATTTAGTTCCATTTTCATTGATGACATCCATTATTGATGGGTCTGGTTTCTTCAGGAAATCTCTGCTCCCATCTCAATTGTGCAAGCTTTAAGTTGCCTCTTCCTTTTAGAGAAGGTAGCTTCTGCGCAGGAAGAGCGCCACTCATGGAAGGCCCCATCACTCATGTAATTTTGGGGGATCCCCTTCACCCCATACCGCCGCTCATCCCTTTCAGCAGAGGCTGCCTTTAGAGAGCACCTGGACCACAGCAGCAGTGGTGGCAACCACGCAGAGGTAGGTGGGCGATGCGACGGTGGGGGAGATGGGGCAGAGCAGGGCTCCGGTCAAATCCAGAAGAGTATGCCATCACTATCGACATCAGTGCAGACTTCACGCCACGTTAGAGCAAGAAATTATGATTAATAATTACATTATTTCAGGCAGTGCATTCATAAGAAACGGCTTCCACATCATGAAACTTACTCTCCACCATTCCCAATATCCCCCCACTGGCCTCCATCGTCAGGAAACAAACAGGGAGAATCAAGCTATCCCTGCGCAGCTTCTTTGCCATTTCGTTTTCTCCAGCACCTCTTGACATTTGGTACTCTTCAGGTCAGGTGAGAGGCAGACAAATCTCACCTGAAAGTGGAAGGAAGCAGCACTGTCAACCCATTTTGCAAATCCTACATTTTTTTAAAGTTATGCATAGGCAGGCACTTAGGGAGGCACAATCTTTGAGATTAAGCCTCAAAAATTACCTGCCTCCTTTTTTTTTATTAGCCTGCTAATAGGCTAGCAGAACATTTGTAGGCCAGTCATGAAAGGGGCAGGGGCCAGCATTAAAAGACAGTGCTAACAGCAGGAAAATTTTTAAAAATACTTAATAGTAGACTTCTAGTGAGCAGCTTGGCAGAAAAAGGACAGAAATGAGGGCAGGATGCCATATTTTCATGGACAATATGGAAATCGGAGGACGCTGCAGCATGGCAGAGAGGGTATGGAGTGGAACAGGCTGCCTGGAAGATGGCTGCAGAAAGAGCCGGCGTTCTGTCCAGCTGGGTTCTAGTTATAGAATGAAAGACGGAGGGTATGTATATTCTCTCTCTCTCTCTCTCTCTCTCTCTCTCTCTCTCTCTCTCTCTCTCCTGCAAAATATCTTGGATCAGTTCCGAACGCCCCCAATGCCATGCCTTCCCCATTGTTACAGCCCCTCCCCACTGCTTACCCTTTTCAACTGGCTTCCACTTCATCCTCCTCAGCAAGTGTTGCTGCAGCGTCCTCAGGATCCGGTCCTTCTCCTGTCCCTCTCGCAGAGCTTTCTGTCACAGATGGGACAAATGCATGTCAGAACCAGCTTAAAAGTACAAAACTGAACTTGCCCAGTTCTTGGTCTGCCCAAAAGTGCAATTTTGGGTGACCTGCCAGAAGGTATTAAACTCTAGACAGAAGGCAGGTGCTACCCATGGGGCACTCTTGAAGGAAGGCAGTTTGCTAGTTACTGTAATAGCTAGCAAACTGAGAAAACCTGTGGGCAAGACATTTTATGATAAAATTATCTTTTTCTTGTTAGGCTTATTTTCTCCAAAAAGAAAAAATAATCCCTGCCACTGAACCTAAAAAAGCTGGGAGCACATACCAGAGAAACAAGACCCACAAGAAAAGTTCTTCATTGAAACTTGCTAATGGATTTTATATGTTTTATTTTTATATACTGCCCCGTACCCATTGGCTCTGGGTGCTTCACAAGACCTCAAAACAGAATATTTGCCTCCACTTCTAAAGCTGGCCTATTTATTTATTTATTTATTTATTATTTATTTAGAATTTTTATATGCCGTCCTATTCGCATGAGCCTCGGGACGGCTTCCATACAATAAACAAACAACCATACAAATAGCGCACATAAAATCCAGATTCACCCTGGCTGCAAATTAAAATGAAGGACCAATGAAGGACTCCAGGTGACAGCTCCAGTTAGTGAGGAAAATGAAACAGAATCACCGCGGTATGTGGTGCTCAGTATTCCAGGGTGGCCCCAGCTATTTTGGCAGCCGAGGTAGAAAATCTCAGAAGCCCCTCTGCCTCGCAAAATGACCTGGAAATGCAAAAGAAGCCATTTGCCGTTCTTTTATGGCTTCCCCAGCAGCAGCCCGCAGCGGGGCCCCCCACTTCCCCTCCCGCAGGCGTGAGGGGACTTTTCCTGTAGAGCATCACAGGGGGACCTCAGGGGGACCTTCTAAGGAGTTGTGGTCCTGTAAAGGGCGAGCCTGCAGTGGGAAGGTACGCCCTTCTGCTCTCCCACATTCCCCCCTGGCAGGCTGCTCTTGGCAGGCGGTTTCTGAAATTAGCCTGTGGGCCACACGGGATTTGTCCAAAGGCTACTGCATAACCACAGGGCTGGCCCCCTTTGGCAGGGGGGAGCGAAGTCTTTGCTCCAGGCTTCAGCATCACACTCACTGCTCTTTGCTCTTTTTAGAGCAGTTTCCCTCAACCTGGTTTTGCCCATGGGAAGTGGGAGAGGCAGGGGAAAGGTACATAAAGCTATTTGGCGTAGTGAAGGTACAGCGGAGAAGAGAGCAGGTTCCTCTCCTCTGGCCTGGTGGACTCTTTTTGCAGCAAAAGTAGGGTCCTCCACCTCTGTTTTACAGATGAATGGGGAAAAATATATTTGTAAACATTGTGAAATAGGTTAGTTTGGTCCCAAATGAATTTCAAATGTTGTCTCAACCACAGTCTTCTAGCTAAAAGCTAGTTGAACTTTCTCTGTCTTTCTCAGGTATTTATATCCCATCCTATTGGCTAGCGCTCAGGACAGCTTACAAAATATAAAAAATACGACATGCAATATAAAAATACAATATAAAATCTCAATTATTAAAACAATATAAACATAACACAAACTTAAGAAAAAGGAGGAAAAAATAGAAGTGCGACTGTGAAGAGAAGGCCCTAAAACATCTAAAACCATTGGTTATTATATGATGGTTAAATAAAAAGGTCTACATTACATTATAAAGTCTCTGCACCCTAATAGAGAGCAAGCAGATCTTCTGTTTGATCTTTTGTCTGTTATTTGGTGGCTTTTTCAATTTTTGGACTGCATTCCAATCTCCACTTACCCGGGTATAATCCACACTGAACACAATAGGACTTCCAAGTACATATGTACAGGGATGCACAGTTACGATTTGCTCAGTTCTCGGGCCAAAGGTGCCATGTGTCCAATCCTTTGGAGCCAACATGCATGCTTGAGGTGCTCCCCCAAGAACTCCATGGAAAGTCTCGCGATTCCATGCCTGCTATGGACACCTGTTCCAAGTCTCCCATTCCCGTATTCCTTGACATTTCAGCTCACCTCCAGGGCGTGGTTCTTCATATCCTCCATCCCCCTGAGCTGGGCCAGTTCTGCCCGACACTCCTCCAGCACTGTGGCCCCGTCGGCAAGCTCCGCCTGAGCCTGTGCCACGCACTTGCGCAGCTTTTCCGCCTCCCGAGAGCGTTCCTGGGCGTCCTGGGAACACTGATGCAGCTGTTCCTGCAAAATGATGGGAGAAAACAATGTTAAAATTAGGAGCTGCTAACAAGGGAACAGGAAATGTTTATTAAAGTTCCAATGGCCTGCAGTTACACAGTAATGAAGAACTGGCTTCCAGAGAAGTAAAAATATTTTTAAAAAGCAAGACATTTAAAGGAAATTCAACAAATTTGGTGACAAATGCTCAACCGCTTGACATTCACAGAAACTGAACAGTACCGACTTTTTTTAATCCATCAGTAATTGCACTTCTGTTTCTAAACACAAGTTTGATCTAAAGCTGTTAGCAGGGGCTAATGGGACCCAAAGAGCAGCCTGAGAAATACAGCTTGATAGCTGCTGCAGACTGAGCTGATTTTTAAAGGCCCAGGAGCAGATCAGGCGGGGGTTCTTGGTATCAGCTGGCAATCATATGAAACGCCCTGAGCGACTGAGGAAAATTCCACCTGCATGTCCTGGCCACCATGCCATACCTTCTGAAGTGAGAGGAGGTATTTTTGCTTCTCCATTGCACACAAATGAAGGACAGACATTTTGGAAAGGAGCCCATCCTGTCCTTCAGACAGGGACAAGTCCCTACAGGCCCCCCAGCAGCAACCACCCCAAGGCACACGCCAGTTCCCGTGCCCCCGCACACTACCTGCAGGACCTGTTCCCGGACTGCGGCTGCGGCTTCAGTTGCCTGCAGGCGTTCTTGCCACTGGGCTTGAATCTGCTCCTGCTCAGCCAAGGACTGGGCCAGCAAAGCTTCCTTCTCCTGGATCTGCTGGAGCAGTTTTGGGGCTAAGTCTGGGCTGCCAAGGGAATTCGCAAGGGTCTTGAACAGAGAGACACAAGAAGCGATGCAAACAGCATTAGAGAGGAACAGTCAGCTCTGCTCTTACCTTTCGTAAGAACAAATCGATAACCTCTCCAGGCCTTTACCAAAGATCAAGAGCATTTTTCTAGCATGCGAGTTTCTGAAACATCACGTTGATGACTCTTGATTAGCCTTGTAATATGCAAGCAGGCCTTCCCAAAGTGGGCCTCCCCGAAAAAGTAATAGTGCCTGAGGTACCATCATACATATGCCAAGGCTGGAAAAATCCATGGGTGGCCCTCCAAGGTGTTTCGTATGAATACCAACATTCTACAGAAACACCATTTCAGTTAAAAGCACCTGCTTCCCTTATTGTGCATGCTCACTACAATCACTCGCACAGCGACAGGAAAACACTGCATCTCAGCAGTTTAAAGTAGGCTATTGTTATTTGTTTTTCGGTGCCAGGCCAAGACCTTTTTATTTAAACGTTATTTTAATTGCTAATTTATTGATTGATTTTATATTTATGCCAGGATGTTTTTCAATTTTTATGTATTTGTACTGCTATTTATTTGTGTTGGAAGCTATTCTCACTGCCCCACTGAATGCTCTGGGCCAACCTCTTTCAAGGTTGGGGTGTGGGGGAAGGATGCACCTGAACAGCAGCCACAAATCCTGGCAGGAGGGCAGCCATGGGGCAAACTGTAAGCGCAGCTTGCACAACACAGCACTGGGCGAAGCGCGCAGAGCATGGCAGGTCCCAAAAGGAAGACTTATGGGTTATCCACCACCAGCCCCACTGAATTTCTCAGCATCACTCACTGGACCCTCTCACTGTATGCGCACATCAGCTTACTAGCAGGAAGAGTCCTCTAGGCCCATCTAAGTCAGCGCTCCCTTTCACAAGCACATGAACTTGTGACGGCATTACGAGTCCAGAAATCAAGTGGAACCACCTCAACATAGAGTTACTGGGCTGGAGCAGGGAGCGGCCTTTGGCAATAAAGGGCTCTGAACAAAGAGAACCCCCCACTTAATTTTTGGGGATATGCCCTCCGCCATCCCACAGCTGCCCGATTCCGAAGCATTTCCTGTGCTTCTAATGTAAGATTTCAGCAGACTAGAGGGGCTGCCGTGAGGAGGCGGCAGCGGGGACATCCACTTGCACCAACAGAGTGGATCTGACTTCCACCCGATGTTACCCTTTCAGTCCCAGGTAGCCGGACTGGATTTTGCCTTATACTTGACAAGTGATATAGAGGACATTTTGATAACTGACCGGCTCCTGTGTATTTTTAACTGGGGTTTTAATGATGATGTGTTGTGGCTTGCCTTGGGGTTGTTTTGTGATGGTGGGTGGGATATTAACAAAGAAAGATCATGGTTAAATGCTCTACTATGCCAAACGTTCCTTGCATACAGAAAACACAAAAAACAGAGATGTATCCTGCCACCCCGATATGCAAGCATTCACAGACAGGGATCTTTTAAAATACAAACTCTTTGCCACGGTCTGAAGCGGTAGAGTCCCCAGGGGGTCACTCTCCGTGATATTTCTGACGGTGGCGCTTGGCCCTCATCAGCTGAGCCAGCGCAGTGAGCTCCGCAGCTACCTGCACGTCCTGGGTGCTACTGCTCAGCGCCTCCTGGAGGGCTTTGATCAAGGTTTCTTTCTCCTTCAGGGACAGGAGCAAGACTTGTTCGTGCTGGTGCCAAGATTCCCGGGTCAAGGAAGAGAGTGATTCCAGGCGCTGGATCTCCCGGTCCTTCTGGTGCAGCACTTCCCGCAAGGCCTGCGGGGAGGAGGAGGCGAGCAGAGAACCTATCAGCACGAGGCTGCAGACAGGGTTGGCGGGGGCGGGGGGGCAAGACCACCTTTTGGGCCTGTGGGCACAGTTGCCAAATAGCGCCCTGGAACTGTCCTGGGCTTGGGGGAACGGCTAATCACAGGGGACCAGTAACCTGCCTGGAAAATTGAGATGGCGGCAACTAAGGGCATCTCATTTGACGGATGCCCTGCCTTTTTACCAATACTGGCTCTTAAGGCAGCGCTTCACTTTGAAGTCATTCCAGTACGAAAAAACAGCTTAAATTCAGATCGGAAGCAGTAGGAATGTCTTGGTGGCCACGGGTGCCCATGGCTCCGTGCCGCCTATCGCACGCCCCGGTCTCTATCTGGCCACTCGGTTCCCACCACTGCAACTGAGCCGCCATCTCCGAGCAGCCAGAAAAACCTAACTGCTCACCCAGCTGTCATTTTGCATTGTATGTCCGACCCTAGAAAAATCCAGATTTATTGTCTAGCGAACAATGGACCAAAACAAGTGAAAGTTCAATGTGTCGCATGACATTTTGTTAATTGAAAGGGGGAAAGAGCGTGAAAGGCAGGTGAGACAAAGCGGAAACACCCGGGAAGCCCGCGATGGGAATGAGGTGCAGCTACAGCTGTTTCAAGGTGATGCAGTTAAACAGCCTCCTTCATGGAATCGCACAAGGACTGATGCCGTGAATGTGTAGCCTGCCTGCTGTGTTTTTCTACCACTTCAGCTGCCTCTTTTCTTGGCAGGAGAAATCTGCTAAAGCAGGAAAACCAGGCAGCACACAGTGCCTTCGGAGAGGTAGTGCTCGGAGCCTTTCCTAGCGGGAAGCATGCTATGTCTCCGCGATGCCACCCACGCACGAGCACACAGCTCACGTTCTCCTTAAAGCACAAGGCAAGACCGGGCCGTGTTTGTCTGACGTGAGGGCAACAACCCTCTGTAGCCAAGAGGGCCAGAAACTTGTTGGTTTGGTTTCTTAAACAAAAATCAGGTTTCTCAAAATTCTCTAATAAGTTGTCAGACTTGATCTGAAAAGCAAAACCTACCAGCCCTTCCCTTCCTATGGGAGAGGGCAAAACTTGAATTACTTTCCCACGGTCTTGCATGAGTCAAATGGCCTCCAGTGACCATGCTACCGGATTTCTCCCTTGTTCCAGTACTCATCTCTCCATTCATACATGCAGGGTCTCCTCTCCCGTGCGGGCGACAGTGTTGAGTCTCGCTAGGTCTGCATCCTTGTCCTTCAGTGCCTCCCGAAGTTGCCTCAGTTCTCGGTGCAGAGACTCCAGTGCCAAGAACTGACTGGACAGGGTCTTCTGTGGAGGCAAAACATGGCAGAGGAGGTGAAACTGGGAGGGAAATCACAAGTCCCTTTATACAAGTGGCTTTTCAGCAAGAGTCGGGAGCGGGTTGATTCAAGATCTAGCGGGAAGAGAAAGGCAGACACTTGCTAGTCAGTCAACAGGCATGTCCAACTCCTAATTGTTTCACAGTAGTGACAAGATGGTCATAGGCTGGTACTGTAAAACAGAAATAGGATACACATCGAATGGATGTTTCTGAAAATCTGGCTCTTGCTGAAGAAAGTAACCTAGCCAGCTGATCAGAGGGATAAACAGGCAGGACTTGTTCTTAGAGGCATGGCTCCCTTTCCTTGCATAAGTGCGTGCGAGGTCCATGGCCCAGCATCCGCCGAGTGTGCGGTCCTATTTTTGGAAGGGTGTAATAACCACCTAGCAAGGCAAATGTTGTGACTGTGAAAATGGAGGCTACAAGGCTAAGTGGAGGGCCAAGCACCCTAAACTATGTGCAGGAGCTGTGCCGAGTAAAGCAGGCTGCTCATCTGGCTGTTTTGGGTGTCACAGCGTCGTTATCCCGCACTTTGCAAACACGATACTTGATTAAACAGAAAAAGCCCGTACACCTTCCCCTGTAAAACAACAACAACAACAGTGACAACAAAATCAGACTTCAGGCCCTCTTGCTCTGTCATCATTCCAACCTCTTGCTTTGCATTTGGCTCCAGCTGGTAGACAGAAATAGTTGCGCAGGAGGGAAGGGAAGACGGACAGATTGGCTGACTGACCACCCTCAAAGCTCTGCAGGTGCCTGTGCCTGGCTTGCCCAGCCAATGCCGCCTGGCCTGCACCGGCCCCAGCATCCTCAGCTGTGGCCTTGCTGCTCAAAAATGGGAGAAGTCGGAGATCTTCGCCATCAGGGGAGGCACCTCTCCCCATCCCACTCCAAAGGGCCCGATTCCGTTTGGAGAAGATCTCCAGTGGTGGCGCGAGGATGCATGCCAGGGGCGGCATACGAGAGCTGGAAGTTCTTCGTGCCAGTAGCTCCGCCTCAGACGAGGCATTTTAGCCATTTAGAAGGGGGGGGGGGGGCTGCAGAATGTGTGGGAAGCGGGTGTGGCCTTTTGGGAACCCCCTGGAAGCCCAGTTGGGGAGCTGGGTCGGGCCTCTGAGCCGGAGGTTCGGTGCTCCCGCATCCACGTTGGGATCATCCACCTGTGGAGCACCTGCTCTGCTTCGGAGAGGGGCCCTGTTGGGCATCTTGGCTACCGGCACCCCATTCCAAGCTGTGACCAGGATTCCTGGCTATTCCCTGAAGGGGAAGCAGTGCACACCCTTTCCGACGTTACCTCGAAAGCCCGGTCTCTCTCCTTCAGGCGTTGGGCCATTTGCCTTATCTGGCTTTCCAGCATGACGGGCTCGACCCTTGCAGATTCCAGGGACTGCAAGATGAGCAAACAGCCCTGCCAGACAGACAGAAGGAGGACGCCAGACACAGAGCATCATATGGACGGGCCTGAATCCTTCTCGGCCTCCCATCTTCTCCCTCCCCCTCCCCCTCCCCTTCCCACTGCCGGATGGAGATGAGGCCCTGTGCCTCCAATACGCCTGGATTTTTAAAAACGTGCTTAATTATATTTTTAGCCCACCCTTCCCCCAGGGAGCTCCTCCAGGGAGCTTTCTGCCAAGGGCGCACAACTAGCTCAAGGACAAGCGGGCAGCTTCGCCATTGAGCGGGGATCTCACCCACGTCTCCTCAGACATTCACAACAAGCAGAACGGCAGGGATTGGAGCTGGGCCCCAGGCTGCAGCCCCGACTATGCCAGGGGAAAGAGTTCCCCCTCCGAGTTTTTGCCCGAGGCACAGGGGCGCCGGCCAACAGCACAACCCTCCGCCTTGGTGCGCTCTCTACCCCTTCCGCACTCTTACCAATTCCTTTTATCCCCGTGGGGGAAAAGAGACTCATGAGAGATACGGCACGAGAGGGGCCTGCTGGCATGCCAAGCCGTTCTCTCCCTGCACCCTCACCTGCAACACCTCCTCCTTGCTCTGCAGACACCTGCTCAGCTGCTGGATCAGGCGCTCCTGGCTCCCTTTATGCTTCTCGTGCAGAATGTCAGCCTCCTGTGAGAGAGGCAGGCAGCGAAACCAGAGGAAGGGTTGGGCTCCCTTCAGGCAGAGCATGGCTGCTAGCACAGCACTCGGCGGGGAAGGGAAGCGAAGGCACAGAAAGGACCCAGGGCAGACCCAAGGCCACTGACTGCCTGGGTTCTGCCCGCTCCGCATCCCATTGCCACCCCCCACACAGAAGCCAGCTGGACTGGCCCAAGGGGGCCACTGGTGCACCATCGAAGCCGAGAAACGGAGCATCCCCCACAAAAGTGGACAGAGTCAATTAATGCTCGAATGTACCAGTATGTAGGAAGATATAAACGCAAATTTAGAAAAAGGTAGGAAATAAAACTGCAGTACATCGCGCTATAATAGACCTGCTTGTGTGACAGGCTCCCGCCCAGGGGAGAAGAGCCAGTGGGAAACTTCAGGGCCTCCACGTCTTAGGGGTGTCTTTAAATGGGACAGCTCCATGAGGGCAAACAGGGCGCTGCCATCCAAGGCTGCTGAATCTCCCATCCGTACTGGAAATGGGATGCAGGGCCGTTCACCAAACCCAAGCGCGGTTCTCTCGTTGCTCAGGGGCCTTTCCCGACGGAAGGAGAAGGCGACAGAGAGCCCGGCCCGCCCGCCCACACAGTCTGCAAGGAGCAAGCACGGCCGCCTCCAGGGCTCCGGCTTGCAACCGTGTGAAGGCCCTCTGGCTCAGGAGGGGCTGGCGGCTGCCGGAGCCAACCGCTTCGCCCTGCCTCGTGCCAGCAGGCCCTGGGGGAGGGCTCCTGCACCTTTCCCAGGTATGCGGGAAGGGGACCTTTGCAAAGCGCAGCCTGTCGTTTGGGAGCCACGGCTGCCAGAAATACTTTGCCTGCACAACTTTTGTTTGTGCCGGGGCCCCATCCCTGCACGAGGCTTGCAGAACTTCTGGCCTGGAAGCCAAAGGGGGTTCAGGGTTCCGATGCAGCCCACCAAGCCTCCCCAGCGGGCCACATCTCCTGCCCCCAGCCCCTTTTCCCCAACCCCAGATCGCCTGTCTGCTGGTTCCCCAGGTTTTGTGCAGGGTCCCCCCACCACCACCACCACCTTCATTCCAACAGGCTGCTGCTTCCAGGCCACCCACCAAATCCCATTTGGCCCCAGGGTTAAAAGGTGTTCCCGAGTCCACCTGTACCAGGAACAGCTCTACCTGGCCTGCAGCCTCTCCCTGCTTCTTCCGGAAGCTCCTGAGTTCTTCTGCTGATGCGTCGAGACGCTCCTTCAGGTGGTCAAAGGCCTCTTGGAGGCTCTGCTGGAGCCTCTGCTGAACATGGAGCTTTGAGGAGGAGGACAGAGAGTATGTTGGACTATCAGCCAGGATTCCTGTGCTCACCCAGGCAGATTTATTTCGGCTTCTGGCAACATTCTCAGGGTCTGAGTTCCAGAGATCTAGACTTCTTATCAGGGCGTTTAAGGGCAGGAGTGAACGCCCAGCCATTGGAGCAGTCTGTTTTCTGCGTTGCAATTCGCTCCCTCTTGCCATCCCTGACCCCGGGAGATTGGGCGCAGATGCTGCCCTTTGCCCCCATATATTCATCCCCCAGATCACAGGCCCACCTCCTTTTCTACCATGAATTTTAAGACACGTTTTTCTACCCTTAGCTTTTAGGTTTTGCCTCTCGAATCCTGGTGTAAGCCTGACACTTGGGAACCCTAGAAAGGTCCTGCTGCAGCAGTCACACCAGGGCAGGGGTGCTTGTCTCCATGCCAGCCTTTCCCAGCCTGGCACCTCCCAGACATTTCAGACTACGGTCTCAGTTAGGATGGCCAATGGGAGCCGTAGAGCAAGATGCCCAGAAGCACCCACATAAGGAGGGCTAACTGAGGTTATTACAACTGCCCGCCCCCCTTAGGTCAAGGATTGCCCCTTGTTTTGTCTGGGTTTTAATTAGGCTTGTTCCTTTGCCTTTTCAAGGACCGGACCGAATTTAAGTCCCTAAGACCAGCCATGCACTTCTGGCTTGAGCAGAAGCTGGGCACACGGGGCCTGCCCAAACTCAGGGTGACCAGCAGCACCTCCGTTCTGCCCTGCGCATACACTGGAGTCTCAGGGAGGGAGGACGAACGGCTGGGGAGCGATTCCCACAAAACACTGCGGCAGAGCAGAGCCAGCAGCAAGGCTGACGCGGCTGGGCACCTGGCCAGGCCCAGACTCGAGGTGTGGCCCACCAAGAGCCACACCTCTGGACCTGCTCCAGCGCAGCCTACCTGGTCACCTGTTTCTTACTCAGGATCAGGCAGTGATGGTGGTGGTGGTGGTGAGGAGAGGATGCCACGGCTTCCCTGCTGACTGGCTCTCTCTTAATCGAGTGCATGGTAGGAGTGATGGGACTGGGAATGAGGAGCAACAGCAGCTGTGCAAGCAGGTACATTCAGAGAAGGGGGGCTTAGCCAAGGCGTTCTGCCCACAGTCTGGAGGCAGCGCTGCCCTGAAGCTTCCCTTCCTCATCGTGCTTCCTACCTTGGACTCCACTGGCACGAACTCATCCACCACGTCTTCGAAGGCATCCTGCCCCAAGGGGCTCTCCCTCCGGGGGGTGGGTGTGCACTGGCCTCCCGCCAACACTGGGATCCTGCTGCCCGCAGGTGCTCTCAGGTGCTTCCGGCGGATGCCCATCAGGGCCTGCAGCGCCTCCCAGACCAGGTCTGGCTCTGGCGATGTGTCCAGGGACAGCCCCAAACAGGACTCGGCATCCCCCAGGCTCTGTGACCGCAGGGAGACCTGGGAGCTGACGCGGTGCACAGTGGGCATGCTCTGGGACTTGTCCCGGCAGAGGGGAAGGACTGGCGAGAAAGTGCCCAGCTGCCTTGGCGTCTGGCACACCCACTCGTAATCCGAGTCCGCCACCCGGAGCCCGTGGCAGCTGCGGCACCGCCGGTTCCGGCACGGCATCCCCGGGCTACTGCTGCTGGCGTCATTGGCCCAACACTCGTATTCGGAGAGGGCCATGTCGTCCTGCAAGAGCCGCTGGTACCGGACGTGTGGCAGGTCTGCGATGCTGGTGGATATCGCCGGATCTACGTAGGATGCAGAGATGTTGTCGTCTGGGAACTGCCGTGCGTGGATGTGGCGCAGCGAGCGAGCCAGCTGGTCTTTTTCTGAGAGCAGGCGCTGGAGGCGCTCGATGGAGAGCGCTTGCACCCGGGCAATGACTGTATCGAACCGGTAAACCCGGGCCAAGGCCTGGGCACATTTTCCACACAGGAATTCTCCCCGCCCGTCGCCACGCCGGGGCGGCTCTCGGTTGAGGACAAATGACAACACCACCAGCAGGTCAGGCCGCGAGTTGCTGCTGCTGCGGCCGAAGAGCCACCGCCGCTGGTTCCCGCGGAGCATCGCACCGCACAGGCGGCAGAAGTTGTTCTGGTTATCCATGGATGCGGAAGCGTGGGGAGCAGTGAAAAGAAAGGAATCCCGTCCTCCCAACTCCTCCTGGTTTTGTTACTTTCAACTCCTCTCCCCAACTAATACGACCCTAAGGGAATGCCATCTCTGCATTCAGATGGTCAGCCTAAGAACAGATGAAATTTCTGGATAATGTCGCCTGGATCTTCAGGCCGTTTATTTATATTTCTCTAGTGTTCTAAGCCTAGTTTCGTAACGAGCGCTCTTCAATTCTCTCCAAATTGCTTTGTCCTCTTTTCTGGTTAAAGTTCTTGTGCCTGGTCACTCCTAGTTTGATTCATTGATCCGGCCCTCTCAAATTCAGTTCTGGCCTGCCAGTTTCTAGATTCTTGGCCTTCCTGTGATCAAAAACTACTCTGCCTGCTTCTAAAATTAGATTATATATACCTGAGTGCCCAGCGCTCCTTTTGAAAACAGGAAAACAGCTGGCCTCAATACATTCTAACTAAGACTATATCCAAGAAGCACCTAGACTAAGTACCTAAACATTTGCTATTGTCTGTTTGCTACTTCTAAAAATATACTCTTTGTCATAACTACCTGAATCTCAAAGCATTGCGTTAGCCACAGAAAATTCCAAATTTATTTCAACTAAAAGTACTGAGAATGAATTTAGTGTGTTTCTGTATGTGCTCTAGATCTCTGTTTAGACACCTATTACCTAGCATAAAACATAGTTTTAATCTGGCATAAGAATCATTAAGAGACACCTGTAAGGTGGGGATGGGGGAAATCTAAAACATTAAGATTCTATTATTCTAACTGCTCCTTTTCCTGGTAAAATTCCTGGTAGCAAGAGGGCGGAAGAAAAGGCATTATAAATTCTGGAAGTATGTATATTAGAATACAGATTCTCTGACTGAAATATTTCCAGCTGGTAAAACATCACAAGACAGGATCATACTGATCAGTTGAAAGTCTAGATATCTTCTCCTCCTTCAAGTTCCACAAGCTTCTTTTTCTGGATCCTTGCCTAGAAACAGTGGGAAAAGAGTTCCATAATTCAGACTAAATTTTGATTTCTGCAAGAACGGTTTCCCCAGAAAGACCACAGTCCAGCAGCAAAGCTCTGCAGACACAAGATCCCCGGTTGAACCCCGGCATCTCCTATTAAAAGGACAGGGTAGCAGAAGGACCGCTTTCGGCTCAGTCAACAGGCAGCCATTGCCTGACTAGAGAAAACAGTGGGTTAGAATGAAGGCTCGGTCTTTTGACCAGCTCCAAGCATCTTGGCTCCATCCCAGGAAATTTAAATCAGTTCATAGGATCCCATGAATTAGTCATTCCACTCCCTTGCAGTGAGGCAGGATTTGGCGGGAAGCCATCCTGAGAAGACAGGACTGGTGGGTGGCATGCGGCATCAAGGGGGACAACTGTAGCTTCCTCCTTCCCTGCCCTTCCTTAGCATTCCCTCTCTTTCCTACAGTCTCAGCGAGCAGCATTTTTTTTCAAAACCGATCACCCTCCTATTCTGTTATAGGTGGGTTACCGACACTGGCCTGCCTTACGGCGTTGTCGTAATAATTAAGGTAACATTTATTTATTACATCTGCTGCCCAATATCCTTGGAGGAAGCATACAATAATAAAATAACTTTTACAAATAGAACAAAACATACAATATGAAAAAATCAACATTTAAAAAAATGTTCAGGAACATATGGAAACATGGTAATAGCTACATACCAGAAATGGGTATGATTGTCCACAAGCCAAGGCTTTCTGTGTCTTTTCTGGTGCTCCTGTTAAAACCCAGGTCGCTTCATAGAATAACAAAGTGACCCAAGCAATCAACACGATCGCTCCTAAATACCCTCTCCCGCTTGCAGAGAAAATGAAACCTCAGTAGCCCCCTTTGATGAATTGGAGGGTAAAATTACTTGGATCCCCCACAAATTGGATTCCCAGTTGGAGTTAGTCCTATACAGGAGATGTCCAGTGCTCCATCTTATCCAGTTTTGTTGAATGAGTTTCAATTATTCCAGCCTGAAGATGCAGGCAAGGTGCTTTGACTAGTCCGACCCAATTACCAAGCCAGGGAAGGGATGTGACCCTGGGTCCAGGAGGCCATCAATGCCTCTCTGAGGGAGGGCCTGGTTCCCTCTCCTTTGAAGGAGGCAGTGATCAGGCCACTCCTGAAGAAGGCGACCCTGGACCCAGAGGTGTCACGAACTATATACCAGTGGCTAACATCCCCTTTTTGGGCAAGGTGCTTGAGAGGCTGGTGGCTGGGCAACTCCAGGCACTCCTGGAGGAAACTGACCATCTAGACCCATTTCAATCCAGTTTCAGGCCTGGTTGTGGGGCAGAAAGTGCCTCGGTCACCCTGTGGGATGGCCTGTGCCAGGAGAGTGACGGGGGAGGGCGTCCCTGTCAGCTCTCCTGGAGCTCTCAGCGGTTTTCAGTACCATCAGCCACGGCATCCTCCTGGGTAGGCTGGCCAGGCTGGGGTTCGGAGGCACCGCTCTGCAGCGGTCCTGCTCCTACCGTGCTGGCTGATTCCAGACGGTGGCTCTGCGCCATGGCAGTTATGCCAGGGGGTTCCGCAGGGTTCCATGTCATCCCCCGTGCTGATCAGCACCTCCATGAAACACCCGGAGGTCTGGGCTGAGGAGGCATCGATACGCTGCTCACACCCAGCCCTTCCACTTGTTTAGTGGCTGCTCTAAACAGGTGTCTGGATGGCGTGATGGGCTTGATGAGGGCCAAGGATGTGAGGCTCAATCCGGATAAGACAGAAGTGTTGCCGGTGGGTTGGCTGGGGTATTCGCCCTGTCTTGGACGGGGTTGCGTTCCCCCAGTGGGACAAAGTACACAGCTTGGAAATACTCCTTGACCCTGAGCTGCCTGGAATTCCCGATGACATCGGTGGCAAGGAGTGCCTTCCTTCAGCTGAGGCTGGTACATCAGCTGTGTCCTTACCTGGACACTCAGGCCCTGGCAACAGTAAATCATGCACCGGTAACCTCCCGCTTGGACTACTGTAATGCACTGTACCTGGGGTTGCCCTTGAAGACTATCTGGACATTGCCATCGGTTCAGAATAGAGCAGTCGGACTGCTAACAGGGACTGGTGGACAAGAACACATCACACTGTTCCTATATAAATTGCACAGGTTACCAGTTGAAGTCCAGGCTCGATTTAAGGTATTGGCAATAATCTATAGAGCCCTAAACAGTTTAGGGCCTGTTTATCTAAGGGAATCTCTTTCCATTTGAGTCTGCCTGGACCCTAAAATCCGTCATGGAGGTCCTCCTCCAAGAGCCCGCCTTAAGAAAGGTGAGGAGGAGAGGGACCTTCTCTGTGACAGCACCCTGATTATGGAATTTGCTCCCCAGAGAGGTGTGCCTGGCCCCGGTACTTCATTCATTTCAGGGCCAGGCCAAACCCTTTTTATTCTCCCAGGTTTTTAATCAATAATGTATTTTAATTAGTTGTAGCAAGTATAGACACTAAGCAGTTTTTAATTTTATGGCTGTAATGTGGCTTTAATATACAGGGGTACCTCGGCTCACAAACGCCTTGGTTCATGAACAAATCGGGTCACGAACAAAAATTTCTGAAAAATTTTGACTTGGGTCGCGAACACCACTTTGGGTGGCGACCAAGATCAGAGCCTTCTCCCCCCCTCCACCCCCCGAGTGGGGAGATGGCCATGATCGCAGTTCCGTTCATGCACAGAAGGCATGCCTGATCAGAGGCGCATTCCTGCAGGAAAGACGGGAGCAGCAAAGCAGAGCCGCGGGGGAGATGGCCGAGATTGCACCTGTCTTTCCTGCAGGAGCCCGCCTCTGATCAGGCATGCCTTCCCGGACAAACAGAACTGTGATCGCGGCCATCTCTCCCTCCCCCAGTGCGCCTGCGATCACACCCGTCTCTCCCCCCCACCCCCAGCACGCCGGGATGACGGGTGTGTGCAGGGATGACGAGCGCAATCTCGGTCTTCCTGGGGGGGGGGGCGGGGAGATGGCCGCGTTTGTGTTTGGGGTGGGGGGGGAGGTGGCTGTGGTCTTTGTTGTCACTTTGCTTCATATTTTTCTGATTAAAAAAATAGTTACAGAACAGATTAACCTTATTTACATTGAACCTTACTGGGAAATTTAACTTGGCTCATGACCAATTTAGGTCACTACCAGAGTCCTGGAATGAATTAAGTGAGCCAAGGTACCACTGCATATTTATATTTTGGGCTTTTTATCTAAACCATCTTGAGATTTTGTAATAATCAGGCAGTATATAAGAAATTTTAAATAAATCGACGGATTGATAGATGTTTTGTAAGTTCTTGCTCTTTGGCAGAGCATGGCCTAGCATCAGAAATGCTTGCCGGTCAGTCAGCACGGCTCCTCTATCCTGCACATCAGGGATGGGGAAGCTCAGTCCTGCAAGCCAGGGCTGACCTGCCAGGCCAGCTCATCTGCCTGAGGCTTCGCTCACAAGCCACACCTCTTCGGGGTTCATAGGAAGGGGAATCCCTGCAGTTATCCCCAACGGCTGTCTTCCAAAAGCAGAGAAGAGCATTTGCCCAAACACAGCACACCAGAAGTACCTGCGGGGCAAGAAGTATGTTTGACGACACACCCAGTTCAAAGAAGCAAAGCAAGACTATCCAGAACCTCTACGGACTACAACATACTCCGATCTCCTTGCGATGCCTTTCCTACTTCCCTCCAGCCAGGGCCGTGCCTGTTCCACAGATTCGCTCTGCAAGCACGCATTGCACTCCGAATGTGACATCAGTACCTTGATTCTCACGTCCAAAAGGAAGTAAAACACATTTCTAGTCCTGGCTTTAAACTACGAAAAATTACAAGATGGAGTCTAGAGCACACAGATCAGTAAATTCAGCCAAGATGTCACTGGCAGAATTTTGCTGGTGCCAGGCAGCAAAATCCCATGCACACATACCCAGACGTGGGTCCCTTTGATTTCAGTGGGACTTACTTTTAGGCAGTGCGGCTTCTTTTTCTGGCTTGAAAAACTGGTGTTTGTGATGACACAGGTTGTTTATGAACTATATTAATCCTGAGTATGAAAACAACACCTATTTGTTGAGTCTTTCTGGCTACAACTATTAGACGCATTAAAGAAGGTAGCTAGAATCTGACTCCAACACTACTCACTTCCAACATAAAACTGAATGAATGAACAAATCAGCTAATTTAATCATTTTAAAGCCTTTTTATTTAAGCAGTGTTAATACAGGAATCAAGCACTATTTTAAAGGAGAAATTAAGCTCTGCAAGCTTTGTTTTCTTATGTAGGAAAGAATGACTGTCCTAAGAGGATGACCGCTATCATCTCTTTCAAGGAAATGCTTTTATAGTTGAACCTAGTACTTTCAACTGTTGGTTTAAAATATTGCTATACCTGTATATCTCTAGTCTTTGATTTTGCAATTGTGTTTTATTCTTGCTATATAGTTAATCTGAAAGACTGGGGTCTTTCTCCCAGGGAATATATGTATGGCTTCGTCACTGTCGGCTTAAAAAAAGGTACTCTGGAGAATCGTGTATTTCAGGCTGCTTTTCATGCTCAAAATTAATTTCTTCCTGATGCTGCTCTGTGTCTGCATGTACATGCAACTGTGATTTGTGTTTTTCCAACATGGTAAACTGCCCAGGGAGGGGAGTCAAAATCAAAACCTTTTAAATAAATACGTCTAAAAATAAAAGATGCCTTTTTCTTTTGAGTTCTTTAACTTATGCAAATTTTATAAAATAACTAGTTAAAACTTTAAAAAAATTATTGACTAAGATCCCTTTAAATTAGGCGACAGTCCCAAAAATAATTTTCAGGTAGGAATTTCAAGATAAAAATTCATAAGTTAATGTCATGTTTGCTTTTACAGTGGCATTTTTCACTAGATGCAGAGTACAGATGCTATGAAGCTGCAGTCAGAGGTTATGCCCCATATATCATAGCAAACTATTTTCTGAGTGAGGTTCCTTAAGTAGCCAAATATGATCCACATATATAAAGGTGTTATCAATAGGATTGGATGCATTTGTATTTTCACAAACCCCAAAATTTGTAGAAATACAAAAGGAGGAAAACAAAATCCCAGTGGCACAAAACAGCTTCCTGAGGACTGAACATGTTCAATTACAAGGAATGTCGATCTTGGAAACATGGAACACGGAAAAAGCAGATGATGAAGTACCCTGGAAAGAGAGTAATTGGCTGGCTGGCACCCTGGACAAAAGCACCCCATACTGAAAGTTTTTGCAGGAGGCCTTTTGTGGTTGAGGTGCATATTTTAATGCTTTTTTTCTCTGCACCTCTATGTCAGAAAAGCATATCACATTAGGTATCAATGAGGCACTTAGCTAATGCCAGTGTCCTGGAGAGAAACCCTCACTGCTTCCAAGCATGACAGATGGGCTACAAGAGGCTATAAAACACAGGGGCAGCAGGGGGGCCTTCTGAGGAAGCCATAGTGGATAAGATAGCTCATCTTGACCTCATCTCTGAATCAAGAAGTTCAAAAGGTGGTCAGGGAGAAACAGGGCAGATGGTGATCAATTTAGCAAAGACAGAACACCACATAGAGAGACCATTTCCCTCCTAGAAACAATGACTCCCAGTGCCACGGACAGGCTGTCCCTCTCCATAGATGGATCCTTACAAATCTGTAACACTGCCAAGGAACTGTGTGGCAGCTTCAGAAAAGACACTTATTATCAGCCATATATTCTGGTAACCCAGAACTTCTTTGCTCAGATCAGTAAACAGCATGCCCTGATCCATCTTCTACATGTGCTGAAAGACTCTCAAGTACATATTTTCCTTTCAGAGACAAAACAACTACTTCTCAGCAACTTGCCTCCATTTTCAAGTCTCCCCTACATCTGGCAATAGAAATATAGAAAGTTCTCTTGAACAAGGCCAGATTATTGATCCATTTAACTTCTCCTCTGGCAGGGAATGACTCCCTACATTTCAGGCTGAAGTCTTTTCTCTCTTACCTGGTCCTTTTAAATCAGGTATGCAGAACCTCAGACTTATTGCCTAAATTTAGTCCAGCTGGGGCACCAAAACAACCACACCCCCCCCATATCATTTGCTGGTTTTTCAGGTTTTGTGAGGTTTTTTTGCATTCCAAAGTGATCCTCTTAAGGTTTTGTTACTGACACGAAGAGCTTTAAGGTAAAATATGTTGGCATTTTTGTCTCCATCCCTTTCATCCCCTCCACTAGAATGCAAACCCTGAGAGGTTCCCCAAAGTAGAATCCACCCCTCAGGTTGAATGAAGTCATGTCCTCCTGTTTTAAATAGAGATCTTAGAGCATGAACCTTCTGCGCAGCAGCTCTAATGGTGAGCTATGGTCCCTTTCCAAGAAGCTCAGGCTAACACCCTCCACCCACACACCCTCCACCAACCAACCTGTTCAATAGAAGCAGGCCCTTGTTAGGAGTATTATTCTCCTATATGCCAGTCAGGAAAGAGGGGATACACTCATCTAGAAAGGTGAGCACCTTTCTCCTCCTCTAGCAACCTGGGACTCTGCACACCTTTGTGAGAGCAAAGGAGCATCCCCCTCCCCCACACCTGCAACAGACACACACCTGTTTACCTGTCTTTCAGCTGTCCTTCCACCACTCCACCCAAAGCAAAGGGCAGCGAGATTATAACCGCACCTGGCAGATAGCTGAGCCAGAAGCCCCGCCTTCCAGGGAGGGGCGCCCGCCCGGCCGCCCGCGGATCCCCGGACCGGTCCCGGCTCGGCTCGAGTGCTTCGGCCCTGCCCACGGCGCGGGCTGGGTTGGCTCAACCCGCTTCCCAAGCCCCGGCTGCCTTAGAGGCTCATCCACGTCTGCTTAGAAGGAGCCCCTTGGAGTTTTACGGGCCTTGCTCCTAGAGAAGCGCGTGCCAAATGGCAGCCTCGGTACTCCCCGCTTCTGTCCCCGTTAACAGGAAGAATCATCCCCAAAGCGTTTCCTCAGCACATCCCCATCCCAGAAGGGAAAAAGCTGTAGCTGACCAACTCTTATTTCCTAAGGTCCGGCGGAGGTCTGGCCCCGCAGAAGGAATGCATCCAGTCTAAATCGATAATCTCTAGATGATCCAAGTTCCCAATCCCCTCTCTGCCCAAACACACACACTTCTAAATTTTCCAAATTTCATCCCATCAGAAAAAAGGAAAAACAAAAACAGAAGTCCTCCTACAGAAGGGGCAGGCAAGCTGGTGCTCGCTTGTCGTTTGGAATCACAACTCCCATAATCCTGACCACTGACCTGCTGGCTGGGGCTTATGGGTGTTGCAGTCCAACGATCGGGGGCCACCACGTTGCCTAGCCTTTTGCTACAACCTTGCAAGTACGTTGAAGTCCTATTGACATAAACAGGCCTTATTTCCAAGTAGGCGTGTACAGGATCACGCTCCGGGGCTTTAATCCTAATCGCTCCTCTCCGGCTAACATGATCCCTCCCACTTCAACGCAGTCCTGTTGCTCCAAGTCCACATTCCAAGAGCTCCTTCTCTGCTGAGGGATCCAGGAATCCCGGCTCAAACCGGAAGATCGATCCGATCGCGTCCCCGCATAAAAGCCCCAGACGGAGAATCCTCCTTTCCCCCTTGCTCCGGCTTACCTCTGTCACGCTTTTTTCCAATTTCCCCCAGGTCCAACTTCGTCGCAGACAGTTGGTTTCCCTTTAAAGGGCATAACAAACCCCCTTCCTTGTACTGCTAATTGCTCGCGGAGAGGTTTGCAGGCAACAAGCCACTTAAACGAACCATGTGATGATTCGCAGTAAAGAGATTTGCACGGGATAATCCACACGTCGGCCGGCAGCCTCCCGCGCGGGGCCCGCCTGGCTGCCCAGCTGGGGCAGCTCTTTCCCGGATCCAGCCCCCGGAGGCGACCCGTGGAAAGCAGGGCTTCGGGCAGGGCCGGCGGGGGGGGCGCATCGTCAGGGGCCCGGGCAAATTCGGAGCCGGGAAGCGGCGCGGGCACGGGTCCCGCTTCCGTGCCCGGCCACGAGGGGGCGTCGTGGTGCCTGCGCGGCTTCCCGCCGGCGGCCGGGCTCCTTCCTACCTGGGCGTGGGGCGCTGCTGCCAGTGCCACGTCGCACTCTCTCCCGCTGTTGATTTTGGCTCTGGCTGTGTCAACCAGCGGTGCTCGGTTTTCACACCCGAAGTTTCCCTGGGAAAACTCGCAGCCATTCATAAACCCAGTGCCTTTGTTTGTTTTTTGCCAGAACTCACGTAAAGGGAGTAGATATGTATTAGGCGCCTTGGCTTTGTTTTTGTTTTGTTTTGTTTTGTTTTGTGGAAGGGGGGTGAGCTTGCCATCCTCATCAACTGGGCAGCATGTTAAGCCGAGACTGGGAAGACCCAGCTTCTAAGTCCCCACTGGGGTTCATTGGGGGCTTTGGGCCAGTCAGTGACTCTCTGGCCTACATCACAGGGCTGTTGTGAGGATAAAATATAGAGGACTGTGAAAGCTGCCCTGGGTTCCTGTAAGAGGGAAAAGAAGCGGAATATACATGCAATAATCAATACATGTTATAAGCTCTCTTGTCTACCTTTTCACCTCTGGCTTCTATTCCTCCCCCATGCTGACTGAGGAACCAGTTCAATATCTGTTCTATTCACACACAACCTTTTCATTTTCTCTTTTCTAGCATATTACTTTCATGGAATGTGACAAGCCTAACAGGCACAGGCTTTATAACCAACCTACATAAGCAGGGCAGGGAGCCAGGACGCCTGGGTCCCCTGGGAGGGGGCTGGGAAGAGTTCGTCAAGGGCCATCAGACTGCGGTGCAACTCATTGTTCCAACGCATGGCCTACCTCATTTGTTTTCCGTTTTTATTTGCACTTGTGTGTTTGTGTACTGACCAGGAAGATAGGACTTATGTAACAAAATAGCATTTCTGAAATAATTCTTTAAGAAAACATTATGAAATACATGTGTGAAAGTCTGAGTACTACCCTTTTATTTCCACTTTAAATCCTTCTTGAGCTCTGTATCAGTCACTTTGACAAAGTTACTACTGGGCCCAGTACCTGAGGCCAGTGTACTGTACTGGTTTGACGTGGGGCTGGATCCAGATTGTTTCAGAGTAGACCCATTGAGAGAGGGAACCATCTTGTGCTTCAGCCCAGGCAGCAAGAGGTCTCAGGGTGGCCCTGCTTGCCCACACAGTAGCTTTTTGCCCTTGGGGTGGCTGGTTTGCAATGTGGGATGCAAGCCTGTGAGAGCACTAGGGCACTTCTAGTGGAAGTTAGAAACCCTAAGCACGCTTCCCCAACCTGATGGCCTTCAGAGGCATTTGGAAGGCACAAGATTGGGGAAGGCTGCACTAGAGTACAGCGTGACTTTCGTCAGAGAAAACCAGTCACAAATTTGGAAGTCCCCAAAACAAATTCCACCCCTACCACAAACTTATCAGGCTGGGGTAGACAACATCTTCTGTGGTGCTCATCAGGCTGGGGTAGACAATCACCTTCTGTGGTGCCCACTAAGACACTGTATTCCTCCCAACTTTTTAAAAATATTATCTTATCAGCAGTCGGGATTGCTTCCAAGAGAAGCAGGATCATTCAGCTGTTGTCTTCTTAATTCCCATGAATTCCTTCGAGCATGTTACTTGTCCTTTGTGGTAACCATTTTACTGCTGTGCTCACATGTTTCAGATTTCTAAATGTTGTCCAAAAGGTCCGTGTCCTGGTGTGCGTATGCCCAAAACACACAACAGGGGAAGGTTTTCTTTTGAAGGATTTAATCTTGAGAATAACCAGCTGCCAACGAATCATTCCAGATGGTGCACCTGAGCAGACCTCAGTTGGCACTTTTATACATTGATCATTAAAGGCTTTCACATAACACAGTTAACAATTTCCAGTAGGTTACAGAAGTAAAAAGTTGTATAAATGCGCCCACAGGCTCAAAAGGATGACAGCCACAGGATTCTTCTGTATCATATGGGGGAATAATAATCCAGCGTTAGCAACAGGGTAGCTGTAAAGAGGATTACAACTCCATAGCATGTGAGAAGTGCTTTGAAAACTTGGAAAGAGCTGCAAACACTAATAATGTTTTATTGCTGAACATTATTAGTCAATTTGAAATTGAGGAAGAAAAGTGAAATTAGGAATGAAAGTCTGAGTAGGCTTGGTTACCAGGGAGGCAGGGGAAAAAACATGGGGAGTAACGGTGTAATCCACTCCAAGTTTAAACAGGAAAAATGCCTAAGATTTCCAGTATGCCCCATCCTAAAGTGACATAGGATTGCTTCCTAAAAGCACAGTGTTGGCTAGATGGGTGTTGTGGGTGTTCTTTCTGTCTGAACTTGAAAAGGATTGCACCCTAAAGGAAGCTGCTTGGGGAAAATGATGAGCCATTGCGAGTTGTTCTAAGCAAATGAGAACTGTAGAATGTTAAAGTTTACTTGTATATGAATTATGTATTCCTTGATGGATAAGCCATGGTTTTTATTGGCATTCTGTTTTTAAACTTTTAATGATTCCTCATTCCTTTTATTTTTATTGTTAACTGCACCAGAAACTTCTTAAATATATTTATTCTGTTATTACCAAAAATTCTAATCCTATTAAATCCCAAATAAATCCTTGTTTGCTGAAAGAGCAAAGAAATATAGCTTGTTTCTTAAAAATATGTATATACTGCTTAATATTATCACTTTATGATGCAATTCTAAGCATGGTTAGAGAGAAGATGTCCTACAATTCCCAGCATCCCCCATGCTGGCTAGGGAATACTGACAGTTGTATGACTGTTTTCCATCTAAACATGAACATGCATAGGATGACACCATAGCAGTTTAATAAAATCTCCCAGGGGGTACACTCCTCTTCTGCCCCACTTCCAGGAGTTTCAAGTTGAAGCAGAAAAGTAGCATGTACATGTTTGAATCATATTTGCTATGGGAAGAGAATACTAGAAGGACTTTCTTCTTGTCTAAACTTGCATAGGATGGTGCTTTAGTTACCTTTTTTCTTGATGTTTGGATCTCATCTTTCTATCCAGTAAGCTGCCTTGACGGCTTTTTCAGCAGGGATGTTCACATGAACAAATAGACATGGCAAAAATAAATAGTGCCACTCCTTAAGCACTCAGTCATGCTTTCGAGACAGACATGTTTCATATGTTACTCAGCAATCCATACAACAGCCCTGTGAAGTAGAGTGATACCATCTTTATGCTCCACTAACATTTTCTCTCTCTTTTTTAGCAGAATGGCAGGATATAAAGTAAACAAATACAACTTTATGATGCATGACAATTGATTTATTTTGAACTGTATGAAGTAGTAGCTCACATTACATTCCTCTCAATATGTATCCCAATCAGTGCTCTGCAGGGACCCTGTCTGAAGAAGCATTTTTGGGAGAAAGGAACTAACTAAATCCCTTCTCTCTTGCTGCTTCATAGGCCCGTACACCCATTGACAGAAAATTAAGAGGCATCAACAGGGATTCAGGTTTTTAACTATCTGTACCATCCCCTCTTGGGGGTTTTATGAGAGGCAACAGTGGATTTGGGAAGCAGCTTAAAATGTGGCGTGACAGCAGGAAGGGGGGCTGTGAAGAAACACAGTTGTCGTCCTCACTCCATGCCCTGCTGTCTACACCATTGCAAACTGGTGATTCAGCACCACCCTCTAGTGGCTTTTAAGTGGATGCCATTTGGGTAACATATTTGAGCTGTGTATTCAAGAGAACACTTCCTGGCAAATAGATGGGGAAGAAATGGAGGTAGTGACAGATTTTATTTTCCTGGGCTCCAGGATCACCGCAGATGGGGACTGCAGCCAAGAAATTAAAAGATGCTTGCTCCTGGGGAGGAAAGCTATGGCAAATCTAGATAGCATATTAAAAAGCAGATACATCACTCTGCCAACAAAAGTGCATATAGTCAAGACTATGGTTTTCCCAGTTGCAATGTATGGCTGTGAAAGTTGGACCATAAGGAAGGCTGAGCGCCGAAGAATTGAGGCCTTTGAATTGTGGTGCTGGCGGAGACTCCTGCGAGTCCCTTGGACAGCAAGGCGATCAAACCGGTCAGTCCTAGAGGAGATCAACCCTGACTGCTCTTTAGAAGGCCAGGAACTGAAGATGAAGCTCAAATACTTTGGCCACCTAATGAGAAGGAAGGACTCCCTGGAGAAGAGCCTAATGCTGGGAACAATTGACGGCAAAAGGAGGAGGGGACGGCAGAGGATGAGGTGGCTGGATGGAGTCACTGAAGCAGTTGGTGTGGGCTTAGGTGGACTCCGGGGGATGGTGGAGGACAGGAAGGCCTGGAGGAATGTTGTCCATGGGGTCACGATGGGTCGGACACGACTAACAACAACAACAATTCAAGAGAAGTAGAAGTTCAGGGCTTAGATCTGGAGCAACCCTGCTCAGCCTGGTGCCCCCAGATATGTCAAAATGGAATTTCTACCCACCGGGAGGTTGAGGAAAGCTGGTCTGGAGAGAGAGATATTGCTTATCATTGCAGGAATCTGATTTGCAATTGAAAACAAAGGGAGGGCTGCTGAAAGAAATAGTGCATACTTAAAATAAAACATTAAAAAGTTCCCTTAAAGCACATTAATTATGCATTTAATACCCAGACACTCCTTTGTCATCTCTGCAGACATCACAAAGAAAGCATGGTTAGATATGTGCCAGATACCATCCAGTTTGCTTGTACTGTCAATCCAACTGCTGCTAAGCTGCCTGCAAACCTGCCCAAGGTCTCTCTTTTGGAATGCTAAAAATGTGTCAATTGGAGGCCTATGGCTAGAGGCTGGCCTTACTGCCACAGAATGCGGGGCATGGGCCCTTGCTTTCCAAAACTGCCCAAGGGTTGGCTATAATCTGTCTCTAGGATAAAAATTTTTCTCAGAAAGATGGTCTTTCATCCATTCATGGTTTAAAAGTGTAAATTACACCTACCAAGCATTTCAACGGATTCCCTGTGTATATAGGGCATATGATTCTACTACAATGAATAAAGAACATTGATCTTCAACTTTCATCACCCTACGTTTGCTGAAGTTCTGGCCTAATATTCCTTGGTTTAACTTTCTTAAATGTGCTAGATTGCTTGATAGTTTGGCTGTCCCCAAGCATTGCCAGGTTTTCCCTCCCCAGAGCCAAGTTTAATTGACTCTCCTCTGCAATTTTGGAAGGGAGTGTCAGGATCAGGGCCTGGGCAACCCTGCAAGTGGCTGCAGAACTATGAGGGAACGGCTGAGGAGCAATTATCCAGAGCAGTTGGAGGCCCTGGAGACCAACATCAACGGCTTCCCTAAAAGCGCTGTGTTTTGCCCCAGCAACACAACCACCCTGTGCTCCAGTTCTGTTCCTCCTTCCATCATTGATTCCAGCAAAGCCTCTCTCCGCAGTACCTGCATCCTTCCTCTTCAACCACACCTGCTCCAGAAAGTGGCTGTCTTCCCCATACTCGATCTCCGGATTGTTTTCTTGGATTGTGATCTTGGACTGTGTGTTATTGGACTGTATGCTTGTCTGACTGTTGTCTTCTCAGCTTTGACCATGGACAGCCAAACAAACATGCCTCTTGCTTCTGGCCCCCTGAACCTGTTGCAGGACCCCATCTTGCACCTGTGCTTGGTGTTTCAATCTGATAGCTTGCTGTCCATGCCCCAGACCTTACAGAGAGACATCAGGGAGTCCCAAAGGAAGATCAATGTTCTCCTTAAAGTGTAGAAGTAGCTGAATCCTTCAAAGTGAAGAACGTAATAGATTACTTAGCCCTATTATAAGCAAATACCTGGAAGGTCACTGTAATACTATTTAGAGGCTGATATAAATGAGTCAGCAGAGTTAGTGACCAAGTTCTGTTTTTGTAATAAAGTCTTGCAAGATCCTTTCCCCTCCATTGTAATTGTTTTTTAGTTTGTATTTTAACCATGTATATAATTGTATTGCCCTGTTTTTATGGGACTGTGTCCATGCAATAAATATTGATTCCTTATACATGGAAACTGGCTGAACTTCTCAGCCTTAGCAAGATGTTGACACAGTGGAACTAAAGCAGAGCCTAGTAACAAGATTTTGAAACCTACCGTTAATGGAGAACACTTAAAATTATCTTATTTTCAAACACATACCTTACATTGTAAGATTGATACTAGGTGGTATGGAAGAACAGTATTTTATCTTGGATAATTTTAAAGGTGTTGGTTTATATAACTTTGTTTTAATCTTGTATGATGTTTTAAATTATCATCCCTCAGTTGTATACTGTTTCTTGGATACTGTTGTTTTATTTGACTGTTCCTATATTGTGTTTTTTATTCTATTGTAATCTGCTCAGAGGGCCATTGAACTAATAATGCAGAATGTAAGTTTAATAATAAATGAAACAGTAGGAAGTTGGAAGTTCCATACAATAAAGCCATTAGAAAACCCTGCCTTTTTTCTCCTTTTAGTGTATACTTATGCATGGATACAGTAACATGGTGGCTTCAAGAAGACTAGTATTTTGGTAATATGCATAAATAACTAAATCAAAATTTGGCACCACTGTACAAAGCAAGAAGGGGCTTTTATGCGTGAGAAGCAGTAAGTATGGAGTAGGGTTAACTTAACCCATATTCTGCCCAATACTTTCCTTCTCCATTATTCCCTGCTGCCACTGGACTAGAAATTCGAGTTTTGAAGCAGCAGTGCAGTGGGCAACTTAGGGGACAGATTAGAGAGGAAAACCAGCCAGCTCACAAACGTTCAGAATCCCCTCCTGCTCACTGCCCGTCGTCTGCGAATGCCTACCGTTCCGCTTTGCATGTCAGAAATAAATATGGGGCTTGTTGTTAGTCGCAAATTCGTGTCCAACCCATCGCGACCCCACGGACAACATTCCTCCAGGCTCTCTTACCCTCCACCATCCCCCGGAGCCCACCCAAGCCCACACCCACCGCCCCAGCCACCTCATCCTCTGCTGTCCTTTTGCCATCTATTGTTCCCGGCATTAGGCTCTTCTCCAGGGAGTCCTTCCTTCTCATTAGGTGGCCAAAGTATTTGAGTTTAATTATTTGTGAACCTCTTTCGGTGCAAGGGATAAACTTGATGTCAGAAAAGTTCTTGGGGGCTCCATTCCACTGATGGCCAGGGCCAAACACCAGTGTATTTGAAAGTTCACACTGCAAGGAACTAACCCAAAGAAGAAACATTTCAACTTTTTGGGATGGGTGAAATTGCACTAAAGTTGGGAAATCACCCAACGAATTGTGCATGGGGGGAAGGGGAGGGGCAATGGCTGCCTGGTTTTGGCCTGTGGGCCTCAGGTCTGGCACCTCTGACCTACTCCAAATCTCCACTCACTCACAAACTCACTTGGTGCGCTTTGGAAAGGCAGTGTCCCTTTTTCTACCCCTCCACCACCACCAATTTAATTTGCAATTTGAAGATACTATTAACCTAACTCACAAGTTGCTGTAAATATGAATGAATGATGAAGTTGCTGTAGGTGAAGCACTTTGAGTCTTGGGTTCAGACAGCACAATAACCCCCACACAAAGGGTTGAGTGTGAATTCTTGCCTAACCGTAGGGTTGTTGCTGAAATGTGGGTTGTCATGTCCGAATCCAGTTGCATGCACCAAGCCATGGCTTGTTAACCACAAACAACCCATGAAAATAAGCCATGATTTGTTAAGATGCTGTGAACTGTAGGTTGTCATCTCAGTTTACCATAGTGTGTTATCTCAGCTGGATTCTGGCAACACAGTAACTGATGGTTCAACAACAACCCACATTCGGCTCTTGAATGCAGGTTATCATGTTGCCTGAACACTTGCTGTTTGGAACAAGTGTCACACAAATGATACATACTGATGCTGAATGTCAGTTTTGCTCTATAGCAGTTACTAAGACTATAGAATACAAGGAGGGGGCTAGTTCATTAGATTGGCATCCAAAGGCAGACCGAGGTAGCTCTCAGACCACTTAGAAAGCATGTTTAATTTCTTCCAGGAAACAAATGACTTTGCAGTCCATCTCTTACTTAAAACAGAACACACAGCAACAAAATATTTTCCATTTGGGAATGGATTGTTTTTATTTTTATAAATACAGGGAGTCTTCAGGTAGGAAGGGAGGCAGCCACATTTCAAACAACTGACCATACTGCTCCATTTAACCTTTCACCTCAAAAGAGCGAGGCAGAACCCATGTAGAAACTGTGCCAACACAGGCAGACTTTTCACAGGGCAGTTTGGGTGAAACACTCGGCTAGTTCCCTACAAGGAAGTCATCAGACGTGCTATGCCCAGAACTAGCAAAAAAACAAAACAATTGAAACTACAGCACCTGTTTTCAGTGACAACAGGGATGTTCCAGTCTATAAATTTACACTTCAAAGTAACCCACACAGTTCAATAGGGCTTACTCCCAAGTAAAGGTATAGACAGGCAGAACATAAAAACAATTTATATTAGCTTCCCCAGTGGTTAGGTGAGTTCAACTCCATCCTGAAATGTGTGTTGCCCCCTCCCATTTCTTTAGAGGTCCATCTACTTCCTGGTTTTCAAAAAGGCCATGTGATCAGTCATGCATTTTTCTCCTACTTTTTTCTTTCATAAAAATAAATAAATACAACACCTCTAGAGAGATGGATGGGGGAAGAAGAAATTTCTTAAGGGCATTCACTGGAGCCAACCCATCAGCACTGCATACAGCTTGCTTTCCTTTAAAACTTGCAGAATATTTTTCTGTTTTTCCCATAATTTGACTCTGTAAAGGAAAGGTATGCCTGACCTGAACACCTTGAGGGCATGCTTACAGCCACGCCACCATGGAAAGAAAGAAAGTTACATACAAGCAGAATGAAGCACACTGACATGAGACAGTGTGGGCAATACAGGTCAAGTCCAACGTTTACAAATAAAATAAAGGCCTAGGGAGAGAGAACATGGGCTATAATGTCCATTCAAGTCTCATGAACATACATTATTTACAAATAAGTGCTTTTAGAATGGAGGCAGTGGAAAACAAGAAACAATACTTTTAAAAGGGAGGTTGTAAGGGGGAAAACATTGTTATAGATTCTTCCTATTTACTCTCAACTGTGCAACACCAAGACAGTCCATTTTATTTTAATATGTAATACAGTGCAGAGAGAGCTGACCCCATTGTGTGTGTGTGTTTTATTTTGGTGTTTTGTTTTTGTGCTAGGATAATGCAGCCTGCCTAATGGATTACAAAACAGTAATGTGCTGAGCCAACTTAACTTTCAGCAAGAAGCTATCAGAGCCAGCATTTAGCACAGAAGCAAACATGCAGCAGTCTAGCTGCCCAGGCAAATTAAAAGGCTTGAAGGTAGAGGACAGGGCTTAAAGAAGGCATTTTGAAAAGTGGCAGTCTTCATAACCACAACTCTTCCCACTCAGGTAAGTTCAGATCATGCTATGTTACTGAGTAGTGAAGTTACCTCTAGCCACTCTCTATCAAGAATCTCAGCACCAGCAGAATCATTGGCAGGAGACCACAGCCAAATAACCAGACTGCAATGTCTGGACTGCAGTTAAACATGCATGTATCTCTCTGTTGTGTGTATTAAGTATCCTCACAAAAGCAGCACTGGTTCTTCAAAAGGTGTTCAGGGGCAAGTCACATAATCCTTACCCCAGGCAAAATAGCGTAAGTACCAGATACAGCCATCACGTGCTGAATTATCTGAGTTATGTGTAACGTTCTGTTACACATTCTAATTATCAACTAGAATGCAATTGTTTGCTGCATGGGTTGAGCAGCAGTGCGGCAAACTCAATCACAGAAACGCTATCCACCCAGTGAAGTCCACCATATGAAATGCAGGTCAGAGTTGTGTATATCCCATGACTCTGCAAGCAGATGAAATGCAGGGTCCCAAGAATCTGAATTTAAGTGTTTGCTTTAAAAAACCCAAGTTTCTAGCCCTTAGGGGTGTAAACACAGACCTGAAATCACAGGAGCAATACTTTGTGAAGCCTCAGAAACTCAGAAGAGAGGCAAATTCATGGAACAGGATGTCACTGCCTTGCACAGCTCCTACAACCCTCCCTCATATGACTCACAAAAGCGTACAAAAGAAAAGTATACAAAATAGAGCAATTGCGTATTTTTCTTTCAAAAGCAATTGACTTTTCAGGGCTGTTGCAAAATTCCCCCAGTGTCACCATCACATTTGCAGGTGGCAGAACATGACGTGCATATGTGAAACTCAGATTAGGTAGGTGTGAAACTCTTTCTCCACCAGTCCCCCATTCTATCCCAAGAGCCCCTGGAATCACGTATTTTGATGTTACAGCGTTCCAGGGCCATTCTGGGGATGGGAGTGAAATGACAGGCACTGGAAGGGGAGGAGCACCACGTACGCACCCCCTCCTTGGAAGAGTGTTGGCAGCAAAAGAGGGGGTGCACCTCCATCGGTAAGTCCCAGGACCCAGATGAAGCCTTCATGACAAGTCCATCTCTGTTCTTAGTCTGACATATTCTAAAAGCAAACTTTCAATTTTAACAACAAAACTACAGATGGGAAATATTTCCTTAGGGCACGTCCTCTCCCCAAATTCAACTCAAAGTCAGCAAGTTAAAATACAAATTTGTGCAAACTAAAGCAAAGTTTCCTCATCTACATTAAACATATGTCAGAAACAACTTCAAAATATTGTGTGCAATAATGCAAAAAGCAAATAAAGCAGAATAGGAAAAAATCCAAGTGAATGGCTTCCTGTGAAGTTTCCAGAGCAAGGAGGGGCAACATGGCAGTTCACACGCAGCAGCCCATCTTTCTTTCTGTGTCCCCCGGGCTACAATCTCCAAACTGCTGTTGCTCAGCTTGCTGAACTTCTTGGCCACCAGAAAAAACACACATTTTCACTTTAAAGCAAGGTAGGCTGCAGCCTAATTTAGTATTAAAACAAATACTGCTGACTTGCCCCCAAAATTCAGCAGCGTTTTTGCAAGATGAGGACACATCCTCCAATTCTCCAAAGCTGCACTCTGCTCCAGAGAGCTGGAGAAGCTCAGAGAAGCAGCTGGGAAGGAGGGTTTCTAAGGAACAGGCTTCACGAGTAATAAAATAGCAGTATTCTTAAACGGCCCTGTATCCAATTATCAGCACTTCCAATCCTTGGTACTTCCAGTCAGGAAGTTCTTTATAGGGCTAGGAAAGAGCTCTGCTAAAGCAAAGTTGCAGCATGCGCCACTGGCCCCACTCTGGTCATCTCAGGTTGAGTTTGGAAGACGGGTTTCTTACCAATCATTTCCTAAAGTGTAAAGTTTACTTTTTCACCATATGAAAGAAAACCAAACGTCCATGTTTGCAGGGCAGTGTGTGTGTGTGTGTGTGTGTGGGAGGGGGGGAGCATTATGACAGACAGACAACTATTACAGTCTTCTCCAACCTGGTACCCTGCAGATGGGTTGACCTATAATTCCCAGCATCCCCCAGCCAACCCAAACTGGCTAGTCAATGGTGGTGTTATAGCCCAGAGTATATGCAGGACACCAGGTCAAGGAAGGCTGACCTCTCTCTCGTTTCAGAAACCTGCCCATCCAATTCTTCTGCAACGGCATCGTACCCACAATAGTTCTTAGCAAACAGTAAATCCATATATTTCATTTTAAAATGGATGCTCAGCTTGCTTCCTCTCCTGTATCACTTTTGTCAGCTTTTACTTAAAAGAGCAAATGAATCCACATAATCATTTGTGACAAAACATGGCTGAACAGCCTTTCCCCAAGAGATCAGTTTGGCAAGATGACAGGTCATGAGACCTTGCCAACACATTTGGGTTAACCCCTCTGGTTATATCCGCGCTACAGAATACATATCTTCGCTCTAAATGTAATTTGTTGTTTTCCAGTGAATTCTCGGGGTGCTGTTTCTCAGACTGGCACTAAGCATCATCTTAAAGAGAAGATTCTCAGCACCTTTAGGACACTCCAGTTTCCAACAGCCATATTTTGGAGAGGTGGGAAAGTGACAGTGGTATGAAAAGCAATACAGATGTATCACGAAGACACATCCTTAGTTTTCACTGTACTATCCATGCAAATTCCAAAGCCATTTATAAAAAAGCTCCATATTAACATTAAAATAAAGCCAAACCGATCTTAAATTGAAAAGCAACCTATTTGCTATGTATTCTTCCCTCTCTGTCCTGTTTCGGCCAGATTGAAGTGCCAGATGAAAGAATGGCTTTCAAAATGCTTATCTGTAGTGTGGAACTAGGCAATACTAGACATCTGTAAATGTAAGTTCGTTGGCATCGATTTGTGTCCAGTCAGAGCAGCGATTCATGCTTCACACTTATTTGTCAGATCCATGAGATCAGCAGTTTTAGTTTAAGCATCTTGAGCCCTTCATTTGTGGGGCAACTGGAAAAAGAGTTCAGACAACTCTGATTTTGCGTAGAAAGACTGTGAGCACCATCCAGTTCTGGTATACAAAAGAAATCCCTGGGATCAGAATTCTGTATCATTCTGTGTTTTGCACCAGGCTCTTGGTGCGTGTCAAAGTTCTAGCAAAACAGAACAACTCTGAAGGCCTGGAATTTAGCCACCACATCACTGGGTCAAAAGGCCTCTTTCATCCCTGACCCTGTCCTTGACACAGGCCAACAAGATACTCCAGAAAGCACCTGAGTAGAACATGACGAGGGTAGCCAACTCCCTAATATTTGCTACTGGCCCCGGTGTTGAGAGAAATACGACTCGGCATAAAAGGCTGGTTGCCTTGTCCACCTGAATGCAGCCAAAGTGTGCTGCTGCTTCTGTAGGTAGCCGAGCACAGCATTCTGGGATCTTGCAAGGCAGCCTTCTCCAACCTGGTACTGGGAATATACACTTGTCCATAAAGAAGAATGGGTGAGCAGGGCAAAAGAAGGCAAGTGCTCCTTTGCCCACCTGCACACCTGGCGCCTAGCTGGGCTCTAGCTGCCCCCTCCCATACCGACCCTCTAGTGATCACGTTCTAATCTAACAGACATCTAAGTGGTTCACCTGTTTAGACAAGGCATTGTGCTCCCCCCTCCCTCCATCCGACTGCAGGAAGCCTCCAATTGTCCTTGGATGAGGTAACAGCCACACACTCCTGAAATCAGCACCAAAAAGTTCCCTGTGAATGAAAATATGCATGCCACTTCGCTACCATCAGCATTCCAAAGCCACTCAAAACCAAATTCTATTCCAAAGCATCACCGAACCAAACCAGATTCCTATTTCATCCTGTTTTAAGCACTACAAAGACATTCATGGTAAGAACTTGGACAACCACATGGTGGGCATGTCATGAGCGGAGCTGGCTGGAGCAAGGGGTCAGACTAGATGGCCCAGGAGCCCCCTTCTGGCTCACTTTGTTTCGATGTTTCTAACTTGCACTCTGCCTCAGCACAAGAACAAGACATGGAGCTGATTTTTTCACAGATCCATAAAACAAAGTCAGTTCTGCCATGCTTTTTTTTAAACATAAAGGAACCATACCCCCTCTACGCTCCAGGGGTTGCCAACCTTGCTGCAGCTGATAAGGGTTTTCCAATCCTAACTAGCAACTGGCACATGGGCCTCCTCTTCTTGCTGCTCAAACCACAACATGCACCAAGCACTCCAAAGCAACATGACAGCCACCTATTCTACTGTTTCCAGTGGGGCCCACAAACCTATCCTCAACATCACGAATGCAGACCCTTTTTCCAACTTGAGAACTGAATCTGAGTTTTTAAAAAACCTCTGGTTAGGGGGGAACATTCCAGTGGAAGTTGGAACTGAAGGGCCAAATAGCTGAGCTTCAGGAAGTGATCCTCTAGTCCCTAGACACTGTCTGGGGAGACCAAACCCAACGTTGGATTCTGAAATCTGCAGTCCAACCCCAGAGCTGGGAACCTGCGCTCCAGTCTGCTTCCCTGCTTGTAGCTGCAGGGGAAGAACCTTGCTTCTCCAAGGTTTGAAACTGGAGAGGGGGAAAGGGGGCATTCCAGGGGGCAAAGCAGGAAGGAGGCTGCAGAGACTAAGGGACAGCATATTTTATGTATTTATTTATACATTTCTTTAGTTACAGGCCGTCCATAACTGCCGAGGCCTTCTAAGGACATATCCTGTGTCCTCTTCCTTCCTTCTCCAAAGTGTCCCACCCAAGAACAGTGAAGTACTTAGAGTGGGGGAAGCAGGGAGGCAGAGATTACCTCTCACACTTCCTGCTCTGCACAGGGTGCTCAGCAGCCTCCAAATTTGGGGGCTTAAGAGTACAACTCACGGGATGGTGTCCTGAAGCTCTTACTGCCAATAAGACTGCCTTAGGAGAGCCGTTTCAGCCTTTGAGAACGGGGCAAGAGGGAGCTGTGCACAGCCACTGAGGAACAGGTGAACGGCGGGGAGGGGATGGGCCCGGGGAAGCGGGCACGGCTCTCCGAGGAGCACCACAGGGCGGATCTGGCCCAAGGGCAGCAACCCTATCCAACAGGGTGGCCTTCCCGGTTGCCACCAGACCTGCTTGACAGGAAGCCATCAGGCCAAACGACCCCGCAGTTCACCAGCCATTCAGCCACATTACTAACCCTCTCAGCCAACGTATGCGAATGGCGTATGCACACAGGTGTCTGTTCCTCCCAGGTGGAATGTTCACACAGCTCTGCTCACCTACCACAAACCAGTCCTCTCACATTCACACCTGGCCAAAGAGGAGCAGGGGAACTCAACCTGCATCAGAGCGAGCACGAGATAGCGAAAACCACTTCAGGTCGCTGATAGGTTCATGTCTCTTACTGAATGCTCGCCACACTTGGGAAAACATTCCCCCACAGTAACGGTACTGTCTAGAAAGCTGTTATTTCTGAGCAACATGCAGCAGAACAGAACCTCTTCCAGCCTATGGGCCAAAAGCAGAACCTCTTCCAGCCTATGGGCCAAATGCCATTTTGGAGAAACTCCAGGAGATGGTATGGAAATGATGGCTGGGGCAAAAGCAGCAAGACCAAAAATCCCAGGGTATTTTAACTTACATCTCGTAAGTACATCACAGGTTAAAAGCCCTTTTAGAATGGGGCAGGGGGGCTGTCCCAGAGCTGGGAAGCAACCAAACAACTGATGGTTGGGGCTGAAGAGGTGTAGCCGTCCATGGAACTGCAGAGGGCCCAGCAGGCTCCCCAGGCAGTCGGGGTCTGGCCCTCACGCTGGAGGTTCTGCGCATCGTAACAGAATGCCTTATTGCTAAGGATAGGAGCCCCTCCCAAAGCTTGCCAAGCTCAACTTAAAGTGCGCCCTGTGTTGCATTTTGTTGGCCTCATTCTTCATACCAGAGGTTAAGCGTTAACTCTACCGCTGTTTTGCCACTCCTGCTGTACCTTGGTGAGAATTAAGAGTTAATACTGTAACAAGTGAAGCTGCAAGTTCGCCCCACGGTAGGCGATGGGGCAGGAGGTCCTGAAGCAGAAGCGCCACCAAACCAACACAGCAGCTGTCCCTGAAGAGTTGCCGGTGGGAGGTTTCACCGTGTTTTTAAACAGCAATGAGAGTAGATAGTGAATGGCTCTGCCTAAGCCGAGCTTCCATTGCCATCCTGAGTTTCTAAGAATGTGCTTCTGCGGGAGGAGAAAAAATATACACAAACACACATACACACAGAACAGACTCAGGTTCCTTCCAACTATCCTATGCAAACAAAGAGACACTGCAAACTGGAACACTGAACTGTCTGACAGTTTCACCCTTAATTTTGAAAATGCCATGAAGTTTTGATCAAAGGGCTACCAAGTGATCAGTATTCTCCAGTGAAATGGCAAAGGAAGAATTGAGTTTTCTACTGAACTTAATGCTGCAAAAATAAAATACAATTCTGTGAACTTAATGCTTTCTCTGAATTGGTGTGGGTGGGTGCTTGGCTAGCATTCCAGGTGACTCGTCTTTCTGAAAAGGTGTTGGATAGCTGTGATTTTTGGCAGCTCTTGAAAAATATAAAGGCTCTTCTTCAATTTAAAAGTCATTTTCCAAATTTCGGGCAAAATAATTCAAACGTTTCAAAGAGGAATATTGCCAGCTTCCACACAACATAGAGTTCTACTAGAGATTCAGAACTAGCTAATAGGACATCTAATGCTCTGGTTTACATTGAAATGTAATTAATTTCCTATTTCCAGACTTGCGGCCCAAACCACTTTCTAAAACTCCACATCTTTTCTCAAATACCAGATACCGCTCAATAGTTCTTTTGCAGTTTTTCCTGTAGCTTTTATAGCTCAGGCCCAATAAAAGGTAGAGGGCTGATTCCCCACTTCCCCCCAGTGCAATTCCCAAGTGCCTTCCAGCCTCCACCAAAAAGTTCCTGCAGAAAAGGGTTTCTTCCACTATGAAAGAAAATACTGATCATCCTAGAAAAGCTACAGGTAGCAGAGTTTTTCCTCTGTGAGAGACATGGCCAGATAAGGTCACGGAGCGCATCCCCATGTAGGACTCTCTCTCTCCTCCACCAGCGTCCTGGGCCTCTCCCGCTACGTCAGCCATTTGGCAATGCAGGTATCATACACTGTGCGGTTGGAATGCCAGTTTGTGTGAGAAACGCCAGGCATTGTGTAAAAAACAATGTCGTCACGAGCATGCAGGGTCTTCAGACCAAAGGTGTCCAGGAGGTAGACCTAAGAGACAGACAGAGAAGAGGAGAGAACAGAGGTGACTTCTTCACTCTCACTTGGAAAGAGCCCTACCGCAAAAGCGAGGCAAAGCTGCAGCATCAAGAAGCAGATTTTTGGGTGCCAGGAAGGAACTACTTGTAGCCACACAAATTTGGCCATAGGTGGCAAAATCTACTGGGATCTTCTCCTGTAAAGCACATTCCATTCACATGAACAGCAGCGTGACTGCGCTTTGAACAGTGGTGGCTCTGGACAGAGGATTCTCTGAGGAATACCCTCCTGCTACCATTTCCGCTACCTGTGTATCTTTAAAAGCCTTCACCGAGTCTTCTCCAGCTTCTCCGTGGCAGCTGGCCAAAGTTGGATTGTGGCCCAGCAGCCACAGGGAGACTGGCTCAAGCTTAATCTGGCCAGTTAGAGCCTGTTTTGATCCCCATTCCTAGAGGAGAAACTGCTGGGAGGAATAAAGGGACTCATTCTGTGCAGGTAAGCGACCGGCCTCATTGGGCCTCCACCTGCCTATACCCCTCTCTCCACCTCCACCTTTTTAGCTCAGACTCTTTTTTCAAAGCGTGTTGTGTATTTGCAGAGTTGGAACAGATAATATCTTTACTGTTTATAGCCATAGGCCATCACAAGTTTAAAAGGAGAGAACAAGAAGATACAATAAAATTTGCTGCTGGGTTCGGAGACCATTTTTCTGTCTGGCTGTGATAGTATTACTATTGTGATCTGTTATTGTTTTGTTATTTTGTCCTTCCACTGTTTTGGACCCCGAACATAAAATTGATTCTCTGTGCAGCACGAGCTGCTTCAAAGGAGTGCTTCTTTCTAGGTGTGTGTGTGTGTTCTGGTTCTGGCCTTCGTACCATGAAGGATTGTGTTTTCCAGGTTCAAACAACACAACAGGTTGTCATGGTACAAGAAATCATGGAACAGGCCATTGTTCCTGTTTGTGGTTTCTAAAGACCATCATGAGGTTTGGACAACAAGAAAGACCAACAGCACTACAAAATCGCTCTGGCTCATTGGGTTGACCAAACCCTGCCAAATAAATAAATAAATAAAAAGAATCTTCAACATGCAAACTAAACTACACTTTCCTGCGATTTCTTCAGGAAAAAGTCAAAGACAATGATGTAAGTGTGTGTTAAACCATTAAGGACAGTCACTTGAATGTACCTCTTTACTGCAACCCAGAAAATGTTCAAAGCCTTCCATGGAATCTGAGGACCCTGGATGTACACAAAATGATTTAAGCAGCCAAGAACAGTACTACGTCCTTCTGTTACTTCAGCTCAGTAATCTCCTAGCCTTTGTAAATAATTCAGGCATGCTGACCTCCCTATCGCCCATTTTTATCATCTTGTAAAATTCACTTTGAAGGCCTTTTGATGGGAAAACAGACTAAAAATATTTATAGGCACATTTGCTTGCAGCTGACAGGAACGTTCAAAGGCACTTCAGTTCTATTAGAACCGGCTGAGGGGAAGGTGGAACTGAATAAAAGCAGCAAAAGAGGGGCTGCCAAGGATCCTCCATCTCCTCTTGCAAATTCCAGACATGCACACAGCACACACAATCCTGACGTCTTCTGTGCATTCCTGCAGCTCTTCCATAATCCACAGGGTAGAAGGTGCCTACTGCCCTCTGTGGGGAGCGAGGGGTGCCCCACAGAACCTTGCCACCAGCAGTCTCTGGTGCAAGCTCTGGAAATTCCGTTCAACTGAGGCAGTGTGTTGGTTGCTGCAGGGGGAGACATGGGAATTCTGTCTTGCAAACCCAGGAATTTTTTTCAGGGTGGCTTGTTTTATAAGCCTCCCTGACAAACCATGGCTTGTTCTATGGGTTGTTTAAGCCACAGTGCCATATTGTTTTGTCCGAACCCAGATGACATGGCCTACCATAGCCTGAGACAAACTGCAAATGAGATACTTTGCCAGAGCAACAAAACAGATAAGACTGGTTCCAGCCTGCTTGCAGTGGCCACCTGTATGCTTCAGGTCCCAGTTAAATGGTCTTTCATGTTATTTCCCATTAATTTTTAATTCTTACTTTTATAAAATACAATAGATAATTCTTTAATCTATTGCATTTTATTGTTTTTTATATTTTGCTGTAAACTGCCCAGGGAGCTTCAGCTATGAGTGGTACAGAAATGAAATGAGATAAACAAATAGGAACCAAGGCAGATTCTAAGATCCAGGATTTATAGCAGAGCTCACTCAAGACATGCTGCTCCCTGAGGTGGAAGAGAAGACAGCGCCCCTCCATTCCATATGCGGAGCCTGCCCAGGCTGGAAGTCAAGTCTGACACTGGGGCTACCCATGAGGCCATGCACTGCACCTGAGGGGCTGGGGCTAGAGGCTGGAGGCTGGAGGCAGGGGCTGGAGGACTCAGGTGGAACAGCCAAGCCGTGTCTCCGCAGTATCTGCCGCATAAGGCAGCTGCTTCACTTTGCCTAATGGTTGAGACAGCCCTGATTTACAGCTAGTTGAATACATTATGAGCGTCATCAACTGCCAACAAAACATCTCTTTGCTGTCCAGTTCTTCAGGAAACTTTGCCAATGGCTGGTGCCGGAGGTCAAACCAGATGGCCCGGGAGGCCCCTTCTGACTCGCTCTGTTTCTATGTTTCTGTGTTTAATAACATCCACGGCTGCTTTTATGTGGCTGACCCTGAATCACCCCGCTGTGTCTCTCAGTTTCCCTTCTTGTCTCAATCCCTTTCCCACACATTGCGCCAGGGGTACAATCCATGCTCACTCACCGGCTGAGATGTCATATCTCTCACTGTCTCATTGTCATCATAGAAGGCAAACAGACTGTCAAGAAACAGGGAAGAAAAGAAGTGTTTAGCATAGCAATGACCTTTTCCATATCCCGTGTGTGTGTACATGCGTATTTTCTGTGATTTACACACACACACACACACACACACACACACACACTTATGTAGCTGACTAATAAACTCATGACAGTCCCTAAAAAACTGCCATGCCTTCTGGAGCAAACTCACAGACTAAAATAAACAAAGAAAACTTTCCCCTTCTATTTTCAAAAGGGCACAGAACTTTTCCCTACCTTTTTGTCTGCAGGCAATTCTGATCCTTAAGACTGTGGTGATTCATATATTACATACATATATTTGGATTTTTAACTCTTCACAAATTCAGTATATTTTGCACAGGCTTGCCATAATTTATTTTCAAAACATGCCTAATTCTACTAGGACTTTCTCCAACTAACAGATGATCCACAAGGGGGCACTACTCATTCTCTTTCCCGAAAATATTTGTACCTAACAAAGGGAGCTGCCTAATACCCAATCAGACCATTTGTTCATTCTGCTCAGTTTTGTCTTCACTGCCTGGCAACAGCTCTCCAGGGCAGAAAGCAAAAATGCCAACATAGTCTAGTTTTAAGCCCTTCCTGCCAAGAACTAAGCCTTAGGGAAAGTAAGTGGGGGGGGGGGGGGGGGGGGGGGGGGCATGAGGCCAGGAAATGAATTGCAGTCATTATTGGGGCGGGGGGGGGGGGTTCAATTTTTGAGAAACTTGTTTAAAGGGCCACAGTATACTGAAGTCTTCCCAATCTGGGACTTATTTTAATTTATGCATGGGAGCCTAACATATTTGCAGGGTGCCAAATCAAGGAAGGCTGCTGTATTGGTAGCAAACAAACAGGCAAGGCAGGAAGGTAAACAGGGGAGGTAAAGCTTCTTTACCTTGTTGGGAAGGTAGAGAACTGAGTGGCTATTTGCTCATCAGCAGCTGTGTGTTAATTCCCATATTGTCCTGTTATGGCACAATCAGAGGCATCAGTCAGCAGACAGGCCTGGAAGAACTCAGAAATAGTCCGAGTGCCAAGCAGGAGAATTTTAATGTTTATTTACTCAGGAAGAAAGCCGGAAAGGACCTCCACCTCAGTAGTCAGAGTAGAGACTTTGGTTCTAACTGAGGGTTAATAAAACAAAGTTAAGTCATCCATCCACCCCTACCACTGGGATGTTAAGTTACATTTCAATGCCCCCTTCCCAAACCTGTTTACATAGGTCAGCAGGAATAGCTCAAAGGAATAGAGAGATGAAGCTGCAGGATGTTGGGGAAAAAACTGATCTGGTGTTATTCCAAGAAATAGATGCACACATGTTTTGGCCTGGTATGGCCCTGTCTCAGGGATCAGTTTGGATATGTATAAACAACTGCAGAGAGCTCTGAAAAATATGGATCCTATGACTAGCTTTTCCAGAAATCTCTGCAGGCATTTCAATATATCAAAACAAGCCTCTGAAGAAGGCCTGCATTCAGGGCCAAAAGGCATACTGCTATTTCTTGGAATACAACCACACACATGCTTTTAATATCCTGAGTCACTGTCTCTTTATTCTATTGAATTGTTTTGGATGTTCTCCAGTGATATTTTGAAGAGCAGCAATACTTGCCCTTTCCATCTCGCAGGCAAGAAGGTCTCCTCCCCAAAGCCAAACACGTACCTGGACTCCCACGGCATGATTACGCCATCATCTGGGCCCCCGATCAGAACCAGCTTCCGGATCCGCAGGAGGTTCCTCTTCCAGGCTGCATTGAAATAAAAGCATGGCTCCAGACACGTGCTCCTCTGATCCACACTGTGATCTTTCTACCCCTGCTCTGTCCCGTCCTGTCCTTGACCTGACAGCAAGAACAAGCAACCCCCCGTGCCCTCCGGGCTCTGCAAGCTCAGATCTTTTGTGGAAGGCAGAAGCAATGAAAATGAGATTTCTGCTACTGCCGCCACTTACAGAAGCCCAAGGAAATAAGGCCCCTCCCTCACTCCTGGGCCAGGAAAGGGGATCCAGGCGAGGGGCTTTTCATCCATTTGCACTGTGTGCTGGAGACAAGAGAGGGCCCCTCCCTTGTCTGTGTGTTCTCCGCTCAGGCTGAACACCAGAACAGGGCTGAAATGGATGTCTTTTGCACCACTGGGGCCAAAGGACAGCAAATGGTCACTGATTTGATGTATCATTGCTGTTTTCGCACTCACTGCCAGTGAGGGATTGTCTGCCTCAGCGCCAAACTAATTTTAGCAGCCTGTGGCGAACGGGGGCAAAGAAGGAGACCACTCGCTGTTCTGCCTCAGGCAGCAAAGGATCTTGGGCTGGTCTCGTGCCCCAGGCTGCACTTGGCAGATGTCCGGGGCCCAGCAAAGGAAAACGTACATCCTGCAAGCCTGCAGGCTGCCGCCCCGGCCTACTTTATCGCAGCACTTACAGGCCATACCAGACATCACAGGTGTGCCATGTTTCTTTCCCCTAAATAAAATGGAACGGGCAAGATCTCGGCATATTTCCAGTCACAAAGGACACCAGCAACTATTCCAGCAGGGATAGCTGAGAAAGATGAGTGCATGGTAAGGGCTGCAATCACTCTGGGAACACTTCTGTCTGAAGAGTAGCATAAAAATACTTCACAAAAATAAAAGAGACTCTTAGGAGTATCGGTCAAAAGGTATCATGCTGCAATTCCATCTTTTTTTTTCCTTAATGGATTTGCTGTGGTAAGAGAACAATCAGAAAAAGTGACAGGGAAACACTGGAGGTTTACAAGTGGAATTTCAGCCCTCAGTAAAATTCTGCAACTCAGGCAGAGCAATGACACCATAAAGGCTTTGTCAAGAAAAAATAAACATGTTTACAAGAACACAGATACAATGTGCGTGCAGGTGAAGGAAGAGGAACCTTCCCGCAGTTTACTTTCCCGAACTCTGTTACCTTAGCACTTTTTCTCCCAAGTTGCTTGTTGTATATAAAGCACTTTTTCCCCAATTGAGCCCAGAGGCTGAAAGTTAGTCAGGCTGGGGAGTAAGAGTGCTTTAGATGCAAGGGCAGATTCATGAATGGGCAAACATGAGTTTCACCATGAAGTCTATCTGAAGGTTATGAAGACTTCAAATTTTGCTTAGTTGTGCCTTGCCGTGATTTTCAGCCTCAGGAGGAACAAGCCAGACTGAGGCCTCATGGAGTCGTGCTTCCGGGCAAGATAGTAAAATGAGGAGGCCCCATGTAGTTATTCTGTCCTTGCTCATTAACTGATTTTTTTTAAGGAAAAAGATGGAAAAGGCTGTGGGAAAGCATGAGAGGGCTACGAGTGGAAGAAGAAAAAGTCCCATCCAACCCCTCCAATGAGGAAGGCCGGTGGCAGCATACAAGCCTCGTCTAGACATCCCCACCATGTTGTCCAGGACTGTAGCGCCACCGGGGTGACCTGAGAATTGCGGCCAGGGACTGTGGGGGTGCCTGCCCGCTGGAGCTCCCCCTCCCGCCATCCACTGAGTCCTGGGCCTGATGGACTTAGTTACTTATTACCAGACGCATTGGGGTGGAGTCTCTCATCATTCAGCAGAGCCAGGAAGTTGCTGTTGTTGAGGTAAAGATCCCGATGATGTGGATCTGGAGATGCAGAGGCCGTGGGGAGAAAAAACGGTCAAGAGAACTTTGAGTGGATTCCTAAATCCAATGAATTACCCCCATCCCACTTGCTTCTCCTCACAGAACCCAGAAGGTTGGCTCTCCCATCCCCTTCCATACTTTTTAAAAAGTAGGCGTGCTCTTCCTCCTTCCAGCAAACACCAGCCATCGACTGTTTCCTTGCAAAACTTTCTCTGTTGCTCCCAAGTACAAATGACCCAGAATGAATCTCTGAGCATGCACAGAGCGGTTTCTTGAACCCAATCTAGTGATCTCTGCCAGGAACTCTCCTTATGAATACGCCTGGGCTCCATCCCCTTGGGAGGGCCTCTCTGGAGGCGAGCAGGCCTCCTCTCCACACAGCTCATCTAACTGAGCCCCTCGCCTCTGCGTATGCCTTGAACTGGGGTCCAGCTCAGCGGGGGGCTGGTCTGCATACAAGAATTCCTCATCCCCAGTGGCCCCTCCCACGGGCTGTGCATCCGGACCATTCCCAGGAACTGCCTGGTGCAGCCAAGCGCCTGGCTTGACAGAATCCCCTCTGCTTCCTGTTGCATCCCCAAACCTTTAGCTAACCCATGCTCCCCAGTCTCACTGAGCCACTCTTCTTCTGATTCTTAATCTGCACCTTGGATGCAGCCAGTGTTCGTGGGAACGCTTGCCCAGGCCCACCACCCTCTTGTTTCCAACGGGCACGATCTTAGGCACATTTCGACAAGAAAAGTCCTGCAGTCTGCAGCCCCGGCTGGGGAATGCCAGGAACGCTTCCTGTCTAAACACGCACAGGGCTGTGCCCAGTCAGCAAGTAACCGCAGCGAGAGTCCCAGCACTGCTACTCATGTGCGCCGAGAGAAGGTGGCTGCACGTCCAGGCCGGGTAGAGCACCAGCCAGGAATTAAGCCATGCAGGGTGAGGATACTTCTGACCTCCCTCGTACAGCAGTTACAAGGATTTCTGAGAGAATTTTATTTCTTCAATCGATTTACATGCCGCCTGATTGGTCCTAGGGTCTCTGGGCAGCTTACATATAATGTAAGTGAAAGAGACTTGAAGAACCAAAGTACAGTGGTACCTTGGCTCACAAAGTTAATCCGTTCCAGGACTCTGGTCGTGACCCAAATTGGTCGTGAGCCAAGTTAAATTTCCCCATAAGGTTCAATGTAAATAAGGTTAATCCGTTTTGTAACCATTTTTTAAATCAGAAAAATGTGAAGCAAAGTGAAAACAACAAAGATCGTGGCCATTCCCTCCCCACCACCCCGAGCACAAGCACGGCCATCTCCCCGCCCCCCCAGCATGACCGAGATTGCGCCCGTCATCCCTGCAGGTGCCCGTCATCCTGGCACACAGGGGGGTGGGGGGAGAGACATGGGCGCGATCGTGGGTGCACTGGGGGAGGGAGAGATGGGCGCAAATGGTGCGCTGGGGGTGGGGAGTTGGCCGTGATCGCAGTTCCGTTCGTGCAGGGAAGACATGCCTGATCAGAGGTGCGCTCCTGCAGGAAAGACAGGTGCAATCTTGGCCATCTCCCCCGCGGCTCTGCTTTGCTGCTCCCGTCTTTCCTGCAGGAATGCGCCTCTGATCAGCCACGCCTTCCCCGTATGAACGGAACTGCGATCGTGGCCATCTCTCCACCTGGGGGGTGGGGGAGATGGCTGCGATCTTGGTCGCCACCCAAAGTGGTGTTTGTGACCCAAGCCAAAATTTTTCAGAAATTTTTGTTCATGACCCGATTTGTTCATGAACCAAGGCATTCATGAGCCGAGGTACCACTGTATGCAGCAAAATCTTAAGGAATGCAAGGAATTGCAGATGGTGCTGACAGTAGTAAAACCAGGCAGAATCTCACCATTCCAGTAATTACAGATGGACAAATCCTGGCCCATGTGGGTGTAACACAAGCGGTACAGGTTGGATTTCATGTGGTCCGGAAAAAGCCACTTCAAGTACTTGGTGTCTGAATTGAAAAATGCAGAGAGGGAGAGGCAGTAAGCACATGTACCGTTCCTCAACACTGTTTCAAGCCCCAAATCCTCTCATCCTGTGTAGGGTCCCCAAATTTTGCAGGCCCATAGGCCCATCCATCCATCCATTTTAAGTGTCGTGGAAGTGGCTGAAAATGGCCACTGTGAGTGGGTTACTAGTCACTCGACGGCTGCTGGGGTACATGGCTAGGCAGCAACCTTTTGGAGGCACCCCACCATGCTAGAACCCTGTAGCTGGGTCCACACAACACAAGGCAGAGTACAAGTCGAGTATGGGTTAAGTGTGGGTTGTCACTGAACTGTGGTTTGTGATCTTACGCGAACCCAGCTACATTAAGAAGCCATGGTGTGTTAACCAGGAACAACCTATGAAGAGTACTCATGAGTTGTTGGGTTGTGAACTGTGGGTTGTTTGTTGTTAATAAACCTAGTTCATTAGTATGGCTGGGTTCACACAATACAACAACCTGCAATTCCCAACAATCCATGGTTCAATGACGACTCATAGTCATCTTGTATTCAGGTTGTGGAATCCAAGACTCTTGCTTTTTCTCTGTGATGTGTTCTCTGGGGATGCAGGCAGGATTCTTTCTAAGCCTGCCTGGAGACCCTGGGAATCGATTCCAGACTGTTGCGTGCAAACCAGGTGCTTGACACACTGAAATGCCGCTGCTTCCTTGCAAAACAATGTAATCTCCACAGGATATTCAGGGCAAATACAGAACCGAATAATGGATGAAAGGAAGAGCAGCCTTGAAATTGTTTCACGAGACAAGAACTGCACATTCACAGGACTGAACAAGTGTTTATTGATCAAAGCCTGGGAGCTGACCAAGAGTGGCGGCTGAAGGGTTTGTGCAGGAGAAAACCCCATGGTGGGTGATCTGCTACTTGCACTTAATAGAAACACTAATCTGAGTTCAAGGAAGACGAATGATCAGTGATATAAGCAATAGCTTTGTGGTACTAATATATCGCCTTATTTGGAAATGGAATTTATGCCCTGGAATGAAGAGTCCAGAATTCTAACAATACAGAGAGCTCCATTCTAGCAGAGCTCCAGGCATGCCGAAAACAAAATGAGTGATCTGAAAATTCTGGGCGTGAAAGTCACAGCAGAGAGGTGCTAAATAACCAGTTTTGGAGGGGATGTGGGAAGCAGAGCCTTGGGTAATAAGCTGAACGGTCAAGTAAAAAGACCCAAGCAACATTTTATTTCACCTAGAGGCAACTCAGAATCCTTGGGCTGCACTTGTAATGGTGCACTTAAATAATTTTGGCCATGGGACCCCATGGTCTTAAGCACTCACATATACACATGCACAAACTTTAGATGGAAATGTATCATGACTGTAGCATGTGAGCCAAGTAGTCTAGCGGTGTTTGGGGCCCTCCTATTCCTTCTGCAGAATGGAGCTCTGGACATCTGCCCCAAAGTCCTGCCCTGAGGGCGCTCCTGGGACCCTGCCGGGACTTACCCCCATACTGCCCCATCTGAGGAGAGGAGAGAGAGATGAAGGTGTCCACGTTGTGATCAGGGGTGGTGGCGATGAGGGCACGGCAGATGAGGCCTCCTGCAGGACAAAGAAACAGGTGTGAAGCACTGCCTCCTTCCAGGCATCTCCTAACCTCACATACTTTCCATACTGGTCCGTGGAGAGAGCCCTACCTCAGGGCTGGTTTTGGTCTGTGCAGATTCAAACTGGGTGCTTTTCCAACACAAAGCTCAAAATGGGTCAATCTGCTACTCACTTTTTTGCCATCCGCAAATAAACCACCTGTTTGACATTGATGGGTGTCTGTAATAATATTTACAGGCTTTGTCATTGAAATGGGGCATATCATCAATTTTTCAAAACAGTTACTCGCACCTCCCTTTTATGGGAAAACCTTAAACTCATGGAAAATTAAAAATATTTTCTCACTGATTCCTAAATGGATTCACTGAAGGATCCATCATCTATGGTGGATCAATTCCTGAAAATCCACAAAAGGGCCAAATTTCCCCTAATTCTGCAAGGGAGAGCTATGGCTGTACAGTTTTGAAAAACAGGTATTTTTTCCAGCTGCATGTTCATTGCATTGGAAAGGACAAATAAAACAAACCTGCCAGAGGGAACAACACATGTTTATATTATATTTGGTGAGCATTTGCGCACTCATGCGTGCACCCCAAAATTTAAATTATACCTTTAAATTTAAAGGTATATATTTAAATTATTTATTTATTAGTTTTGGTTAAAGCCACCTGTTAGCATCATGCTTTCTGGGTGGCCCTTACAATATAAATAACTTTGATAATACAGTTAAAATATCATAATAAATAAACAGGATAAAGTCACAAGAAAAAATCCTGAAATAAAAATAAGGCACATATTAATATAATTAAAACCAGTGCCATTGATATAAGTAGTCCAGATAGTGCCAAAGGTGCGGTGGAAAAGGAAGGTTTTTGCCAGGTGCCTGAAACTCAGTAAAGTAGGCACCTGACAAATATCTGGCTGTAGAGTGTTCCATAATTGGGGTGCCACCACAGAGAAGGCCCTCTTCCATGCAGCCTCCCCCTTAACCTCCTTGGGGAGAGGCACTCGTAGGAGAGCCCCAGTCAACTGTCTTAAACAACGGGCAGGAATTATTCTACTTGTAGTATCGTATAATAGTATTAATACATGATGTATGTCTGGACCATGAATACTAAACACTTATAACTTGGAATGCCTATTAAAGGGGTGTGCACTTGGGGTTATCTTGTTTTTAAGACACAATGATTATTTTTAAGTGATTTAAATGTGTCTTGCCTAGTTGAAGCCTGCAGCAATCTCTTCCAGCCCTAGAGGCAGGTATCCCTAACCAGCATTAAAGGAAGGATTCGTAGGCATGAGGCAGAGGTACCAGCTTGCTCCCCGCTCTGTTGTGGGGCATCCCACCCCTAAGGGACTAGAAAGGGGAGGAAGCCCCTTTGTTCAGGGGGCAATAGGAATCCACCACACTGGCTCAAGTTCACATCTCATTTAGCCAGTTCTGGGTGATACTGAGAAGCATTCAGCACTTCCCAGAAGAGCTAATTATTATTATTACAGAAACTCTGTTTGCAGCCACAACTGTGCAGAGCGAAATCTACAGGAATTTATTCTGGTTAAACCTGCACAAACTTCATCCTGAGGCATTCAAAATATATAAGTATCTCTGCAACCCACCTGCTGCCTTCCTGGTACAAGGGTGTCTTGTGTGCGCATCTCCTTAAGAAGCACAACATACCACCAAGCTATGGGATATGTTCTGGTGGCTTTTTCGAGGGCAGGGTTGGAGGAGGTTAACACTTCTTGGTTTGCTTGGTATTTAAAAATGGTAGATTATGTTGTGTGCCTTGGCAGGGCAGTGGAATGGAGCTGCAACCAACCAAATAATTGAAGGTTGTCTTATGGGGCAAGGGTGTGGGGGTGTGGGGCAGGGATTGTTCTGCCCCCGAACCCAAGTGGAAGAAAAGAAGTCCTTCAATAATGGCAACTACGGAAAACTGGCTGGGCCAATCCAACAGTTTTGGTGACTCCCAGACCAGGCAGACTGTCAATGGCTCTCAAAACTAATAAGGTCCCATCAACTGATGAAGAAATGTCTCGCTTAACATGGTGCGACCAGAAAAATATAAAGACCCCCTTGGGCCCCAAACTCCCTGGGGTCCACACAGAGCAGAGAAAGCCAGTGGAACCTTGGTATTTGTCCCACCTGCCAATGGATCACAGAAACCAGACTTACTATACCAGTCAGTCCAGCCCATACCCTCCATGCTATCATACCATGATCAAATGAGGGACTCATGAGTTGAAAACAGTGTGCCATGACACACTCCCTTCAGCACTTGGTCCCTCGAGATCACAGAATGGTGGAGCTGGGAGGAGCCAGAAGGCCACTGGGTCCAGCCCCTGCTATTGCAGGACACTAAGTTACACCATCGCATTCAGACACTTTCCGAATGTCACCAACAAGGGAGAGCCCACAACTTCCCCACAGAATCGGTTCCATTGTCGAAGGGCTCTGCCAGCGACACTGGGTGGCCACAAGGAACTCCCGCGGATGCCCGCCCTTCCTTTCCTTGACTTAGATTTCCCTCAACTGAGCAGTGCAGGTGGCTGAATTTAGCCACTATCCAAATTTCCCACGATGCTCCTGCCCTAGTGCTGGGCTGGGACATTGTGGGAGATGAAAAGGAGGTTGCTACACTCAGCCAAGGAGTGCTGCCACGACTGCCACCGAAGCGCAGCAGAGCAGAAGGCAGCCCACGAGAGGATAGCTTGCCCAGGGCCCCTCGCTGGATCCAGCCCTGCCCCCACTCCAACCCAGGAACTCACCTACCTTGCGAGTAGCAGATGAGGTGGACCCCGTCAACTGCATTCTGCATGATGGGGTAAATGGCCTGCCTGAAGCCCTCCACTTGCACCCAGAGGGGTTTCAGGCTCTCCGTGCGGTCGAACAGATCGACGACGGTTACGTTGGTCCCCGGGTGGGTCTGAGGGAAGCCGTGGAGAGAAAGGTTAGGCTGCTCCTGGCTCTTCAGCAATGCACACTTGGAGCCTGGAGGCACGCAGCGCAGGAGCTGCACGGCTCCGACAAGTCAGTCTCAGATGCCCAGTGTGGCGCCCGTGGCTCCACCGTACAAGCAGACGACTCTTTCGGTGCCAGCCAGCTCCTGGCCCTAGATCAGCGGTGGCGAACCTACGGAACGTGTACCACAGCGCGCTTGCAAAGCCCTCTCTGTCGGCACGCGAGTCAAGTCGCCCAGCATCGCCTTGGCAGCCGAGCATCGGATAACCGTGCTCGTAGGGGCCACATGCATACGCGGAAAGGAGTAGCAGCGCCAGGCGATGATGCCACAAGCTGCGCCTCATTAGCTGCGACTCGTCCAAGCTTTTGCATGGCCAGTCAGTGCGCTGCCAAGGAGATATATATATATATATATATATATATATATTTGCTTGGACTGGCTGTGAGTTGTTTTTTTCTACATGAAAACCTCAGTTTTCAGTTTTTACTGCAATGTTGGCACTTTGTGATAAATGAGTTTTGTGTTGCAGTTTGGGCACTCGGTCTCTAAAAGGCTCGCCATCACTGTCCGAGATGGTTGCCCTAGAGGGTCTGAGAGTGGCCCAGTCAGCCAGACCACCCTAACTCCATCTTACACTGTTCTGAGAGGAAGAGATCTCTATTTGACACTCAGTTGCCGCTCTCTGCTAAAAACAGACACGAGATGCTGGCATCGTGATGCTGGCTGAGAGACCAACTGACTCCACTTAGCAATCCACAGGCTGGTAATTGGCTTGACTCCCAAACAGTGAGGAATCAACATGAACATCTGGGCAAAGGAAGAGTGTTGTGTGAGGCCCTGGCAGACTAAAACACAGGATTCCTTTGAGGAATCTCCACCCAGGCAAGTGGGGGGACCCAAAGAGATCTCCTCCAATGAAAAGGAGGGGTGCAGTCTTTTCTTGACTGCAGGGCTCCCAGAAAGTGATGGGGGGAGGGGTCTGACCCAGGCAATTTTATTTAGGCCTCTGAATAGCATGAGTTTCTTTTTCTGCTGTATTTGCCATGGAAGCGCCGGTTTAAACTGCTTATTGCTTTGTGCTGCGGAACGGAACATTTTTTGCCTGTTCTGTACTTTTTTATCTGAATCCTTAATAAATCCATTATCCTGTTACACCCAAATAGAGACCAAGCACTTTAAGGGTGAAAGTGGGGAAGTTCACAAGGAGGCATGGATCATACAGTCCTAGAACAGTGGAGCCAGAAGGAGCCAAGAAGGCCCTTGGGGCCCCCTCACTGCAATTGCAAGTCACCGGTTTACACCATCCCACTCATGGTTGGCTTGGAGTAGCCCTTTCACTCAGACCACGTGGACTCCATCTTACCCAAGTCCAAGAGACAGAAACCTCCCTTCTGCAATCCATTCAGGTTGCTGCTAAAGCGAAAGGCCAGGCCAATATTTTATTTATTTATTTAAAACATTTCTATGCCGCCCCCATCGCAACAAAGCCTCGGGGCGTTTCACAAAGAACAGGATGCTGGCACTGAGATGCAGTCGCTCTGCCTGAGCTCATCTCAGTAAGCACCTCCACTTGATAAACCTTTAACTAGTAAACTGTCTAGGTGCCCGAACTATGAAGAGTCTTCTAAATTTCATCTCAGAGCTGGGAACGAGCAAATATAGTCGACAGACAGAAAACAAGCGCTTCTTCTGGGATCTTGATGCAGGCACTAGAGGAGTTTACAGCAAGGTTTTCCCTCAGTGCAGGTGCTTTGCTGCAGGTTTCCCCAGAGGAAGGGGGAGACCTGTCACGACCACCAGGGAAACCTCACCACAGAGCCCCTGGTTCTGAGAGAACCAGGCAGACAGCTTAGGGCAGGACTGCAAGCTAGACTGTCTTTTCTGCTTATTTGTCACTTGTCACTACGTTGCCACTTGGAACGGCTTCCATGCCTGACCCTGGCCCAAACCCAACTGCAATGGATCCAGCCAATCAATCCAATGCCCTCCACTGCAGATGCATGTAAGGCTGCAATGCACGGAGAGAGGCGCAACGGGGGCTGTGAGAGGCCTTGCACTGTGCAAGCAGCTGATTTGGTCTTCGAGGGGAAGCAGTGTGGAAAGGGGGCGAACCAAGGTGCTGTCGTAAGCAGTCAGACGCAGCCTCCTCCACCCTGCACGCCCCTCTTCCTTCTCTCTGAGGCCCATGGCCCAACCTCAGAGGATAAGCTAGCAGAGTTCTTTCTGCACTGGCTACAACAGGTGTGGGAAGGAGCTCTGCTTTTGGAATTCCAGCACCAAGACTGCCGGATCTCAGAGCTGGGGCTCCAAATATTCCTGTGGACACCCGGACAACATCAGGACGCTAGAGGATTGTGGCCTTATAGACCACAACATCTGGGCAGCACCAGGTTGTCCGGGGTTATGGTGCACCTGGGCTACTTAATAGCTCTTTTGATCTCTTCCAGCCTTAAGGCTAGATTTCTGCAGTGATATTTAAGTAGGTTTGAGTAGAAAAACACAAGCAGAAGGAGACTGTGCTGCCAACTTCGCAGAGTTGCTGTTGGGGTAAAATGAAGGGAAGTTCATGGGCACTACCCAAAGTTCCTGTGGGAAAGGAGGAAATGAAAGTATAAATAAGCAAAAATAAAGACCCAGAGGGGAGGGGAAAGAGGGATGGGAACAGGCTGGAGGCCTCGCTGTCGTGCCCCCTGGACAGCCCTGTTCCAAGGAAGAAGAGTCGGCAGTCCTAGTTCCTACCAGGGCCTGCACCGCAAGTATTTGAGCTTGTGGAGGAGCCTGCAAAGGCCCCAGCCGCTTGGGAAGAGGGTGCCTCAGAGGAGGAAGCTGAGCCCCCGCAGTCAGGTCCCAGGAAATGCTCCGCTACCTTGCTGAAGGGCTGGGCTACAACAGGAGCCTGCTCAGAGGGAATGGCGCTCCCCAGGAGCAGGGCTCTGACCAACTGCTTGGATATATTGCAGCTGAGCCCTGCGGGAAGCTTAGCAGGCTCGGCGGTGAAAAGCCCTCAGTGCTGGCAGCAAAGCGCTTCCTCCTGCTGCAGTGCCTTCCATCTTGCCCCAGGATGGATGCCCTGTGCTGTGAGCCCCTGGAATCCCGGACTCTGCTACCGGGCTGCCTGACGGGCCTCTGCCCCAGCTCTATGGCTCCTGCCCTAAGGCGGCCACCTGTCTCTGACTCCCTGCCTGTGCTTCAACCTCAGCATGGCTCTGGGTATTGGGCATGCTGGCTGGGGATACTGGTGCTTGTAGTCCAACATATATGCTTTTTTTCAAGAATTCTCTTTTATTTGTTATTTTCCCCTGTGTGGTAGGAAAAGATTTCCTAGGACTGTTTTAAGAATTGTCACTGGGCATAACGGGGCAGAAATTGGGGAAGGAAAGGGAAGGGTGGCAGAGATGGCCCACAGCCATGCATTCCTCACCCCTAGATGGCATCTTTTTCTGTATTATAGAATGTTTTGATCTGTAAGCTGCTTTGAATTCATATTTTTAAAGGTGAGGTATACAGTTTTGAGTAAGATTCAACATATTAAAATCATATGAATATGATCCACAATATTGATCCACAATATGGCCATGCCGCCTCCTGTATTCCTTGCAGGCATCCCAGCTGCGGCACTCACCTCATTGATGAACTCCAGCAGGAGCTGGAAGTCGGAAGGGCTGTCAAACAGGCCATGGATGACGACGACGGGCTTGTACGAGGCCGTGAGCGTGAGCAGGAGGAAGATGGCCAGGACACAGAACGGAGCCAGTACCCGGATACAGCTTTGGTGCTGCCGCATGATCCCACCAGCTGGACGAGACAGAAAGTCACCTGTGACCCACAAGGTCCATCCAGATCCATCCAGCACAGGCCTCCATTCACATGGGAGCAAACCAGCTGCCCACAGGATCCCTCCAGCAGGATGGGTACAAGAGTTCCACCTGCCTGACAGCAACCGGTGCCCACAGGTATGCGGTTTCTGATGATGGAGGTAGCACACAGCCAACGAAACCACTAGTCATCGATAGCCTCCTCTGTCAAGAATTCATCCAATCCCCTTTTAAAACCACCCAATTGGTGGCCATTAAGGCTTCCATAATTTGATTATGCATTATATGAAGAAGTACTTCTTTTCATCTTTCCTCAATCTCCCACCAGTCCTGGGATCCCAGATGCTAGTACTATGGAGAGGGAGAAAAAATGTCTCCCTCTCCATCCACTTTCCACACACCATGCAATTTTTAAACATCTATCATGCTTTTCCTTACATCCCTTTTTTCTAAGCTGAACCATCCCAGTTCATTTGTTTATTTATTTATTTGGGCTATTTCTAGGCCATCTGAGGCTTATGCGAACGGGATGGCATACAAAAACTCTAAATAAATAAATAAAATCCATCGCTATGCGCCTCTGGACAGCTCACAAGATCAATAAATACAACAGTACAAATACAAACCTCATAAATACCCCAACCAAAAATAAAACTAAGCAACCCACAACTAAAATAAAAATAATTACAAATCTATTAAACATTAAAATATTGGGTGAAGTTGTTGTAGCTGCTCTTCATAGGGGAGCTGATCAACCCTTCCTCATTTTGGTTGACCATCTCTACACTTACTTGTCCTTTCTCAGAAATGTACACAATATTCTAAGTGCAGTTACATCAAAGCTTGTATAAAGGGAGTACAATCTTGGCAGTCTTACTTTCAATTCCTTTTCTAGGGGCATCTATCTTTTCCACAGCAGCTGTGCACTGAGCCAGCATTTTCATCACACCACAATCTCAAGATTCCTTTTTTGCTCACTCACTGCTAGCCCAGATACCATTAGCCTGCACTCCAAATGGGGTGGGGGTTGCCCAAACATGCATTATTTTATGCTTCCTTACACTGAACTGCATTCACCATTTTGACGCCCATTTACCCAGCTTGGAGAGATCCCTTTGGAGCTCCTCACAATCTTTTTGGTCTCAACCACCCTAAACATTTGGGTGTCATCAGCAAACTAGGCCACTTCACTGCTTACTCCTAATTCCAGTTCATATATGAATAGGATGAAAAGCGGTCCACTAGGAGAAATTACCATTTATTTCCACTCTCTCCTTAGTTACTGATCCGTAAGAGGACTCCCTTGGCACAAACTACCTTATTCTGTGACTGTTAAATATGCCTTTGGTGAAGGACTTCGTTGAAAGCATTTTGGGAGTCCAAGTGAACAATTTCTACTGGATTTCCACATGCAAATGGTAATTTGGCCAAACTGGATATTTGTAGTGGAACCTAAGATCTGCACAAATGGAATCTTTCTTTGTTATTCCCCTGGTCTTCGGCAAGTGTGTTCCTATATGTGCAGTCTTATCCTGTCAATGGCCTTGCATGTTTCAGCTGTCTACAGAACAATCCAAGTCATGTAGGAAACCTACACGGAAACTGACAAGGAAAGATTGCAACTGTGCGGGAAGGAGTGGGAGATAATAGTGGGAAAAAGAAACAAGAATCAATTTGCACAATTCAAAAAAGAAAAATGCAATTTTTTTGTCATTAAATGTTAGTTCAACACTGGCTGGTATCCTCTCTTTCAATCCTTCTTCAACTTGTCATCAAGTCCAAAAAGGAAAGGTATGGGCTATACCACTCTTTTTGGAGTAGCTGCTCTTGTTGCACAAATTCTTCCCCAATCTCCCAAGTTTAAACTTGTGCAAGTTTAGAAGCCTGAGAAGGAAATGGAGGGGGAAATTGCCTAAATCTAAAGACCAGGCATCACATAGGCTGGCATTTTTGGTCCACCCAATTTTGCCCTCAGCACTGCCCATTGCTGTGCCCAACGAAATCATGCCACTCCCAAGAGTCTCTCCAAAACTGAACTGAGTCATTCAGCAAAAAGCGGTTCCACACCCCTGCAGGAGATGAGATCGCATGACTGAATTTTCTTCCATCCGCAAACTGTCTCCTGCCCACAGAAACCATCTTTCCTATATGCATAGATTTATTTACTTTAAACAGGAAAGATCGTCCAGTTATCAGCCATCCTCACCTGCAGCCAGAAGTGGTACAGCCCAAAGCCAAGCATACTGCTGTTGTCCTGAAAGTGGATTAGTTCATATCCTGGTGTGCATACAGCCCAATCAGTGCACAACAGGAATGTGAAGAACAAAAAAAAAAGATTTATTCTGCAGAATAAAGACGCACGAGGATTGTTCCAATCTGGCGCCCTGAGTGGAGCTCACCGCAGCCTTTTATACATGTCAAGTCTAAACTTCAGTATGTCATACACTTCCGACAGACCGTGGAGTGCTTTTGTACTAATAATAGGCTTTTCCTGTTTCCATCCTAAGTGACAAGATACTGGATATAAAAAGATACAGGATGCCCCCGAAGGTGGGACAACAATCAGTTGTTTTGTTCTTTTTGCTAACTTTCTTGTATGTGCTCGGCAGGCATTATGTGCTTAATGATGTTTAGAGTTCAGCTAAAATTCCGCTTGCTCATCACTGCCTAAGAATTATGCCAATGCAACTTAGCCATGCCAAGCTCTCTTAGTTTCATGTATGCCATGCCTAGTCTAAGGAAATTAAGAAAGCCCTTATTAGTATTATTAACAAGGCAGAGTGTCTCATTAAACACCTTAGTAACTTGAATATAAACTTGGTTATAACTTGGATATTGCTCTCTGCTATTAAAGCAGGAATTCACACAGTAATTTCCTCTTCTATCTTTACTTTGCTTGGCTCCACAGCTGTTTCACTAAGGTCACCCACATTCCTGGCATAATGGCACTGTGGTTTGGTGTAGTGGTTACCAGCGAGGGACTGGGACTCAGCTGGGTCCGACGCCCTGCTCAACCCTGGAGCTCACTGGGTGGCTTTGGGCCAGCCGCAGACTCTCAGCCCAACCCACCTCACAGGGTTGTTGTTGTTGTGGGGATAAGTCTGAAAGCAGCAGGAGGAAAATAAGTAAGCTGCTTTAAGTCCTTTAAAAAGAAAAAGGAAGGATAGAAATCAAATAAATAAATCAAAAGCGAGCTACCAAAACTGAAGAGAAAGTAACTTGTACACAAACCCAGCTACAAATCTGAAGTGGGACCTGAACCCCAAAAGACAAAATTGTGAGCCGCCCCGAGGCTTTGGCGAATGGGGCGGCATAGAAGCCTCCTAAATAAATAAATAAAATTACCCTTTGGAACCCAAATAAAGATGCTGCTGGTGGATAGCACTTCTCTTTGCTGCAAGCCACTCTCCTACTTTAAAAATGTTGAAGAAATACGATCAAAATCCGGAGGAGCACCAGATGGTGAGCACCAAGAACAGTGGCCTGCACTGACACCATCCCAGAGTCCCTCTGTCCAGGCCATCTGCTGTCTTGGACGTAGCAAGGCAAGGACTCCATCCAACTTAGCCTCCTAAAAATAAGCAGGGTGTTTGGATGGAATGATCTATGGCTAGTGGTGGAAGGAATGCAGAGGTGGAAGGAAAAACCAGTGCTGCACAACAGACACATTTTTCAGAACATGGAATCTAAGAAGCATGAATCAAGACAGACTGGAAACTTTAAATCAAAAAGTGAAATTGCTAAACATCACAGTGCTTTGTGTGAGCAAGCTAACACAGACTGGACAGGGACATTTTCCATCCAACAAACACAAAGTGGAAATGACAAACTCGGAAAAAACAGATTGGCTCTAATACTAAGGCAAGAATGATATATTTTCCTTCATCTCACAAGCTACTTAGTTCCAGGAATGTAAGCACAGTTCCTGAATACACTTCTAAATTGAGTACACATCTTATTTAGAATAAAAATCAAAGCCGGCGTGATCAATCAGCAGTTTAACAATAATGATTGCGCACTGGTCCATGCCTAGTTCAGGTCCCTAGCCAGCTCTGCATCACACTGCATGCCACAAGCACAGAAGCATCTCACAGGCTCATTATTCATCCAGATCTCTGCCGTATCCCTGCTTCTCTCCCATCCAAGCTGGTCCAAACCGCCTTCTTATACGAGAGCCAGTGTGGTGTAGCGGTTAAGAGTGCGGGACTGGGACTCAGGCAGTCTGGGCCCCAGTCCCCTGCCAGCCACGGTGCTCACTGGGTGACTTTGGGCCAGTCACAGAGGCTCAGTCCAGTCTGCCTCACAGGGTTGTTGTCGCGAGGATAAAATGGAGAAGAGGGGAATTATTTAAGCTGCTCTGAGTCCCTTGAAAGGAAAGAAGGCGGGATATAAGCAGGCAGGCAAGCAAACAAGCGGATCTTCTCTGGCAGCTAAGATCCGATATGGGAGCAGGGTAAGCCAAAAGCCCTGCTGCAGCGTTAGGAATCCCGGACACCCAGAAATGCAGGCACAGCAGCGAGGGACGCGTTCCAGCCACACACATGGCTGGGTGTTTCCCTCTCAATAGATAACAAGGGGCTCTTAACCAACCAGGGAACAACTTCCTTCCATTACTGAGAGTCACTTTTGATCCCATGTATACTACTGGTTTCAGCTTGCAGAGCTTGTTATTCTGTGTTTTGGGTCGCCCCGCTTGACAGCTCTCCGAGGAACTTAAGAGGCTGCCTCGTTCAGAGTCGAGCTCCTTGGCCCACCTAGTCCAGCACGGACCGGCGACAGCTCTGCAGGTTTTCAGGTAGGACCCTTTCCTGGCCCTACCTGGGGACACCTGGGCTCACCCTGGGAACTTCTGCATGCAGAGCGAGAGCTCCACCCCACTCTGCAGTCTGGCGGCTTGGGCTGGACAGATGGCCAAAGCCACTGTGTGGGGACCTGCACGGTCTCTCTTTGTTCTTCGTGCAGTTCTTACCAACTGGAGATTTAGTCAACAGAAATGCAATTGCATGGTGAGTTCTGACACCCTTCGTTTGGTACTATTACCTTAACGCTCTGTAGCCTTGCAAGCATTTTTGGCCTATGACTCATGATGCTGTTTTTGACAGTTTGGGTGCAGGTACACTACTCATTCCTTTGAAGTAAAGTCTCTTCTCACTTGATGATGTATCGGTGTGTGCTTTTGTTTTTGTACAATATTGTGGGTCCCACAAACTGATAGTGCCTATTTTGTCTGTGACAATAACCAAGACAGCTCTTCGTTTGGCTTTATACATCAGAAATACTCCAACATGAGAGCTGAGGAACCTCCACTTGGCTAGGGAACACAGAGAGGGCTTCTCTGCTGCTGCTACACCCAGGTTTTGTGACTGCCTCCCTGCGGATTGCTGACTTGACCCTTCCTCACTGGTCTTCTCCAAAGACTGTCCTGCTCAAGGAGCCCTTCATTCTTTAAATGCACAGTTCAAGGATTGGTAACCTCTAGGCCGAAAGCGTGTTGAGGGCCACAACTCCAATCAGGTTTAGCCTGTGGAGCCAATAGTAAGAAACGCTGGGAGTTGTAGTCCCCCCACCAAAAAGCCCAGCTGTCTTCTTGGTATTGTTTGGCCGATTCCAGACTTCTGCAACCTGCTGCCATCCAGGTGTGCTGTAACTTCTCTAGCCAACTGAGCCACTGATGGAGCTTGTACGCCACCACATGGAACGAGATGTAGACCAGCGGACCACAACTTATACAATCTAATAGGGAAATCCACTTCCAAGCATAACAAGTGGGTCAAAATTATTTAAAACCACACTCACCAAAAGAAGGAACACATGCCAGTCTTCTCTAAGCTGATGCCCTCCAGATGCAGGCCTACAACACCCATCGTCCTCAGCCAGCCTAGCCAAAGGCCAGCCAATGCACTGGAGATCCAGTAGCGCCACCCGTTATTTCAGCCATTTAAGCACCACCTCACTGTCGCAGGAAGCAGGCAAGTCTCTCAGACAGATCCACAGCCACAAACAACCCCACTCTGGGCTTGAATGACTGGACTGATCAAATTACCTTCCCCTGTAGGTGGCAGGCGGACAGCTCAATCACAGTGCAATTAGCCTATAAAACATACCTGGCCAAGCCTTTGTGACCGACACACTCCCAACTCTGCACTGCTTCCGGAGAGGCTTGGCTCTCGCCACGCCACATGCTTCCCACATTCCTGGGATTAAAAAGCCCTCCCTTGTTCCCACCCCTCCCCTTCAGCCAACAGCAATGCGCAGGGGTGGAGACGGGAATTTCCTAAAAAGGAGAGGGGTGGTGGGAGGTTCCAAATGGCCAATGGTAACGCACACCAATCCCCAACTGGGGCTCCTCACATTAGGTCTCCAAATCTTGTTGGGTGGAAACTCCCATTGCCCCAAGCAAGCATGACCAATAGTCAGTGTGATGGGTGCTGTAGTCCAACAACTTTGGGAGATTCAAGGTTGGGAAACACTGAATTTAAGAATGTATAATCCTAGGTAAATTTAGATAGGGGGCAAAAGGCCCACAGCTCCCAGCATGCTGGAGGTTAATATAGGCCTACTTTCCAGTCTAGTCTTGTACAGTATTGTGGCTTAAGGCAGCAGAACTAGGCAGAAAGTTCTGTGTCCAAGACTCTGGCCAGAAACTCTCTGCTTGGGCAGGACGGGGCCTATCAACCTTCTGCACTCAACCAGGTGCCCTCCTGTGTTGGATGACCATGTACTCTATCACAGTATGAAAGTATGAAAGAAATTACAGCGCTAGGAGCTAGGCTGGAACAATATGGAACACTTCCCTTTGCTTCTCCAGTTCACAAAAAAAGTATTTAAATTCTTACACAGCATAAGGTATGTTTTTATTTTTTACAGTTTTGGTGCACCTGAGATTTCTCCCAATTCTACCCAGGAACTCAAAGTGCTATGACACACTAGAGGAGGAGGAAGAGGAGGAGGAGGAAGAGGAAAGACTGGGAGAGTCCCACAAAGCTTAGGCAGTACTAAATTTGTGTGTCTTTAAAGATACTGCAAGATACTTCCTCATAGTTACTGCCACAGATCAGCAGCCCTTCTACTCTGAGTATTTTTACGTTAGGCTAGTACTGGATAGGCTTGTAGCTTCCTGCTTACTGGAAGGAAGGAAGGAAAGCAGGATGCGCTCCAACAGAGCAAAGCTCAGGGGACCCAGGTTCCATTTAGATGCCAGGAAGCATTTCCTGACAGTTAGGACCCCGAGGGTATGGAATGGGCTTCCATGGGAGGTGATTGAGGCCCCATCGGTGAGGGTGTTCAAAGACAGGCTGGACATGCACATGGTGGGCATGTCGTGAGCAGAGCCGGCTGGAGCCGGGGGTCAGACTAGATGGCCCGGGAGACCCCTTCTGACTTGCTCTGTTTCTATGTTTCTATGAAAGGGAGAACAATCACTCTAAATTGAACATCCAAGGGAGAAACTGCACCTGCTCCACTTGGTAGCGCAAACAAGAAGTGCAGAGGGGGTTAGCCAAGCACGGAGACCTGCTTAGCAGCTTCGGAGAATTCTGCACTTGGCCTTTCACACCTGTTTTTCCTATATAATATTCCCTGCAGACAGGATTCTATGTAGAAATGTCAATTTGTCCATATTCATTAGGGATTCTCTGCTGGCGCTCTGAAGGCCGTGTGTGCGCGTGTGTGTGTGCACGCATGTTTAGAAACGTGAAACCAAATGTTAAGTGATGCTTTTTGATAGGTCTTCTCTCTCTCAGTTGTATGTATAGCAATGTATGTTCTGCCTGTTTTGCTTTATTTTTATATAAGAGAAAAAATAACATCTCCAGAGCCTTCAGGATTTGGTCTGCAACATGCCTTATCAGGCAATGGGACAGAAACAGGAAATGTTTTCAGGACTTTTTATGTGTAGGCATGCCTATCAATTCATTCAAAATTACACAATACAAAACTTTATAGAAAGAATCCAGTGCAATTCTGACACTAGTGCTATTGATGGCTTAAGAGTTTACCAAGGAGCCCATCGTGCTGACAAGGGCTGTTGACATTTGCAAAGCTTTGGTTTACACTGGTGCGACATCAGAAGTGCTAAGTCAACACTGGATTACTCCTTACGATTGCCTCATGGAGAATATTGCTGTCAGTGGCTGCAAAAGGCAAGACCTGCACATTCATCTGAAAGGTCTGCAGGGCTATAAAAATCTATACACAAACAAACAAACAGTCTACTTGGAGTGCTCTCCCACATCAGTGCAGAAGAAGCACTCTGGCTGCTTTCTGAGGTTGAAAAAGCGACCTCGGAGAAAGCCTTTGCATGGGATCGGGAGGGGAGGGGACAAGAGACCATGGCAGCACCTCCGCCCTCATGCTACCCCTCCAAAGTGCTGCAGCTAGGCAGCCGAAATCAGCTGTTTAGCCCCCTTGTGCAGCAGAAGGGGCACAGAACTGACTTTGCTTCCACATTCCTCCCACCCTGGGCACAGGTAAAGGACTGCGGCTTCCCCATAGCTACCTGTTGAAGCTAAGCAGGCCTGGGCCAGGTCCGCATCGGAATGCAAAGTTTACCTGGGAACCCCCTGCATGCTGCCTTTGAGTTCCTCCAAGGAAAGATGGGATATGAAGATCACAAGCAACCAGAATGGAGCCACTGCGTCCAGTTGTGAGATGCTGCCAGATACGGCATCAGGCAAGAGGGACACCCGATATCTGATGCAGTGTCTCCAACAGATGTTGCCTAACTGAACCACAAACTGGAGACGGAGTGTTGGATGCAATGGGATCACAGGACTGATCCAGCCAGGCAATGTGTCGTGTTTTTTATTATTAATCTTCAAATGAATAATGGATTACAGGCGATCGAGTTACCACCTTGATTTGGCTGATACGTCTTACCTGCAAATATATTAGGGCTTTTGTGAAGAGATGTCTTGAGGTGCTCCTCTTGCTCTGCAGGCCTGGCGAAGCTCCACAGAGTCGCTGGAATCTAAAGCAGGCGCTCATCATGCTGCTGAGCTCCGTACTGTCTGTAAACAGGCGCCAATTAGTCTTCTTGTGCTTGCCAGGCTGCAAGCCCTGCTAATTTTTAGTGTTTCTTATGAGTTTTTAAATTTCTTTAAAAAAATGGAAGGGTAGCTTGCTGTAAAGAAAAATACTAGCCTTCAATTTCATCTTTACTCGGGTCCAAAAGGGTGGGTTTGTGTTCTGGCACTCAGAGCCTATTTCTCCCTTATTTCTCCTGGACTCGTTGCTTTTATCTTAGGCCAAGGGTCAGCAACCAGCGGTTCCGGAGCCGCATGTGGCTCTTTCATCCCTCTGCTGCGGCTCCCTGTTGCTCCAAATATGCGTCACAACCGCCAATGTGTGGCACACGCTGGCATGCGATTTATTGAGCTTTTTGACCCCTGGTAGGCCAACCATGGATAAATCCAAGAAAAGAAAAGTTTCAGAAGAAAACAGAACGTTTAATGGTACGTGGGCAGATTCATTTGCCGTCACTGCTGTCGAGACTGGTTTACCAGCATGCTTAATATGTGGTGAGAAATTGGCAAACAACAAAAAGTCGAATGTTGCAAGACATTTCCAGAATAAACACACAGCCTTTGCTGAAAAATATCCAGATGGAGATGAGAGGAAAAAAGCCATTTCGAAACAGATGCAGAAGGTTGATCTGAGCAAAAATCATTTCAAGAAGTGGATTAAGTCAGCAAATTCAACTACATATGCTAATTTTGTGGCCGCTCAGGAAATAGTCAGGCACGGGAAGCTGCAGGTGGATAATTTAAGTTCAGTTTTTTATTTCATAAATACGAGAAGGACTCAAATAGACACTGAGAATTTTATTTGAATTTAACCTTCAACCCAGCGTCTTTTTTTTCAGAGTTCAAAATGTTTTGTCGCATTCAGAAATACAAATTTGTTTTATCTGTAGCAGTTCATTGGTTTCATAAATGCAACACACTATAGTTTTTTTATACATAGCATTAAGGTAAAAAACGATATATGCAGTGTTATCTTCATTTCAGATGTCAAAAGGGTTTTGTGGCTCCCGGTGTTTTCTTCTCTGTGGGAAAAGGGTCCAAATGGCTCTTTGAATGTTTAAAGTTGCCGACCCCTGTCTTAGACTCACCAGTTCAGCTTGCAGGACGTGAGTGTTTTGTGACTGGCCATGTCCACTATGGCAGCTATTCTATGAGTAGGGAAGGTGCCTGTATGGCAGCCATTTTGTGAAAGCACCCATGAAAGCACAGTCTGTACAATGTGCGTGCTTGGACTGAATATCTCTGCATACAAATTGCACTGGTTTTGCAACCCAGATTTCTTACATGGGCTTTTTTTAGAAAGGCAGCTCTTTCCCTTATGATCTGGAGCATACTCAAGTAGAAGGGGAAGCTGTCCATTCATGGAAGCTGTCCATTTGCCATCTTGGGTTCAGGTGTGAGTCCTTGGGATTTCACTGGCATCAAGCTCAAGACTGTATTCCCTTACACAGCAATTCTGCCTCTAGTGGAGCTAACTGCATTATATCCCAAAACCACAGCAAGAACGTACTTACAGGAATGCAGAAGGGAGCTAAAAACTCTCGGCAATTAATGCATTATGATAGCAATCACCAAAATGAAGCAGGGTAACTTCAGAATCAAAGACCTAGAGGACACCGGGTGAATTGGTTATGCAATGCTTGAAGAAAAGTGTGGACTCTTAGTGTTGGGAGAGGATGTTAGAAGTCAACTAAGGATCAGATATGCAGGATACAACTATATGATTACTATTGATTCATTTGAATGCATTTCTTATGTTGATATCTTGCCTTTTTTTCAGGCTATGTCTAGCTGCCATCCTAAGTCACGTTTGCTCATTTTCCTGGAGTTAATCCTCTCCAAAGGTGTTGGTGGTTGCTTGTGCCATCAGCCTTCTCTCCTGCCCTAATTAGTATGCCTGCTTCCACTTTGCTTCCTTATCCCATTAGAGGAGCCAGTGTGGTCTAGTGGTTACAGCCTCTCAGCCTAACCTACCTCACAGGTCTGAGGATGAAACAGGGAGGCAGAAAGCCTCGTAAATTATCCTGGGTTTCTTGCCAGGAGGAGGCGAGCAGGGTATAAATGCAATGTGATTTTAAAAAGTGCTATCTATCTTGCAATATCCTGAACCACGACTGCCCATAATAAGTAAATGGCCATGTGTCCTACTTTACAGAGAGACATTGCTCCATTTGGAAGGCTGTCCAGTCCAAATCCCATTTAAAGATAAAGAACGCTCAGACAAGGACGTGGCAGAGACCTTGGAGTTGCCCTTCCACACTTCGCAGCACAGGACTGCAGACGGGCATCCCCCCCCCACCCCCAGAAGAGATGCACTGCATTTCTGGGGATATAATACAAATTAGGTCTATATTTCCATCTATGCTTATATAAAATCTGCCTGTGCTCAGCTAGGCAACAGTTATCACACCTTTTGTCCTCTTTTCTGGACAGTATTCTTCTCATTATTACACTTTTATACTGCCCCACAGCCCATTGGGCTCCTGGGTGGTTTACACATTTAAAAATATACATCAGAATAACAAAATTCAAGTGCTCAAGAGGGCGAATGCCACCCTTGGTTGCATAGCCAGAAGTGTGGCTTCTAGATCAAGAGAGGTATTACTACCACTCTACACGACTCTGGTGCGCCCGCAACTGGAGTATTGTGCTCAGTTCTGGGCCCCTCATTACAGGAAGGATATAGCCAGGTTGGAGTCAGTGCAGCGTAGGGCCACAAGGTTGGTGGCCGGTTTGCAGGGGATGCCGTATGAGGCGAGACTAAGGCAACTGGGTCTCTCCAGCCTGGAGAAGAGGAGACTCAGAGGGGGTATGTTGGCGACATACAGGTATGTGAGGGGATGTCACATGGAGATGGGTAGAGACCTGTTCTCCCCTGCAGAGGAAAGCAGGATGCGCTCCAACGGAGCAAAGCTCAGGGAACCAAGGTTGCATTTGGATGCCAGTAAGCACTTCCTGACAGTCAGGACCCCAAGGGTGTGGAATGGGCTTCCACGAGAGGTCGTTGAGGCCCCATCAGTGCGGGTGTTCAAGGATAGGCTGGACATCCACATGGTGGGCATGTCCTGAGCGGAGCCGGCTGGTGCTGGAGGTCAGACTAGATGGCCCGGGAGGCCCCTTCTGACTCGCTCTGTTTCTATGTTTCATGAAAATGCAAACAAAAAGCAAAAACACAATGTCTGGTGCAGGGAAGTGGCGAGGGCAAGCTGACACTGGACTGTCAAGAGGTCCCGTGATGGAGGCCCCACCCCTGAGGCAGGTGCACCAGGTGTGATGCAGCCCCCCTCCCTTCCCCAGCCCCATCTGCCCTCACCATGGAGTGAGCAGGGAGTCCACAGTGTCCAGCCTGTCATGCAAGCTCAGGCACCCCAACCATCAGCCAGCTTGCCACAAAGCCCAGGCCACGTTTTGCGGAAAGGCTTCCCCCTGACGGCATGGCCTGAATGCCCAGGAAGGACGGGGCATGCAGCTCACAGTCTGGGAGCAACCCCGTACCGGCTGCCAAAAAAAGACATGCATCACGCAAGAAGAGGATGCCACTTTGGCTTAAAACTGCATGAGTTAACTGCATGTGTAAATGCAAATACAGACACTTCTATTCTGAACTTAATCAGTGATTCAGGACATCTCACCCTAGTGTGGAAGATTGACCAGGCAACTCAGGTACCAGCCTGTTCTGTCTAGCAGTCCGTCTGCTGAACTTGGACTACAAAGCCCATCAAAAATAGGATGACAGTCTGTGCAAGAGGACGTATGGCCATGCTTCTGGAACAACTGAGAGGGCAAATACTTGACCAGTTGGTCCCCATGACACACGTCATGGGATGTAAGGTGCCTAATATTCTCATAATATCCTAAGTGGAACCCATGCCAATTAGTAAACAGCTTATGAAACCTTTCTTGAAACTCTAATCGGCTTATTGCTCAGGCTGGTTCTTGCCCCAGATATGATGAGTCATCTCTCCCACTAAGAACAGTATATATGTTTTAGAGTCCAACTCCCATCAACCACAGCCAACTGTAGCCTCAACTGGGGAAGGCGGAGTTAAAAGAGCGCTTGGAATTTACCATGAAAGTCAGTAATATTTTCAGGGCTTAGCCGGTGAAGAAAACTCACCAGTTACAGTGCTCTGGACCAACATATAAGTTCAATGAAGCTTAGTTTCATTAGTCTAGCAGTAGGCAATTTATTTGCATAAAATAATTGAGTTGTATTTTCCTTGGTATTTCCAATGTAGGTATGGTGAAAGCCAATTACTCCAACTGCTGATTAAATCTTTAATCAGCAGAACAGGGAGGGGGCAATTCTTCCAGTAAAATTTGTAGTGTGGGGTTGGGGGAGACCTTGGAGCCAATCTGGGAGGTGCAGGGGAAGCTACAGGGATGGGGGCTGAGGAAGGAAGCAGGAGGAGGGGGACACACAGGCAGAGGTGTCCTTGCACAATGCTGAATGTTACCAGAGTTTCCCATGTGGATAGCCTGACTAGTTTAAATACTATTTTTTTATTTCTTTAACATCTGCCTTTTTCCTTCCAAGGAACGCAAAGTGACTTACACGAGTTTCCTCTCAATCTTATCCTCAAACAACAACCCTGTGAGGTAGATTGGGCTGAGATTCTGTGCCTGGCCCAAAGTCACCCCAGGAGCTCCACAGCAGCGTGAGGACTAGAACCCAGATCACCTGAGTCCCAGTCCTGCACTCTGAGTGACAACACCACACTAGTTCTCAAATATTTTAGGTATTATATATTAAAGCTTTCTCATTTTTTGTAAGCTGCCTTGGGAGGGTTTACCCTGAAAGCCAGGATATAAATCTATTAAACGGCAGACAAAATGCAGGAAATACAGAATGTAGGGAGGAGGAGAATTTAGGAATGTCAGAAAGCATGGAGGGATGAATAATCAAAGACAAAAATAATACCATGTTATAATTACAGAGGACAATCCTCTGCTTGGAGTCCATCTATTATTTATGCAGGAGCATATTTTTATTCTGTCCCAGTATCAGAAAAAACACACACACTCCCTAACAATTTACTGCACAGCCCTATATATGTCAGTCCTGTTCAGGTCGATGGACTTACTCCCAGGTAAGTGTGTACAGGATTGTTGCCTCAAACACTGGAAAAGCAACCAGCAGAAAATACAGGAAACAACAACATAAAGCTGAGCTAGCATGAACAAAGCAAAATGGAAACACTAGAAAAATGTGCATCTAAAGGAACACATATTTTTAGACTGGGTCAAAGAATATTGTAACAATTATCTGTACAAAGATGATGCATTTCTACATTAGACATATAGACATTCAGCAGCAGCAGCATAA